TCGTATGGTGGTGCTCAAGCAAATAACCGATGGCCACGTCTATGGAGTTGCAGTAGCACGGTGTGGTTGACGAATCCAAAGCTCATCTCCCGCGGGGTAGATGCAGCCATCCATCACCTGCACATCACGTCGGAAAGCGGGGCCAAATGGGTAGATAACTCATTGTCATGTTGTTGGAAACTGAACCTGGAAGAATTGGGATAGACCTACTGTATCAGAATCTTACCTATTCACTACGTGCCCCGAGCGACCCTTGCGCAGGTTTCAAAAACATCGACATCATGTCCGTCAACAGCGTTTCCCTTTCAGGCTCTCATTCTGTCTCGAAAGCTGCTGTATCTAGTATAACGCTCATTCCGAACCACGGTGTCAAAGGTGACGCCCATGCGGGACCAACTGTCCAGCACCGACCCTTACGAAATGCGAGGCCGTCCGACGTAAATCTGCGTCAGGTCCACCTAATGCATGCGGAAATCCTTCAGCAAGTGTGTAAGGACCCTGCAACCGGAGCGAAGGACCTCGCCCTCAAGCCTGGACAACTGGGGGAGAACATAACAACCCAGGGTATTGATCTGCTCTCATTGCCCAAGGACACAAAACTGCTGTTTGTGGACGGCAAGACGCCCAGACAGAACGCGCCAACTCTCAGGCTGACTGGTTTGCGCAACCCTGGTCCCCAGCTTGACGCTATGAAGAAGGGACTGAAGGATCGCTTTTTGGTGAAGGATAGTCGCGGTGTGGTGGTTGGATACATGGCTGGTGTCATGAGTGTTGTCGAGAAAGGAGGTGAAATTCGACCGGGAATGGAGATTGTCGTTCAGAAGCCAGCCACAAACCTGGCTCTCACCTGTATTTAATGTGGCTTGCTATGCATGTTGCGCTGTGCCGCCGGGCAAGTTGTTTATCGATCTAGGCCTGCTAGTATGGCGAAGAAGTTCAATCAGGAAATATGTTTAACAGATCCCATCCATCATGCTATACTCAGTCTTTAGAAACCCAATTGATATTCTCCAGTGTCTGATTGGTGACCAGGAACCGACCAACATATTTCCGAAGGGTTATGAGTCGTGATGTTCAAGTTTATAAGGAGCCAAGCGCAGCGGTGAGTCATGCACTATCCCAGCGGAATTAATGGATCAATCGGATTCGACTCGGATCTATCAGTATAGCTATCATCCAGAAAAACCAATCGGCGAGCCAGGTACCGTGGGGGGGAAAAGAGAGATGGAATTGAACGACGAGTCGCCGATATCGTTGATCGGAAGTCAATTTCCCTGATTTCCGCCATCTCTCTTTCTTCCGAAGAGATCTCTGTTATATTACGCAAATGTAGCCACTGTACTAAACATTCGTTTCGGTCCTGTTCTCATTCGCCCTTTGCCACAATCTTTGGCATATCCTGCGAAAGCATTGCCTCAGTAGGATCTTGACGAGCCGCCATGTCGCTCATGCAAGCTCTCCATCTCGATATCCAGCCGGAAAAACGGGCTTCTGCGCCCGCGCTCCCCTCGCTTAACCTGCGTCCTGAGGGTTCCGGACCACAGATAGATAGTCAGGGAACTTCACTTAATGGCGACTCGCCGCCAGAAACTGGCCAGCCAATCTTCGAGCGTGTGCCTTCGCATGGCACCACGCAGGCCCGAAGGATAACAGTTACGGTGCTGCTCATTCTGGCGAACCTCGTGCAGGTAAACCTTAAACCGACTCTGTGAGCAGATAGAGTAGAGTTAACGGGACCAGATGACAGTCAACTTCGCTGGAATAGCCGGTGGCAGCACGTTGACCAATGCAATGGGTGTAGAGGGCACCTATGCCTCCTGGATTGGGGCCAGCTATGCGTGAGCATCGTCCTACTTCATCACACAAGGCATAGGAGCTGATCGCATATAGACTCACACAAGGGACTTTTGTCTTGATGAGCGGACGCTTGGGAGATGTTTTTGGGCACCGGAAACTGCTCCTGATCGGCGGAGCATGGCTGAGTCTGTGTGTCCTGATTGGTGCCTTCCTCGATAATTTCTTCGCCTTTGTCACGATGCGTGCCCTTGCTGGTGTTGGAGGTGCTCTCATTATGCCGAACGCGGTAGCCATGATATCGGCCACAAACCCTCCAGGACGGGTCCGAAACTTGAGTTTAGGCTTCTTTGCAGCGTCAGCACCATTGGGAGGCTACTGTGGAGCGATACTCTTGGGCGCCTTCCTAGAGAACACGGACTGGAAGTGGTTCTTCGTTTTCATGTACGTCACATAAGGGGATATGGAATAAGCTTGATGCTTACAGATTATAGAGCTTGTCTCGCCGCGGTAACCTTCGTCGCTCTGTGGACTCTAGCTCCATACGAACCGCCCGTCGATCGCCACGGAAAGATAGATTGGATCGGCTCCGCTTTAGGCACCAGTTCCCTGATTCTCTTTAACTTTGTTTGGAAGTAGGTGGCCCCCGAGCAAGGCTAGATGCGGACAGTGAGCTGATTTACTCTCATAGCCAGGCACCCAGTGTCGGGTGGTCCACCCCTTATGAAATCGCCCTCCTCCCAGTATCATTGATACTCTTCGGCGGCTTCCTAGTCTGGGAAAAGAGATTCGCAGCGCAGCCCATCATGCCACTTGAGATCTTCAAAGCACCATCCTTCCTAACGCTGCTTCTAGTCATTCTCCTGAATTACATGGCAGTGGGCACACTAATCTGGTACCAGGTGCTCTGGCTACAGGAAGTGTGGCATTGGTCGCCACTCCACTTTGCTGTCGGATGGACCCCTTTTGTCATCTGTGCAACGGCTGCAGCATCCCTTGCTGCCTGGCTGATCCCTCGTCTAGCGGCGCAGTGGATCCTGGCCATTGGAACAGTCACCATTCTAGTCTCCAATGCCCTGATGGCCACCGTGCCTCTGCACCAATCATACTGGGCCCAGATATTTCCGTCTGTAGTTCTTTTCTCGTTCTGTCCAGACTTTGTCTATACGGCGGGACAGATTATTGCAAGTAATTCCGTCCGTAGACACCAGCAGGGTATCGCGGGTTCTATTATTGGAACACTGAATCTGTACGGTAACAGCCTGGGACTCGGGTTTGCGTCAACCATTGAGGTCCAGGTCGCTCGGCGCTTCCACAGCCAGATCACAGGATATCGGGCAGCGTTGTACTTCGGTGTTGCCATCAGTGCGGTGGCGTTGATTCTCGATGTTTGTTTTGTAAGACTGGTCAAGGATGAACGTGAGGGTTGGGAGGAGGAAGACCTCTTAGCCATCAATGAGATTGAACTTCAAGGGCGTGCGGAGGCTACAGGGGCTCAATTATCAGTTGCACCAGTCCGGTCATAAGAGTCTTGGTGTGACCTTGAGGGGACACGACAGGCTCTCGCGTACGAGGCACGAACGGGGAATAGACGTCCTAAGTCGAAATGTGGGGTGCATTGGTTGCTCATTCAGGGCTTGGAAGGTCTTTGGTTCCTTTTCTTTTCTTATAACATTTCGGTACATACTCAAAAAGTCGCGGGATTCGTTCTGTTTAGAAAATCAAATTATGCAAAGTAGCAAAAGTTACATGCCAATTCATCTTCCCGCGGATGATTCCAGTTGTATTTTATATTGCTCGGGATATGCATTCATTATCAACGCCAACATGTATAGATACTCAGCAACTACAATATTTTAGGCCAAGCCCTGTGCTGTAGAACAATGTCTTGGCCGATACATTTCGCACTTTCGAGCAAGATGACATATAGCAGCTTGGAGACAAATCAATAACATTATAAGACCAAAGATCGAACAAAGCACACATCGCCCTCTCCCGATCCTCAACTTGTGGACGGGAGAGATAGGCAATCATGACAAGTCCTACTAACAGGTACATGACTTTCCGATATCCTTCGGTGGGCAAGTACAGGGCCTAACAGGCCAAGTGCAGTGGCACCCATTCACACTACATGTGCCTTTGCATTGCTAATTGGAGACTGCTGTTAGCTGATACAGCGGGAACTGGTTATGACTCTTCTCACCTTTCTAACGGCCCCATCAAGGGGTGCTGGCTCTTCCTCGACGTTGTTCGCGAGGCTCTTGGGTTCGGGGATGGCGGTGGCAAGTAGAGGGCCAGCCAGGGCCGCGAAGAGGAGAAGGTTCGAGATGAGCTTCATACTTGAAGATGAGAGGTGTTTGATGCAGACTCAAGCGATGCAAGCTTTTACTAGAGATATCAACGATGTGATCTTTATGGTTTTGATTAAAGCGGAAGGAAGATTTTGGGGGATTAGTTCATCATATTTATATTCCATTTCGGAGAGAATTGCATAGGAATACTGTAGCCGTAGGTATGGCATGTCTGTGATCTTTCTTCCATAATATCGGTCACCAACATTGCTTGTAGTCGCACTTTTCTGTCCTCAGGGTAGTATTGTAATTGGGACCGGCGCATGAGCTCCGTGTATGTAGCTTCCCGACATTTGTTTAACTAACTGGGGTGGGGGATCTCAAGTGTAACGTTTTCGCTCGTGTTCATTCTTCTTATTTGCGCAATTCCCTTGGTTTCCTCTTGTTATGGCTGGGTGGGCCTACGTCTTTAAGGATAGAATGGACTCAGGAAGGGAAAGTGGTGCTCTAGACCCACCAGCTAGCCCATCATTATTAGAAAAGGTGCCATTATAACAGATGAATGTCTGTTTCATCGCATCCATAGAGCTCTCGCAGGAGATCTATCTCTTATGGCTGAAAATCGATACAAACCTTCCCCACTCACGCTAAAGAAAGAAGTATTTGGTTTGCACAAACGGCACCTTTATATCTACTAAACTCCATTCAGCATAACAATCCCTCATATGTCACACATTAGACTGGATATGATTGGTGGTCATAAAGTGTACAAGATTAGGCATCCAACTTGGAGTTTTCCTTAGGTTCTCCAGTGAGGATCACTGACCTCACTGCTCCGTAATGTTACCACATTTCTCCCTCGACCTGGAAACACCGCGCCTTCGCTTTTCTCTACTACTATCCCGTCTTATCATTATGGCCGACTGTCCCGGTGGAAACTGCAGTCTACGAATTCTCACCCGCGAACAAAAGCGTCAAGAATTTGAGTACGACCTCGCAAATCCCCAGGAGACCTGGCAAGACTTCCGATGGAGAATGCTCAACCTCAGTCAGGGATATCTGCAAGGTGATTGGGACATGCCGATGGTCGAAGAATTCTTACACGACTTGTGGGACGAGCTCATCCACGTAGCAAAAAGACATCCTGCTGACAGTGCCGAACATGACCGCCTTGTGACACTGATTCTGGAGGCTCGAGAGTGCGGGCCCATCACACGCAAGAAAAAGAACGCCCCTGCCGATGAGGAACCAGAACCAGTGGTCTTACCCAATGGACAGCGCCTGTGGAGTGATCTCCCCCATCTTGTTCAGGAGTTCCAGGACGCCTGGATGAAGGAGTCCATGGGTTATACAGCAGCGCAGCGAGAGGGGCTAGCGGCGCTCACTGCTAGACTGTGTGCGGTTGGAGTTTTCCCGTCGGAGCTTGGTCGTTGCGCGCTGTGGTTGTTCAAGGAGACGGTTGAGACGGAGAGACCGTTAAGCCGGGCAGAGGGAGAGGTGGATGCGACCAATGCAGCGGTCCCCGTTGTTGACCTTCTTCCCGCATGTCTTGCGTGGTTGAAGTACAACAGCTTCAATCTTGCCAGATTTACAGCAACCAATCATGACTATCCAGCTCCGACCATGGGTGATGACGTCCCAGCTTCAACTACGCCGGGTGACCTCGCTCCCAAGTCTGAGTTTCCGTGCAGTGGCTTCAGCATTCCCCGATGGGTGTTCTGGAGGCGACGCTACAAACACTTTTATCATTGCGGAAACGAACAGCTCGCCAAGCTGGCCAGGGCTTGCTTTGAAGAAGCGGTGTTTAAAGGGACGAGGATGGGCATTGAGCTCCCTGGCGAGAAAGTATTTCTCGTCAGGATCTTTGAAGCTCTTGATATGGAGCTTGCCGCACGAGGTATGCAAGGAAGTGTGAATCCAGAAGAAATTGAGATTGACATGGATTGGGCTGAGGATTGAGTTCTGGGACGTCTTTCCTCGATTTTCTTTTTTTATTTGCGTGATCCACGCAGACGCTGGTTTATTGTTGCAATTCACGGTCGTTCCCATTATTGAAGCTGTTACTGTTTTTCCGCTGTAGCGTGGCGTGTCAGCTGATTCTCTTTCTCACATGTGTATCTCTCGTCCTTTCTTTTCTCAGTACTTCGTGATGTAGCATTCTTACTATCGATATTCCCTAACGAATCATCCAGCCGCTATTTCCTACCTTGTTCTTGCGGTTAACACTCAGATTGTCCAACCAGGGATGCAATGCGTGTTTGTGTTACGAACAGTGTTCTCTCCGTCAAGTAGTATCCCTCACGAAACCCCTCCGAATACGTTCTACGACGCTATATGACCAGTGTATATATCCCTTGGCTCGGTGGAGACCTGGCTTGGCGTGACACAAAGCCAGAAGTCCAACAGCAGCCCCATTGCTTGTCTGGTATGAACATGAATTCCATTGGTGCCCGGCTTTAGCCATCGGGTTTGAGCCCGCGCTGGAGTTAGCAGAACCGTTTGCACGTGGCAAGGTGCCCAGTTCAATTGATAAAGAATGATACCCCCACATTGTGTGTAAGGGATTCAATTCCGCGTCGAGCGCTCAGGTCACCAATGACCTCACAAGACCAGGTATATCCTTTACGAGTCACAATATCGGGAATTATGGACATGTACCAGGCCGTGGTCAGCATATTGTAGCGGAGCGCGAAGCGGTCTGCTATGATTTTATATGATTGCCGCTACACCCCTGCATTGCTGAGTGATATTTGGTCCACTGGACAGCGCTCAAGAAACGTCATTGTCTCGCACATTAGGTTTCGGAAACGCCCCCTACGACGCCAGGGCTATTGACAATAAAACCTTAAGGTACATTGGCGAAACTGTACGCTGTAGATCGCATTCTCAGATTGGGAGGAGCATTGAATGTGTCTGGCGCATCTGATTGGTTTGTAGGATGATCAGCATGGGAACACATACCGACCGACATCAGGGATGCCTGGTATTCCGTCGCCTCGGATCAACTTGTCTTTTCTGAGGAGGTGTTCTGTTCTGCACATGATTTTACAGTGTTCAATGTGAAACGCGACTACAATAAGATCCATGATATGTTGAATTATCCCGTGGGCGGAAATGGGGATCGGCTCCACCCGATTGGCCCCAACATGGGTGGCTTGACAGACACGTGATGGACTGGGTCTGAGTATTGACAGTCTGATATTCATCACTTACTACTGTACTATATATCCTCCCTGACAACGCACCATTGGCGGGGAATAATTCCTCGTTTATATGTCTTACACGGACAATCTCACGCCCCGACAGGATTTGGGGAGTCGCACCAGGCATGAACCCTGCACCACCCGATATATTAATAGATGTGGATAGTACGGCGTAGCGAGATCCTGTTCATTAGCGCCGTCGTACCAGAAGAGGAAAGTCCTGCGCCATTCAATGATAGGGAAGGGATGGCATGTGCACCTGGGCTGGGCCTCAAACAGAGTCAGGTGTTGACATCAGCCACACCCATGAAACCGCCCAAAGCACTTTCCTCTCAACAATTGACTCCCGTTAGTGCCGAGTTATGTTCATGATGGTGGCATTCATAAGGAGGAAGCAAAGCGAATGAAACTGCTGGTTAGGCAACACCATTCTGACCCAATCATGATTCAGGGGCAGTGGAGATCAGTCGGGCCGTTGGGGACGATGATTGGGGCTTGGCAGCGGAGTCCCAGCCTTAAGGGGCTGCTGGCGACCTTCTAGTGGCCAATAAGTCGCGCTTGGCAATCTTCATGGAAACACTATGAAATATCAAGTGTATGTAATCGGTATTGTGTCCACTGTCAATACTGTTTGACCATAGAAAAGTAACTTCGGCCTCAGCCACACCAGGGCCTCACCGATCACAGTTGATGGATGTGTTGTTGGCAGTCCGTTGCCCATAGTTCGCGGTCCACATTGCAAGACCAACGGCTAGGCGCCAGCATTCCCCGACAGCATGAGATTGCACCTACGAAGTAACAAAGGGTCAGAGCCAAGACTCCGTCGTACAAGGGGGCTGCCAATAATTAGTTGTCAATGAAAATTCCATCGCCAGACCCAATCGTGCTGGCGGAGGTGGACCCCAGGCGTCAATTGCAGGGCCAAGAGAACCGATGCGTCTACCAGCAGGGCTGAAATCACCGCTATTAGTTCTGCCTGTTGGTCTGGTCCCCCCGAGCCTTCGAAGTCAACTCTTACTTAAGTCTGAAAACCTCCTGACCCGTTGCCATTTCCCCATACTCTCTTTTTTTCCCTTTTGATTTACGTTGGCTTGACCATCTCCCTCCGTGATACCACCGTCGTTCCCTCTCTAGATACAACATGTCTTACCAGCAGCCTTACGGTCAACAGCCTCCTCCCCAGGGATAGTAAGTAATACCTTCTGCGGATTTCGCATGCCCGTTGCGCTTCTTGGCAGTTATTGGGCAACATCGCCGCTAACACATCGCATAGCTACCCTCCCCCTGGCGGCCAATATCCTCCTCCCCAGCCCATGCAGTACCAGCAGCCCCCACCCCAGGAGGAGAAGAAGGACCGTGGCTGTCTCACCGCCTGGTAAGGATGATCCACCGGTATCTGTGCAGACAAAAGAACGAAACGCTGACGACGACAGTTTGATGGCCATGTGCTGTTGTTTCCTGTGTGAGGAGACCTGCGAGTGCTGTATTGAATGTGTCGAGTGCTTGTGTTGTGGATGTTAGCGATGGAATTTGGCTCTTAATTGTCATTCTTTTGTTTTACGCGAATCGCTTCGACGTGATGGCTTGATGTTTACCTTCTTAATGCTCTGCAGCTTCTTTACCTATACATTTCCATGTTACCAATACATTGATCATGTGACTTTCGACTGGGTCCTTCTGGCATGACTAATCGCAGATCCTTCTGGTCAACACACGCAATCTTTTCGAAATCCATTCTTGACCATGGCAGCTGCCTTCGTCGTCTCAGCCGATCTCAATCATTCCGATCAAAATCTGCTACCGATGAGCGCACTATGTATTACACGAGGTATTCGTTGAAGGCGGGTCATGGCGACTGGTTCAATGCGGGATACTGTTGAATTCAGCGGGTTCAGTGCGTTTCGGTCAAACATCGGCTACAGATTCTCGGCAATGCGACTCGGCGAGTTTCATGGACATCGCAGCACTCCGTCGAGAGGACACATCGCTCTCTTTAAAGCGTCTGAAGCTTGGCCGATAACCTCCCGTCACGCTTGTCTATCCCTGTTGCAGCTAGTTACGGCGTCACATTCTGCTTCGCACTCATTGTGGTATAATCCATGGAATTCTGGATTCCCAACGTGGACTCAGCCAAGATTAGGCTGACTCGACTCGTCGGTTTCTGTCAACTTGGCGCGGCGTGTCGCTCTCTGCTGTCATGGTGCTTTATGATTATGCAGACCAATGACGTGCCCTGTGTTCACCACCTTCCAATCGATCGCCGTTGATTTGTTCTTCCGATCCGTGGCAATCGCTATATGAGCACGGTCTGTTTTCAAGCGCGCCGTAGACAAGCCGTAGTATAGCTTCACTAGTAGTATAGGTAACATGAACATAGTGAATCTACTTCAATGTCTACCGTCATCTTCCAGCTGCGACATCTGTACGTATAACCCGAATGTATACCAAGTAATAGAAACATAGCTAATACAAGTCATATAAACATCCTAGATCTTCGCCTGGCCCAACTTCTTCTCCTGCGTCTGGTAAATCTTGACCAGCTGCCTCACAGACAAATCCAGCAGAACATCCTCCGAACCACCTGGAATCCTAGCCACCGGGACATCCCTCATGATAGCTATAATCGTCAGTCACCAACCCCAGTCATGGAAAACATAGAGAAAAGGAACATACCTTCAACAAGCTCGCCCTGCCCGCTCTGGGTCAAGCCCGCGCCTCCAAACAACAAAACCGCACACTGCGCACACTCATTCAACACCATCGCCGCCTTGGCCTTGGCCATCGCCGTCACACCCCCGAGCAACCGATCCGCCTCCTTCTTCTCCAACTTGCTCAGCTGATACAAGATCTGGTCGACCCACGCCGACACCGTCTCCAACTCTGCCCCGGCCTTCGCCAACCGATGCCTGACCACCGGCTGATCCATCAGCGTCTTCCCAAACGCCTCGCGCTTCATGCAGTACCCGAACGCCGCGGACAGCGCCACACGGGCCTGTCGCGTACATTGCACGGAGATGGTCAGGCGCTCGTGGTTGAAGTTCGTCATGATGATTCGCATGCCGTCGCCTTCACGGCCGATGAGGTTTTCCACGGGCACCTTGACGTCGTCCAGCTCGATGTAGGTCGTTCCACTGGTCTTGCTGCCCGAGACGTGGATTGGGCGCATTGACACGCCGGGGTAGCCCTTCAGCGGCACGACCATCACAGACAGGCCGGCGGCACCCGGTCCGCCGGTGCGCACGGCCATTGTAGTGTAGTCGGACCAGATGCCATTTGTGATCCTATCTCAGTTAATCTCTGTATCAAACTCTTCACCCCCACAAACCCCAACCCGAAACACAGCATCGCAAATACATCACACCCCAGAAAGCAGACAAAGAATAGAAAAGCCAGGAACGTCAACATACCACTTCTTCGCCCCGTTAATGATGTAAAACTTCCCATCGGCTGACTTGGTCGCCGTGGTCGTAATATTCGCCACGTCGCTGCCCGCCTCGGGCTCGGTGATGGCGATACAGGTGCGTTTCCGGCCGGTGAGCATGTCCGGTAGCATGCGCTCTTGCAGCTCCCGACTCGCGTATTTGAGCACGGGGGGGATCCCGAACGCGAAGCCAGCGCTGAGACTGGTGCCTGGGCCCGCGAGACCGGATCGGGCCATCTATCTTCTCATCAGTATTGACTCTTCCATGGACTGGTGCGGTGTAGTAGTGGCATGTTCATCCACGTGAAATTACGCGGAAAACAGTACCCTTAGAACAACCAACAACCCAAAAAAAAAAAAAAAAAAAAAAAAAAAAAAAAAAAAAAAAAAAAAAAAAAAAAGAAAGAAAGAAAGAAAAAAGAGAACAAACCTCATCACAATAAATGCCCGTGTAAAGATAATCCCAGTCCTCGACCCTCACGCCCAGAATATCATGAATGCCCAATCGCTTCAACCAATCGACCGGCAAGGGCGCCGGCAGATTCGGCAGCAGCATGTTATGCTTGTTGAAGGTCTCGAACACATGGTCCGGGACCTGGCCGGCCTTCTCCCATTCTGTGGCGTGCGAGATCAGATTCTCCCACAGGAATGCGCGACAGGCTTTTTGAAACCGCAGGTGGCCTTCTGTGTAGTAGGGGCTTGGGAGACCGCGGAGGTAGGGGGGTTCAGAGAAGGGGATGGGGTTGGGGGGGTTTGTGGGGGACATTTCTTTTTCTTTTCTGTTCTGTTGTTTTGGGTTTCTTCTATCTGACTGAGTTGAGTTACTTTTGGGTGGTTTGGGTGGTTTTATGCACTTGAGATGGCCAGGTAGAAGTGGATTGTCGTTTTGATATAATACCTTGCAGGTCAGGAATGTATAGTTATAGTCTCAATCGGATCGAGGTCCCCGCATGAAGAGCTGCTCAATGCCGAGGCGAGGGGCCGTTGGCCAATCACATGTCGCTGATCGGAGATCTACCCCGGTCCGAACAAAGACCGTCAGGTTTCCGAGAGTTCCAGACTTGTACATTTGGTTCTGTTATTTAGTGGTGTTTTCCTGGTTTACCATTGAAGAGTTGTGCACGGGAATTGTGTATGAGGTACTGCTATACTAGGGGTGGGGTGGTTGTTTATATATTCTGCGGGTTGCCCTAAGTTGGATCGAATCAGCTGGTATGCTGAATGCTATCACTTACTTCTTATTGTGGCTGGATATTGTAGGTGGATAAATTATAGCAAATGGATAAGTATTAATTCTTCTTAAACTGAGAACAGAAAAGAAAACTAAAAGGATATCGATATACGTGTATACGACTAAAGAGAGTGAGATCATGTCGGCGCTTGAGGTCCATTATTATGCAACAGGTATGAATATTGAGATTCAGTTAGGACACAAAGAAAGAGAATAGCCCACCAATGCCATATTCTCCGAGCCATTTGCTGTAACCTACTTCTGAGTAAACCTGGGTAAGCCCTGCAAACCAACTGTGGTGACAAAGTTGACCATGCAGGGGTCACAGCCGAGGCAATTAGACCCCTCAAGTGGGGTGATGGAGGGGAGACGGTACGAAGTCGTTCATCTCACACTGGACTCGCAACTGCCCGCACCACATCTCTGGCACTACGCTTTAACGAACGAAATGTCCACCATGCAGGCTGTTGTCTTCCAAGGTCCTCTCAAGGTCGCTCTAGAACAGCGGCCCGTCCCACAAATCCAGGAACCCACCGACGTCATCGTCAAAGTGCGCTATACGGCACTATGCGGCAGGTAAGGCGCATTGGTGTGTCGCTGTGAAATGAATCAGATTCTAAGATAAGATAAAAACAGTGAACTCCACGTCTTCCGCGGCCACCAGCCGTCCGGCACGGGCTTCATCATGGGCCATGAATTCACCGGCGAAGTCGTCGAAGTCGGCTCCGCGGTCCGCGGCTTCAAAGTGGGAGACCTTGTCGTCTCCCCGTTCACCGTCAACTGCGGCGAGTGCTTTTACTGTGCCCGGAAATGCTCTTCACGCTGCGCAAAGGGCAAGCTGTACGGCTCCGCGATGTTGGACGGCGGACAGGCGGACTACGCGCGCGTGCCGTCCGCGGATTCGACCCTCGTCGCGGCTCCCGCGGCCGTGGATGAGAAGAAACTCGTCCTGATGGCGGATATCCTGCCGACGGGGTTCTTCGCGGCCCGGAATGCGTTCAAGGGGATGGACCAGGCGACGATTGAAGAGAGTACGGTCTTGTTGTTTGGGTGTGGGCCCGTGGGGCTTTGTGCGTTGATCAGCGCGCTGGATTATCGCCCTAAGCATTTGATTGCTGTTGATAGTGTTCCGTCGCGGTTGGAGTTGGCGAAGAGTCTGGGGGCTGAGCCATGGAATTTCCAGACTGATGCGGAGGGTCTGAAGCAGCGCGTCAAGGATCTTACGGAGGGTCGCGGGGCTGATGTGGCGATTGAAGTCGTGGGGCATAGCGATGCTTTGCGTATGGCCTTTGACAATTTGCGGCCGTGGGGTCGCATCTCGAGTATTGGTGTGCATAACGGGGAGATCCCCTGGACTGGCAATGAGGCGTACGGGAAGAATCTGCAGATCCAGATGGGACGGTGTCCTGTTCGCAGTATGTATCTGCCCCTGGGATGTGAGGGTTGTGTTGACTCTGGTTATTAGGTATCTTTGAGGATGCTTTGGAGTTGCTGGTTCGGAAGCAGGGCTCTTTGGAGTATGGCCTTCGCTTTGCTTGGCTGGTGGCATGACTAACGCTTTTATAGATTCATGGTTGGCGATATTCGGCCGTTGTCGCAGGCGATTCAGGCGTAGGTTTCCGACCCATGGTTGCAGACGGCTTACTGACAAATTGTAGGTACGATGATTTCAACCAGATGAAGTCGCAGAAGATCATATTTGAAGCGGGCAAATAGATTCTGAAAGTCAAGTCCCAAAGGCTTTGAACTGGTTGCTTTTTAGTTGAATAGCCCACTCGCAAAGACATCCTGGTTACGGAATGATTGATATACCAATGCAATGTACTTGATATTTGGCAGTCTCTCGTCCAGTAGTACCAATAGTGTGGCAGATCAGTAAGGAAATTGAATAGATATCGCTCGTTAGGCCATGGCTGTTAATGCTATTAGATTGTGATGCAGACGAGGGTAAATACCCCGGTCAGATGTGAAGTGGCTTTTTAACTCATTGACCGTTATGGACTACCAGTACTACTTACATAAAAGAAAACAGTACCACCAGGCTATACTATCTCTATCCCTCTTCCACAATTTAGAAATTATATGTCAACTATTCTGTATTTCATGCACGCGTGGGCTAACATTCTCCACCAACAGAAAGGCACTAACAGAACAGCTTCCATACCAGCGGCCGTGCATGCAGCTGTAAAAGCCCCGATGCCACCTCGCGGTAAATCCGACGCACATTTTCATCTTACGGAGCCTTTTCAAGATCGCGCATATATAAATGACTCGTTACCGCTTACAACTCATCCCATATTCAACTCCATCAAAATCCCACAAACCAGGGTCTGAAGATGATCGACTTCGAGTTGCCTGACACGCAGACTAGAGTCCGGGAGCATGCGCGCTCTTTTGCTACAAATCACCTCACAACTGCCCACACTCTGTACGAAAATCTACCGATTCCGCAAGCGAAGTTCTCTGCCATCAGACTACTCTACGAACAAGCCGTCAAGGCGGGGTTGATTCAAGCTCAGGTGCCGACTGAATATAATGGCCGGGGATACGGCCTCGTTGACATGGCACTCTTAACCGAGAGGCTGTCTTCAAATCTGCGGGATATGATCCGATGGCCTCTACTTTTGGCTCCAAGCTTTGAGTTAGTATCGCTAGCATACGATCGCTAAGTTTCTGATAGCTGTGCATAATCTTGCACAGCATGGTAGTTGATATAAAGCTTTGCAAATTTACAGAGACAGGGAATTGGGGGTATGTTTCTAAAACAAGACCCCATGATTTGGATTCCTTTTCGGATAGGTAGAGCGCATTAGCCTGTAAGAAACCGTATACCTAATTTCAGATCACAAGGTTACATGCATAATCACAGCGGGGAAAGAAAAGTACGCATCCACTCGGCGTCGAAGAACGCAATATTGTGGCAATCAAGCGACACGTACCCCGCACTATGCAAGCTCTTATATAGACCACACTACATACACACAAAGCCCAACAACGTGTTAGCACACGTACAACAGTACCTAATCCCTGCAATGAATTCTAGACAGTTGGCCAAGGCGGCCATCCCCGCGTATACCTGTCCGGAGGGAACAAAAATGCACCTTCTGGATTTAGGGTTGCTCAGCTGCGAGGAGGGATGGTGAGAGCACACAATTTTTCTATCGTCTCGACCAAAGCTAATAGTAGAAACAGGCTGTTCATGTCAAAGGGCTCAGCCACAGTTAGCAATCCCCAACCAGCCCGGAAATGGCGAGAGATGATCGTTCTGGCGGGTCTCATTGACCACCCGGAAATGGGGCTGATTCTGTTCGAGACTGGATGTGCAGAGGATATTGATATTGTATGCATAATTTCGTGACGGACGTTGGAAAACTGCTAAGAATTAAAATAGAAATGGCCCCCTGCTAATGCGGACACTTTCCCTCGCACGCGGTATGAGCCCGAAAACCGTCTTCCGGCTGCCATCAAAGCTGCCGGGTACGATATCAAAGACGTCAAAGCAGTGATCATGGGACATCTACATCTCGACCACGCCGGCGGCCTAGAGCATTTCCTCAATACAGACGTGCCGATTTATGTGCACGAGGAAGAGTTCAAGTATGCATGCTGGGGAGCAGGAACCAAGGCAGAAGAAGGTGCCTACCTGTAAGTTGTTTCCCCCTTGCGCCGTTGCTCTGTTATATGCCGGTTTATTGACAAACACTAGCGCCGACTATCTCCGTCTAGACGGATCTCTCAATTGGCAGACCTTCAACGACTCCCAATTGGATCTGTGCACGGGGATAACCCTGTATCTCTGCCCCGGCCATACACCGGGTCTGTGCATCATGCAGGTCAACCTGGCCCAGGATGGAACGTTCATCTGGACCACGGACCAGTTCCATGTGCGGGAGAACTACGAGAATAATCAAGCGCAGGGGTGGCTGCTGCGTGACCATAAGAGCTGGATGGACAGTACGAACTTTATCCGGCGGTTGCAGAGGCTATACTCGGCTACTATCATCTTCGGTCATGACTTGGAGGTCGGGACTGCGTTGATTCAGCAAAAGCCATTTTATCAGTGACATTGTGTTTGTGGCTGGTACTTGGACAAGATGGACGGTGATTAGTGTAACGATCGTCATGTAGATAGTGAGCATATGAGAATGGCAGATACGATCCTGTCTTGCGATGTAAATTTCTCACAGCGATCGCGGAATCCCATGGGTGGGCTGGTATGGCACAGTGTTCATAATATATCGCAGCTAAACAAGCATGATGATCCACGGAGTTACTCCACCGATCCTCCATCAAGGGGGAAGAAAAGTTTGTACCTGCATGCTGAAACTCTCCAGCAGTGCACCATCGCTGATAGCTTTAAAAATGTGGGGTCTATACAGGGTGTTCATGTTGAATTCACAGGTATTCCTTACTTACGGACACGAGGATTCGAGATCCGATATCACATCTGTGGGCTTGGGGATCGTCGATCTTTTCCAGTTGTGGGGGTTTCAGTCTTTGACAAATTCTTCCTCTTTAGTGTCTGTGATTGCGGTCTTTGATTATTGTACTCCGTACGGAGTAGTCGAAGACAAATTCCATGGAATTCATGCCGACTAATTCCTGTATATGGGTTCTATAGAACCACGAAAGGTGCACGTTGACCTTCTGGAAAGCCTAATATTGTTTTATTTTCCAGCTGTGACTTAAGTGAGGTCAATAATGGGAATTGGATAGAGAAAGAAGAAAAAAAGTTAAATAAAGTGCCGCGGGCCGAATCCGCATACCAGCTGAAGAAAAATGAAAACATGTACCAGCCAAAATGGGGCACGGACAGATTGATTATCAACAAGATCTGCAGATTTCCAAGCGGTGTGAGTAATACTCGACAACCATTGGATTGGTCTCTCCACTGTCTGGCGGGAACTGAAGGTAAACGAGCCCAGAAAAGGCAAAAGTAAGGGCAGCTGGACGGTGGAGACAGTGAAATTGAGCTGAGGGATCCACCTCGAGATTTTCCGGCAAGACCCTGCTGATCGTCAGGTTTCCTCGATCTCAACCAGGAGACCGAGAGGGTTGACACTGCAACAAGGCGACTAGGGAACGAGTATGCCTACCGCTTATCACGGGATGCTCTTCTTGTCGAACTTTGCTCGTCACTGTGGGTGGAAAACAGACGGTGTCAACACATCTTACGACTTGCTTGGCGGCTGGGCCGGAGTTTTCCCCTTGGCGGTTCCCTGATCAGTAGTCTTGGCTGCCGAACTACTGATCCTGAGCTGCTCCTCGTGTTCGTGCACTGGACTCCGCTTTGGAAGTGTGAAGATTTGATTGGAGTAGATCTCGTCGCCCGACATGGCGAGAGACCCATAGTCGCGTCGAGTCCCGTAAAATGGACTTCAGCAAGTTCAGCTGTTAGGTTGCCATGGAGAAACCGTGGGGAGACAGTAAGACAGTGCGCGATCGCCTTGCATGGAACAGCTCACACGAAATCTAGTCCCACCGTACAAGGGGACGAGATATTGGCCGAACTAGCAGGGCCGGCCTTGGGCTATAAATGCGTCCGGCTCCCAGCGCCGGACCTGTGGACACCCACCCTTTTTTGCTGTTGTTGTCGCATTTCGGGACCAGACCCTGTGGATACTCCAGTTTGAACAGAATGTATGCGTCGCTAGCACTGCTTTTGCTCCCACTTGGAGCCTTCTCATTGCCATTTGGTAATTCTTCACAAACACCCGAGGTAATCCATCATAAATCACGCGTGTTTATAGCTTTGATGGCTGATGTACTAACCTTGATAGGCTTCTTTTGGGGGAAGATGCGGTAGAAATCCTTGCGAAGGCGTTCCTAGCACAGGAAACAGCGATTCCCTATGCAACAACAAACTCCTGGGACCCAAGGTCTTTACGGCGCCAGATGACCCCGAGTGGTCTGAAATGTTCAAGGGATATAGCCCTCTCGGCTCTTACTGCCCGAAGGACTTCCTCCGGGAATTTGCACCTGATGGCAAACAATACGAATATCCCGAGCAGGACGGCGCGTTGTTGGACTCGGTTGGCGTCCCAGTGACGACAGTATACACCCTTGAGGAAGGCATGGAGCTCGATCGGTTCGGAACTCAATATGGAGGCTACTTAGCACCAAGGGACACCCCATTCTCGTGGAGATCCATTCCGCCAAGCAACTTGAACAAGTATCCCAACAGTCCCGAGTATAACTACTGGGTATGGAGGGTCGTCGAAACGTTTAACGTCACGGGTGGGCCAATCGCGCCGTTCTTTGGGCAACCTGGTTATGGCTTGCAGTTTTATCACGAGGGTGGCTTGAAGGAGTTGGAGGAGCAGGGGATCATCGAGCTTATTGATATGAAGAAGTACTCCTGCGATGCCCCGCACAAAGACTCGAAATAAAATTGCTGTTTACTAGTCTTAGAATAAGATAGCAATAATGAACAATTGATGCTCTCACCCTCGTCTCACGACTATTGCGGCTATGCCTCAAGTTTTAGTAGGATTCTGACCGTTTTGTGTCCGAGTAAGAAGACTCAGCAGGCACGCATACAGTATTTTCAGTTGGTCAAGCGTCACTCCAGATTGAATCGCGCCGAGATATGCAGACAATCAGAAATTCTGCGACACCATCACTCAGTTCTTCATAGACCACTTATGCATGGAAGCTCTAGCCCTGAACATAGTACGAGCGAATCCTGGGAAACGGGAAACCTCGCGTCATTACCTTTGGGTCTGATTATCAGATTAGATGCTCAATCGACAGCGTATCTATGATCAGTACGTCCCCTGGCGAATAGTGCGGTCTTGTTGTCAACCATCCGGATATTGGATTGCCAGTTTCAGAAAAAGCTTCTCGAAATTCTCACGCCCCACGAACGCATCATAGGAGTGGTCTACCAGGAACGAGATGTGAACGGAAACCTGTCTCACCATCTCGTCGAATCGGACGGGGGAAATCCAAGCATGAGGGCATGTTCTTGTCGGGGTCCGGTCTGTATCAATCTTCCAAGGTCACTACTAGGATTCCTTCAGACATGAATCATTTGACTCACGGAATTAAATTAATATGGCTGGTCTGAAACACATCAATAACTAAGCTAGATCGAACCTGCTTGGTGTCGAGATCTGGATCTGGTCGGCTTTGGATCAATTGGGTCGAGTAGGCCGCGGTACAGAACCCCCATCCAAGATGTTATAGTCATGTCCTATGGAGTATAGGCACCAAAAGGTCACATGACAGACAGAGCATCGAGAGTCGAAATTCTCAAAGCATAGACGGAGAAACTCGAGTAAATATCTCCGCGCGGGGTTTTGCTCGGACTTAAGCCTGAATGTGGACACCAGAACCGACTGACGCGTTTCGTCGATCTGGTCGCCCGTACTCGCTTTCTGCGTCTTCTCTCAATGCGAAGCCTCCCAACGCACCAAGATGGATGCTTGTTTACTCTAATCAGATCCTTTGGTCTGGACTGTTGAATAGATATGGCAAATTGCCTTGTCCTACTATCCTACTTTTTCTATGATACCCTAGAATTGATCTACGATATAGAATTAGCTATTCAGCACTAGCTTGCGCAAGTGGGGATGGAAGACGCCCCCGAAAGTGCGCGATTTGATGCCTCTCAGGGGCTCGGTCACGTGAAGCCGCACATCCAAACGCCCAAATTGTTTTCTTGATATCGGTGATGGAAATAAAAACCTCTTGACATGTCAGGAACCCATAAGCCAACCATTTTCTTGAACCCGTATATTCTCGACTGGCTGATGCAGAGAGTTGGCTTGAGTGATCCGCTTCCGAGTCTTAATCTCGCGCGGCGTCTCCTGGGCAAAAGCTTGGTTGGCCACTACCCGGAGAAGCGAGAAGATTGGCTCCGTCGGCTCCACTGCATACGTATGAGAAATGACTTTTCGTAGGTGCCTGGTCCTCTTCACTACCGGTGATTGCTCCGAACGGTTGGAACCATACGCTCTACGGTTTGGACCGACACGCAATCCCACTAATCATGCCGCTGGATTATTAGGGGAGATGCGGTAGGCGTCCCAATCCGCAAGGTGTATTCGCAGCGGCGCGGACCTGGTTAGCGGTAGCTAATAAAAGAAATGGTGCCGATGTTGCCGACTGTGTGCTCTGGTCCATTTTGCAAACCTTTCCCACCTAGAGCCCACCGGACGACGACATCCTCGCATCACCCCAGATTCTAGTTCAGCTGGCTCGTGATCGCGCTGCGTACTTGGACGTTACTCGAAAATGCGTGTGCCCCGCGGTGGGCTTCATGGGGCCATTCTTTTCCTCGCCGGGATTGGTTGTGTCGCGGAGGCACTGAGCATTGATATCAATGATGCAGGTACGTCACTGCAAGATTATGAAAGATTGTGTGCGGAATACTGACGGATAACCTTTTGTCTATCATAGACTCCATTAAAAGTGCAGCCAGTCAGACCGCTTACGGTTCGATGTTATGGTACTCCGGCAATGAAACGGGTCAGATTCCGGGAGCGTTTCCAGACAAGTGGTGGGAAGGCAGTGCTTTGTTCTTAAGCCTGCTTTACTATTGGCATTACACCGGTGATACCACCTACAATGCTGAAGTTAGTCAGGGTATGGAGTGGCAGGCTGGCAACGGAGACTACATGCCGGCCAATTATAGTAGCTACTTGGTATGGAAGGTCAACTCCATCCATTCGAGCCATTCTGACCGGTGGTCTAGGGTAACGACGACCAAGGCTTTTGGGGTATCGCCGCTATGACAGCTGCCGAGATCGGTTTCCCCGATGTCGACAACGGATACTCCTGGCTGTCCCTGGCGCAGGGTGTTTTCAACACGCAAGTTGCTCGCTGGGATAGTAGCAATTGTGGCGGTGGTCTGCGCTGGCAGATATTCCCATACCAAGCTGGTTATGCCATGAAGAACTCGATTTCGAACGGTTTATTGTTTCAACTGGCAGCACGTCTCGCTCGGTATACCAACAACCAAACCTATACGGAATGGGCCGAGAAAGTTTGGGATTGGAGTGCATCCTCGCCACTGCTGAACAACAAGACATGGAATGTTGCCGACTCCACCGATATCGCAGGCGGGTGTAAATCCCAGGGAAACAACCAATGGTCGTACAATTATGGCACATATTTGATTGGTGCGGCGTACATGTATAACATGGTAAGTGCTCTTCCGGCCCCAGTTCTTTAGCTGGGGGCAACCCTGGAGTTGCTGTCTAAGTTCCTAAAACTAATAGCTATATCGAAGACCGAAAAGGAAACATGGAAGACCGCTGTTGACGGTCTCCTGGGGGTTACACTGAACACATTCTTTCCGAAAGACTTTAATTACATTATGTCCGAGGTTCTCTGCGAGCCGAACGAGGTTTGCAATGACAATGAAATCCTGTTCAAGGGCCTTGTCACTGGGTGGCTTGCCTTTGTTGCCTTGCTGGTCCCATCAACCTATGACCAGATTCTCCCCAAGTTGCAAGCGTCCGCACAAGGGGCTGCCGCATCGTGCAGCGGAATGAGCAATAACACCTGTGGGGTGCGCTGGCACGAATCGAAGTGGGATGGCTGGGTTGGTATGGAAGAGCAGATTAGTGCCACCGACGTGCTGAGCTCGGTCTTGGTCACGGAAAAGAAAGGGGGCGGGCCCTTGACCTCATCGACAGGCGGAAATAGTACCAGCAACCCAAATGCAGGGAACAACGATGGCAGCAGCTCCGACAAGAGCCAATTAAAGCCAATCACAACAGGTGATAAAGCGGGCGCGAGTATTGTCACCGTTGCATTTGTTGGTGTATGGGGTGGCCTGGTTGCGTTTATGGTACTTGGAACCTGAGCGTTCCCTTTACCACTTCGACTTCTACTTCGTCGTTATCATTTTCCTGGTATGTGTATTATACGAGCGCTTGGATATGACTATTTTTTTAGTTCACATAAAGCCGGTGTGGCATTGTATATAGGGAGCCTGCCTTAATAAATTCCTTGTGAGACTTGAGCGTTGTTGCTCGCAGGGGGGTATCAGAACTTAACACTGCTCAATCTTAATAGTCCAGCTACAGCTCTATGGCATACAGAGTAGATCGTCCGACGATCACTCCAAAAGAGAGAACAGGATTTCCGCATTCTCCAAGTAAGCATCGGTGGTTCCACAGTGGGCCCTTCGGCATTTGTTCGGTGCCAAATCGTCTGCCCTAGCACGTGTCATGCATCAACCAAGATACCAAATCACAATGGACTCTAACTTCAACGCTTGTCAAAGGCATGTTGACATCCTGAAGAAGCAATTCTATTGGGCGTGCATATCCAACCATACTCGTTCACTGTTCGAACATCCAACCACTGCCACTTCGCCAAAGCCCGACGGACCGTGAATCGTGTCCCATGCTATTGACTCGTCGAATCCAGAATACATCGACACCGAAGGAGATCATATCTCTTATTATACTTAAATCACCATTGCCTCGGGCTTCAGGGCTATGTCGGCTATGGTTGCTGGCCAGTATTACCTTAACAAGCCAGCGTTTTGGAAGTGAGGCATCGTTGTCGAAGTCTGTGATTCAAACTTGTTCGATAGTTGTGTCTTCCGCATTTTCAGAACAGTTGGCCATAATATTGTCTACATTATCAGCACTTGGACCAAGAGATCATCCGATTCGACCACATAAGGAGTGAGAGCTACCATGATCTATTGAAACTCGGCGCTGACCCCTCGTTCTCTAAGGATACTATAGGGGACCTGATTCGACCACAAAGGGACAGTGAGGAGGCTATCCTTGAATTCTGGAAGAAATTTGGCGGTTCAACCGGGCACATGACTGGGACGGTGAAGACGGGGAGATCAGACGATCCGGACGCAACTGGTGACAGCTCGTTCCGAATCCGCAATGTTAGAGGGACTGCGAGTGGCAGGTATGAGTGTGGTACCAATGTCGACGAACAATCACACGCAAGTCACGGCTTATCGTGTGGGGGCGACATGTGCAGATGTTCTAATTGAGGAATATCGTCTTTCATATCAAGTGTGAAGCGACTTTACATAATAACAGCGTTAGTATCTTTATGTACACTGAGCAGCTTGCAAATCTATTTATGCTGATTCAGCTTCCAACGCCTCACGACGACTTGTGCTCTTTGGGTCAAGGTAAGGCCGCTCTCCTAGACCAACAACACGGTGACCCGTCCGGGGACCAAAGTCCTTCCCCTTGTAGTCGTACGTTGCGGCGTGATAGGCACTGCGGTTATCCCAGATAGCTGTACAACGGCAGCATGTCAGACACTATGCTTCTCTCTGCGCGGCCGTAAAGGAAAGGGATTACTTACCCAAGTCATTGGGATTCTGCCATCTGAGGCGAACCTGCAGATCATGGTTCTCAACGATCAGAGAGACGAACCATCTCAGCAAATGGTCACTTTCTTCCTCGGAGAGGTCATTGATTTTCGCCACATGAACACCGACAGCGAAGACGCTCTTCCACCCAGTTACAGGGTTCGTCCGAATAACAGGGTGAATGGCCTCCAATTTCTCGCCAACATTCTCTGGAGCACCCCGAGGTCCAGTGAAGATCTCGAAGTCATTCTCCTTCGCAACCTTGTTGAACCCAGGCTGGGCATATGTCGCAGTCAAACTCTCCAGGAACTGTTGGTAAGGCTTGGAAATGCGATCATACAGTTCATAACCCGATGCCCAGAGTGTGTCTATACCGACTGGTTAGCATTCTGTACAGTTTCAGCTTCGCAGAATTATTGACTCACCACCGCCCGTCTTAGGAAGCTCAGTCAACCGGAGAACAGTGTAGTCACTGGGAATTGGCTCGAAGGTGATATCACTATGCCACTCTCGCCGAGCGCTTTGCTTCTTCGGATGAAAATGGTTTTTGTATAGCTTGTCATGGTTCTTAGATGTGATGACACTGATCTCGTTATCCTCAACGCCGTGCTCGCGTGCCCCGTTGTGGATAGGGTGTACATGAAGGCCAGATGTACTGGGCTTGCCGGAAAGAAGGCCTAGTCGCTGGATTAGTTCTTTCTGCAGGTCATCGTCGAGCCCGTCCTGTTTGCGAAAGAACACGACGCCACGTTGGGAGACTAGAAACAACCAGTTAGTAACAAATCCGCTGATATGGGTCTAGTATATCTTTACTCGTTATAGCAAGATCGCGGAGCAGCTCATCTGAATTGGGAGCCTGCAGCCACTCTTTCAGGTTGGCTGTAGGGAACTCGCGGCCAATGACGGGCGTAACATCGAAGGAATCGAAGGAGTCGAGAGCCCCGCTCAGCTTCAAGGGCTCCTTTTGGAGGGTCGTTGCTTCTGATACATTTCCTTTCAGGATAGGAACCACGGGGGTTGTAGTACTTTCAGCGACGGAGGGAGCCATTTTCGAATGATGTGCGGTGTTCTTTGGGGTTTGTGTATCTCAGGATCTCTACATCTACAAAAGTACAAAGAGACTACGACAGCCTACCCTCTTTATACGTCCCATGCCGCCATGATGGTGACATCTCAACTGTGCCGTGTTCCGGAACCCCGCATACCAAGCATCTCCATGTGTTCTAAGCACAACCAGAAGAGCCATAGATATCGCTTGAATCCATTGATAAGACCGTCAGTCTGGAAGTTCGCAATGCCGTCCAGGGATCATGCAATATCTCGCCATCTCATCTGGATGTCTGCGGTGAACTGTGTGTATACGGTCGTAGGCCATCAACCGGACAGAGATGGAGTCATTTGACATGCTGCTTACGCCACCTAGTCAAATTATCACGCTACCAATCATACGTCAAATATCATTTATAAGGTTCCAAGTCCCTGGCGAAAGTATTGGTCGAAGCCTCCTATCTGTCTATTTATTCGACGACCAGGATTTTGAGACGTGACTCATATTCTATCTGACGCTTAGTGTAGGCGCAGGACTCCAGGTAAGCCCGCACGAAACTGGGCAAGATCACAGTACCGAAGCCCTAGGTCTGATATTACCTGGAATACTCCTTATATAGTCATAAACCCAGCCCACATGTCACCCTGCGGTGATATCTGGGCTTCGAATATATGCACGATAGCACTACGATTCATTCGTCCAAACCTGTTAAACAGTGACTCAAAGAGAATGGGGTTTCTATAATAGAACTGGCCACGCTACTCACCCTGTCTTAACTCTATCCAGCACTCCTGGCCTAGGTGAAGACCTTGTCTATCCTATATTAAAGCTCATTTTTCGAAGGCCATTAAGCGCGTGTGAGAGAGGGTATACCAGGATAACTTTATTCACTGGATAGGCAGTATCTATTTTGGCGTATCGTATTCTATATACATATTCTTCCCTGATTAATACCTGGTAAAACAAAAGCACAGTGGCCAGGTTAATCATTAAGAGTCTAGACAAACATACATTTTCCGATGTTCGGGACACAGCGGCCAATACGTTCACATAGAACTGTAACGCTAGAAGAAACATACAGGAAGAAGAGCCAGATAAGTCCAGATGCAAGCTGCGATCTCGGCCTCGTGTTCACCCACTCCTCGTGTCGGGGCTAGTTTGAGCGCGTGCTTGGCGGGTAAGCACATCAGCCGGATGATGGATAGCATCATCCACGATCGTCGTTCTTGGCCTGCATTAGCTCGTGGATATCTAGTTTAAATCGCATAAATTGGCATAAATTTGGATTAGGGGGAATTCTGTATCCGATGTTTGGGGTATGTGGGGTATAATAATGAATAAATCGGTATAAGGGTGTGTTCTTAATATAACGACTAGAATAATCGTATTTTCTATGGATAGCCACATAACAGGGAAGATACTTCGTTAGGATGGGTGATGATAGGTAAACGGTCCAGCCTCTCGCGGAGATAAACAATATATACAAATTCTCTATATCAAGTGCAAATCGTATACAATGTCCAATTATATCGCAACTTGAACCAGTAACTTCATTCAATCAACTTTTAGAGCACTCACCTAAGTACTTTCCACATTAGAATACACTCTACAGCCTCTACCACCCCTACTCTAATGCGCAAACCGAAAGTCCAACCGCTTATTCCCCTCATCCGTAGTCGTAGCCAAATACACCCTCTTCTCCTCCGCCGACATTGAATTCCACTTCCTGTCCCGGGACGCATTCCGCCAAACATAGTATGCCTTCGTAAACAGATAAATAGAAATATTCATAGCCACCAAAGCAACAAGAACCCGGTTTCCCCTCTTATACCTAGGCGCATCGTCTACCCCAAGTCAAACAGGATACAATAACAGCACAGAGGAGGAGAAAGCATACCTTTCCGGTAAATATTCGAAGCAATGATCCCAGACGCCTGCACGCACATATTGTACACGGCAGCGGACACGGTGCGCGAGCGAACGGTATTCGAGTTGCGGGAGTTCCAGGCGACTTGGATTGGATGTGCTTTTGTCATTGGAATCATTAGGACCTCGCATTCTCCGTCCAAAGATTACATTAGATAGGATACACATACCGGACGGAATAGACAAGAATATAGTCAGGATCACCCACGCAACCCACTTATTGATGCTATTGATGTCAACCACATAGAGGTAGATCACGAACGGCAGGGCCCAGAACTGCGGGAACATTGCTGCCCAGGTCAACTGGCCAAATTTCTCGGACAGATATGTGAGTGTGATCATGGTGGGGATCTGGGCGAATGTGCAAGGGATCGTAAGGAGGTTCGTTACGAATGTGTTGAAACCCATGCCTCGCAGGTTGAGTGTGAGGTATTGGTGGGGCGGCGTCATGGGTGTGAGCCATGTGAGGCCGATGGCGTAGAGGGGCCACAGGTCGTAGTCGCAGAGGCTTTTCCAGAGGAGTTTCGGGGTTATCGGTTCGCGGTTGTGCATTGTGCCTTTGCTTGGGTCGTCGCGGATCACGCGGTTGACCATGATTGTTTCTTCGCTGGGGAGTGTTATGTTTGAGGGCCATGGTGAGATGTATCGCAGGAGGGACTCACCGTGGTGTGAACCAGCCTTTCTTGCCTCTCGCCCAGTTAGCAGTTTGGCAAGGTCCTGGTGGCATTAAGATGAATGCGACGAGGCCGACTATCAGCGTTATGAGGCCCTTTAATCACTATTAGCTAGTGTCAAGATTTGGGGCAGTTGCGTTCTGTACTTCAATGAGGAACAGCCATCGCCAACCTGGCTGGCCTTGGACACCGCGTAGGTGCAAGAGCCCGAAGGCTAGAAAGCTCGCGAGAATATCAGCCAGGTTGTAGGCTGTCCAGAAGAAGCTCAGTCGCACAGACAGCTCATGCGATTTATAAAAGTAAGACAAGTAAAGAATGACCTGAGACGTATCAGCAGGTTGAACAGCTGGTATTATGATGCTAACTTACATCGGGGATGAATCCACCCTGGAGCATTCCGAGAAGGGCTCGACAGGCAAGGAAGGATGACCGTCCCTTGAGTCCATATTGAGCCATACCAACCGCCGACCAGAGGGTCATTTGCGTGGGAATCCACCTGTCTGGTCCCATCCATTTGCTGACGAGTTGTGAAGGAAGTTCTGCGCAGAGGAAAGAGAGTTTGAAAACGGTATTCCCTAAGTTATAGTCTAGTGATGTATTAGTGTTTTGTATGCACTGTAATAGGATCATTGGGGCCAACCATTAGTGGTGAGATTCAAGTCTTTCAGGAAGTTGTCGGTTAAGGCCTGTTGAAGGTTCGCTCTATCCAATTCCAGAGCCATGAACATGATCGAGGTAAATATCATGATCCGAACATCAATCTTACGGATGACCCGGTTTTCCTCACCCCAGGTCCATCTTGCGGAGGGGTCAAATCGATGCAGGTTCTCCCAGTCATCATTCGGTTGATATTCATGTGCAGTGTCTGGGTCATCATAGGCTGACGGCTGAGTTGCAATCGCGTCGGGGTCGTACTTTCGACCCTTCTGAAACCAAAGTCTCCGCCCAGTCGATGGCTCACCTAGGGGCGCTATTTCATGGTCGCTAGCTGAGTCTGTCTCTTTCTGTAGTGTCGAGGCAGTTTCATTGGGGGTCTTCGTTGTGCTAGAGAAATGAACCGTAGGCATCCCGGAAGTCTAGGATATAAATTTATTGATTCAGAAGTATATGTATATGAACAAGTGCACCTAGGAAATCATTATATAGCTATATAATCATTGCCCTTGCACTCTGAAACCACAGGCTACACTTACTCAGGGTGATCTAGTCCGTGCTAAGGTCAATCACACCTCGGCAATCTCTCGCATCTGTTGGAATAGGCGAGGGTGGTACATAGTCTGCCTTGGCAAGCGACAGAAGTTGGCGATGCGGGTCAGCTCGGTTAGATCGATAATAATGCATCTGGACAGTATGCAAGAACAACGACCATTTTAGGGAATTAATTGAGGCGCGGTCGACCCACCGGCAATGGGGCATTGTGACATTGAAGTGTATTATGATGCCATCCGCCCTAGAGCTCGCCAGAGCTGGATCCGGTTATCGGCATAACTTTTTATAAATAACCCTCGCTATTTGGACGGGATTTGAGCATTAGTTTGCGAGTGTCTGTTGTAGATTGAATTCGGGTCCATAAACAAGCTTGCATGTCATGTTCCTATCCTGTAGAGAGCACTTAGGTCACCACGGGTTTACCTTGTACCAATGAAGAACAATCTGAAATCAATTCGCCTAGTTTTATCAGAAATTAAGACTAATCTTTGATATTAACCGATGTACGTTGGTAGTCAGCGAGAGCTAACCAGCGGCAGATATATCGTCGCTACTAAAACAGCCACAGAACTCTCCTCTCATGCCGCAAATGTTCAGAGCTTACTTGTAGCCGACGCCACCCTATCTCCAACAGATCTGTTTTGTAAGACGCCTTGAAACGCTTTCTCCACATCGTGCTCTGAGAGCCAGGTTGTGTTGGGCTTGTTCCGAACTCTTTCTGCTAAAATCTCGTCGGAGTCTGTGTTCGTTGCCTGGGCTCCAATGCCTTTGAGGACAATCGCCAAAAGCCTTTCAGTATGTGGGCGCCGCGTCTCATCGTACAAACCAAGCGCATTTCGGATCTCATGTCTCTTTGGTTTCTGAGCTCTGCACGACCCCAGAGTATGTTGAAAGGCCAGAAACAATGCATAAGCGTCGTCAATAGCTAGGGAGCCTCCAGCAGCGAACGCACCACCGTGGGTATGCGCTGCGTCGCCGACCAATGTCACTCGTGAATCAAGTACCCAGGTTGTAAGAGGCTCGCCAGCGTAGTTAGGGTAAATGCGCGTATAGGGAGTTGAATCCACCAAGGCTTTGACCACAGGATTCCAGTCCTGGTTAGTACAAAAACATCTTGTCAGCAGCCATTTACTTTCAAAATCCCAGAAGACAATGATACCTTGTAGCGCTGTCTTAGTACTTCCACATTCCCCTCGTCATCCCACTGTACATTCCTAACCTTGCCATCCGTCTCTACTGGTAAGTCGAAATTGCCGACGGTGGTGTACTGGTTCTTCCCTGCCGCACGGTCAGCTAGATCCTTGAAAATGGTTAGAACAACGGGTTGATACCAAGTCGAGAGGCGAAAAAGTTCTCCTTTGGTCCCCACTGTTTCAATCCAGTAAGCTCCACGAACTTGAATGGTTGAAGGGAATGTGCATACCCAATGTGTGGAATCTAACGGAAGGTCCTGAATGTGTTCCACAAGGGACGCGTCAAATGTCGACCGTAGAAAGACCTTTCCAGTAGAAAACAGCTGATGATCAGGAACGAATGACTTCCTCACTTTCTATACTACTGTGAGCTCCTTGTCTTGTTTGGCTAGATACTCCGTTTGAAGAACCCGCATACCGAATGAATTCCATCCGCGCCGATCAAAACATCTCCTTGGGTGGATGTGCCATCAGCAAAGTGAAGTGTGACTTGGTCATGCGATGCATCCGCGGACACTACTGTTTTGCCCAAATGAATACGTTCGAAGGGGACATGTTCTAGCAGTGCTGCATGCAGATGTCCCCGGTGGAATCTCGCTGTTTCATGGTGACGGAGGGAAACGTCGGCGAAATCGTCCTGGTGTATAACCTCGTTTGTCTTCCAGTGTCTGATTGAATTGATATTGTAAGATTCATTGGGTTATTCTTATGGTAGAAACTCAGCCCAGGCTCTCTACCTGTAAATCATAGGAATGGCAGAAGGGCCACGAAAAGCCACATCTTCGTCGAGAGCATTTAGTACACCGAGCTTCTCGAGCGAGCGGAGTCCCTTGGACATCATTGTTAGTTGAGTAACAACCCTTGCGATTGCAGTCTTACATTGGGACTTATGGCAATGCTGGCGCCGATTTCTCGAAGCTCGGTCGCTTGCTCAAACAGCTCCACCTGAATATACGGGAGAGCTCTTAACGCGACAGCTACGGAGAGGCCAGCAATTCCAGCTCCGGCGATAAGAACCTTGAGCTTTTCCTGGGACATTTGGTTGTACGTGATCCCGACAGGTGGTTGAATACAACAAGAACATCGAAGACCGTCCCTCTTTATAGAGCTTTACACCGGGATTATACCGATAAGTAAAGGTTAAGGACAAGCCCGAGTACTTTCGACAGTACTCCTTATCTGATATTTGCGATCATTATGCAGTGGAGTGGAAGCACGCAAGCCGTGCATGAATCATGCAAGCCTGCGACCAAGGCACTAACAGCGGAATGTATCCTTACTTGCCCATCCCCGCATCTTAATACTGGTTGCTGACCCAATACAAATCCGAAGACGAACTGACGCTGCTGGCCAGTTGTGAAATAAACTCGTTGGCCGATAACGGCGCCGGGTTTTGGTATTCATTGCCGAACTTGCGTGATATGACGCGAAAACAGCGAATTGTGCGTTTCGCCAACATGACAGTCGCATTGGCTCAGAACGTTTAGTTTTCAGGTTATCTGGAGTTTAAGACAAAGCCTGTAAGGTCACCGGCGAATTCTGTAAGTACCTCATGTCTTGGCAATGGATCACTGTGTATGCTGCTGGAGTACTATGCCTATACCGCACGATATGTAGAACAAAAACCATCCCATCCCCGAGTTCCAAGTGAACTTCAACTTATATTAGTTCTGTCTGTGTGTCAACCTTCTGGGAACAATGTCGAAAATGGCGGTCTCAGAAACAGTTAACACCGTCAGCGATGCTGTTCAACCACCTAAGCTCAGTCAACGATATGCCGATGAGAGTTACAAGCTCTTTTCAAAGGTATCAGTGGCGGATCCTACCCCGGAAGAGGCATTAAAAATTAGAAACAAATGTTTATGGAGGATTTTGCCCTTCCTTTGTCTGGGGTATCATCTCATGTATGTCGACAAACAGACAGTACGTATACCATTTCAGAATTGTATTAGCAATGGTTGACATTCATTTTTTCCAGCTGGGAAGTTCAGCCATCCTTGGCATTATGGATGATGCACATCTTAATTCGAATCAGTACAATTGGTTATCATCAATCTTCTACTTTGGTTACCTCCTTGCGGAGTGGCCGCAGAACTGGGCCCTTCAGCGCTTCCCCGTCGCAAAATGGCTGGCTGGCAATCTTGTCGTATGGTAAACGCTAGCTGTTCTGTTAATATTCTCGTTGGAGCTTCTGCTAAGTTAATCAGGGGAGGGATTACGCTTCTTCATATACCATGCAATAGCTTCGCCACATTATTCGTCGTTCGTTTCTTTCTAGGGGTAGCAGAGGCATCTATCGTACCTGCTTTTCTGTTGATCTTGTCTATGTTCTTCACATATAAGGAACAGGCTGTTCTGATGCCCATCATGTGGTCGATCGGAAACGCCAGTCCTATCACCTCTGGTCTACTTTCCTACGGGGTGTTGTGGATCAAAACTGGAACGTTTGCCCCATGGAAATGGTTTATGGGTATGTCCCTCGCATGAGCAGCGATCTAGCCGCTTACCCAGTCGCAGTCATCACTGGCGGCGTGACCGTTGTGTTTGGATTGGCAGTGTGGCTCTTCTTTCCTGATAATCCTCTACGTGCCGGCTTCCTTACGCCAGAAGAGCGTGCGCAGGCAATCCTTCGGATAAAGGAGAACCATTCGGGAATTGAGCAGAAGCACTTCAAGAAGTACCAGTATGATACCACTGTTGTCTTATCTTCACACATATGACTGCAGGTTTACTCAGGAACTGACGATTATTAGATTCATTGAGGCAGTTAAAGATCCAAAGTCCTGGTTGTTCTTCCTACATGCCTGGTCTCAGGAAATGGCCAACGGAATGACCAACCAATACTCACTAATCATTAACTCCTTTGGGTTCAGTGTGCTTCAGACCACTCTACTGGGGTGTGTAACTGGGATAGTCAGCTTCTTCTCGCTTGCCTCGGCGGCAGCGGTTCTAGCGAAGACAACAGTAGGTTTGGCCGAGAATGAAAACCAGTCAATTACCTTCGACCAGACTAACGAGAATTTATTAGAACTGCAGGGCTTGGATTTCTCTCATTGCATACATTCCCGGGGCTATATCTAGCATCTTGCTGCTAAGCCTACCGTGGTCAAATCGATGGGGCCTGATCACAGGGATCTGGATCCGCTCAACTGTCGGCATTCCGTATGCAGTGGTCATGATCTGGGCTGCTAACGCATCTGCTGGTCATACTAAGAAGACCACAGTGATAGCCATGTACCATATCGGATATGGGTTGGGGAACATCCTCTCACCACAACTTTTCCAACCGCGGTGGAAGGTATGCACGAGCGATCTGTTGGCTACTTTCATTTTGACTAATGAGATAAATGATAGCCGCGGTATTATCCCACTTGGATTATCATCTTGGTTGTAAGTAGCCGATTGCGCATTTCATTAAGGATTCGGATACTGACCATTGAAGGTCGCCTGCATCCTACCTTCAATCATCATTATATACCTGCGATTGTATCTCGCGAAGGAAAATGAGCGCCGTGATCTACTGCAGCGTGAGACACTCGTCGCAGACACGGGTGTGGTTGAAGAGGTCGACAATGACGGTACGAAGCACGCTCACCTGGTGGATAAGAACCAATTGGATTTGACGGATCGTGAAAACCTTTCCTTGTACGTGCCTTGCTCCTCTGATCCGTTTCGAAATTCACTAATCATATGCTTGTTGCTAGCCGATATGTCCTTTGATGTAGAGATACGTCTTTGGCTCAAATATAGTCAACTGTTCATAAAGATCATGCGTATATCTTTTTTGGGTCTAGAACTTCAGTTGGGTTGCTTACCCTGTATTAACCCCTTGCCTCTGTAGATGAGTCGTTTTCACGTAGTACAAGGGGTTACAGGCCTACAAGAGTACAGGATTAAGGATAAACCGATAATGGCAATCTCTGGGTTGACTATGAATCAAAAACGTATAAAGTACACCAATGCGAAATCCTATTCCTGCCTGCAAGCAATAGAAACCCTGTTTCCAGTCTTCCTGTCCATCACAAGCAAACTATCCACCACCTCTCGATGTCGGTCATGTTAGATACTAGGTCTGCAGTTCAGGGAAATCCTACAGCACCCAGGCAAACACCCACAACGCATTTGTCACTCTTGAGGGGCGCTATCGGTCTCACAAAGATGGGCTCATTCGTCCCGCTCTGATTCGGTATCTGCAGAGGCATAGAATTCGTAGATCTCACGCTTGACATCACGAGGTGGCTTCTGAGGCCCCAGACAAACTCCATAGAAGCACCTGTCGCCAGGGCAGCAATGAATATCAGCTCTGCAGCCACGCTTGCAAGGGTTCTTCTGCTTCCTCTTCTCGAGGGGGGTGGCAGGAGAGGTGTCCTCGTTATCACCACCGTCGTCCTCATCCTCGTTGTCCTCATCGTCCTCGCCCTCGTTCGAGTCGCCCTTGTCTTCCGCCTGTTCTCCGACGTAATGGTTGATCTTTCCTTGTGGCTTGGGCAAAGCGTTGGTGGTTTGAATGAGTTTCGCCAGCTCAGGGTCGAATTTGCTCTCAGCCTGAGGGGCTTCGTCACGCTTGTCTGGCCAGTCTGGCCACTTCCAACCTCCGGGCATTACTGTACCTGGGCCCGGCGGAACCGTGTTCTCCCGCCAGTACTGCAAGTAAAAGCTCAGCTCCTGGGGTGTGAGGTCGCTAAACGTTATAGGTTGCTTGGGAGCGACGGTGCGCAGAGCTACAATCGAGGTTAGTCAATGTCGACGGAAAATGGTCATAGTCTTGTGTCAAGTAGACCGAGAGACACTAACGTGGAGCTGCGGTAGTGGTGCTGTCAGCCGCCTTGGGATCAGCCTCAGTGGCAGCCACGAAAGCGGCGAAGACACACAGGAGGATAACTGAAGCCTTCATCGTGAGGTGCTCGTTCAAGCGTAAGGTGTCGTAAGTCGTTGAAGTATAATGGCGTTGTGGGATAGATCGCAAATTGAGAGTGTGAGTTGGGTTGTACAAAAAAGAAGCAACTGAACAGGGCATTATGGAGGCTTTATAACCTGCATCTAGAGAGTATCCGCTCTGACTGAATGATGTCAGTGAACAGGTGAGAGGTTTTCCGGGGTCACATTCTCTGGGGTTGACTGACAATTGAGTCCATCTTCCCGGCCATCGAGCCAATACATTTGGATTGCATCACCACGGCTCGGAGCCATTCCATTGATGGCGTCTGCCAGGTGACCGTACAATACTTCACTTTTGGGCAGATGCATTCAGGTCAGCCAAGCCTTGCCGATCAATATTGAATATAAACTTGGTCATGGTGGGCCTCTTTGCCCCGTGGCGGACTGGGCAGGGCAATAGATGGCCACACGGATGAATCTAACAAGGATCAAGTACAGCTCAACCCACTCTAAGGTCAGACATCATGATCGTCAATAATATGACTTTCACTGTATACAACACAATGCCTTAACATACAGACCTGGAGTGAAGAATATCTATATCCAAGGCAAGAGTCTCCGCGAGTGTCACCATCTTGAACGCCCTCGGAGCCATTTCCACACATAATACAGTGTATACTATAGCTCTAGTCAGACAGTTAAAATTTACTCACCCCCCATCCTTTGTTCACCCAATGCATGGAGCCCTAGCTTCGCCACAAAGGTGGATTACGGACTCTAAGAACAAAAGCGCGATCGGCCATGGGCTTTCTAGTCCAAGGCTAGTGGTTTCACGTTCTTTGTTTCCTAAACTTTGAAGTTTGCCCCGTTGCTTGATCGACTATGCTTTCGTACTGGTTCCTGGCCGAGGTTACTTTGTCTTCGTCAAGACAAAGAAGTGAGAACCTTAATGACGGCCCAAGTTGCCCCGACCACCATTTCAGTGATAGTACAAGAATACTATAGTGACATAAATAGATCAATCTCTTTCCCCGCAATCCTAAATGCGCAATGAGGAACAATACTACGTCCCTATCCGGGGTGTCTTGTTTAGGAACCCCGGGATTGACTGTTCTGCGTCGACGTCACTGTAGGAAGGCTTCTCTTGGCTTCGTATTTGGATAGTCATTCTCTTACGTCAGGTAGTTGGGGTTATGCATATTCAATACTTACTGTTCTTCTAGACTCGGTTGTCCGGGGTGGTGGTTGGTTGTCATGTGAGATGATTTTCCTTCTATGTATGCAATGGGAATTCAACAATCGCAGAAAATAGAGCAATGCTAGTAGGAAACATCACTCTAGTCTTGCTGGGAATTTAATTTATTATAAGGTCTGCACTGTGGTTGAGAGCGAAAGGGACGTTAGGAGAATGAACAAGGTCAATATGACAATTCCACCTCGTGTCTGCTTCCCAGTCCAGGTCGATGAGGCTATTCCACATCATGTTCAGGGAAGTTAATAACCATTTTAGCTAATTCTTTCGTATTTTTACATCTATCAAGCAGCACATTCACGTGGAAACGGCAGGCCTTTGATCAACGAACTGATCCGCAAACCTTTGAACCCTCCTATAGCAGCTTGCCTCCCGCGCATCTTAGGCCCGAAGCAGAACTTCCCAATGACACCGAGGAAAGCAGGAAAAGGTGGGAGGCGTGGCCCATGTAGAGGGCACTTACGTGAGATTGACTTCGTTCACATCCATACGAAGTTGGTTACCAAGAGAAAGTGAACCTCGCCGGACTTCCTTCAATAACAATCCGTTGAGGCAAGTATACGTATGACCAATTCTTTGTCTACATTGAAAGATAATAAGCGAGGCACTTCCGGCGGGTCTCACGATCGTAGATCAGTACATTGTGCTAGACGCTCACCTTGCATTAGCGTGTTCCCATGGAGGCGGCGGGTCACGTATGGAGAAGCATTAGTCTTAATCATGACGTAGATCACTTCACACACTTGTACTTTGTATACAACTTTAATATAGAACGGCGAACAGAAAGCTGTCTATGCAATCGTTACTGAACAGAAGCCAAGACTAGCTCGTATCTGCACCGTGGGCAAGTCGGGAAGGTTGCGCATGAATGCAAGTTGAGTCGCTCCTCCCGGTTTTGTAGTTGTCTATTTTTACTCCTCATCGCGGATAATATGGACCGATGTGACCTCAGATCTGCTGTGGTCCCTTCAGATCTCACATCATAGACTGAACATTGGTTGGAATTCTGATTCGGGCCATATCGAGCGTTTACCGTTCAAAGCACTGATCTAATAATAGCTACGAGAGTATTCTCAACAAGCTATATATATATCATAACACACACTTGATATTGTTTCAGAGTAGTATGCAGAGTAGGAGCAGACTGGGTTCTAAACTTGATAGTGGACATGCAAATGCTCTCGGGTCGTCCTCAAATGATAGCCCCTCGCTGAATTCCTCCTGCCTCAGGCATGGTATACCAGCCACTATAACACCGCCACGTTCATGCGCCACGGCTGGAGACAGCACTTCCCATTAGGCAAGTTTTATACCCTTTGTCAGCATAAGTCTCTCTTGATTACGCATTATCGAGTAGAATATTACTCGGTTGACTTTGTTGAATTCGAAAAGCGGGGTTGGTGTCTCCTCGTTCCGTGCTGCCAGTCAACACTCAACTTGAAACATTTCGTATCGGATTCCACTCCAGATATTGTGGAGTTTATGTCAAGGTCAAGGTTGAATAGAGCGCTGTTTATGCTCACGTTATTTACCCCATGGTTTACCCAATATTTCGGGGACTCGGTGGCCAAGAATAATTATACTCAGTGATAAATGTTCTGGACTGGGATATAGTCCCATACACTATAAATTATATATAATGGGCAAGGTGGATGACCATGCATCTGCTAGACTACCATTAGAACCGTACTAGATCAAAAAAAGGGATCAAAAACGAGACCAATAAGCGCTAGAAGCTACTACGTACTCCCTAAGAAGAAAGAAGAGAAATAAAAAAAGAGTCTCTTGGGTCTAGGCGTGAAGCTGTCAATGGTCTAATCGTTGCCGCCGAAGTAATAGCGGCGCCTCCCGCAATCAGGTTAGCGTCATGGTCACTGACTCGGATATTTTTCTGTTTCTACTTTTAGCTCGTCGTTAGTGATTACATCCACACCCACCGACTTGGCAATTGTTCAACTGCTGTTGGATCGCTTGATGTGATTCCTTCGATTCCTGGGCCCTCGCCAGTTCCAGAGTCACAGACATGGACAGGGAGCAGAAACCTTGCGCAGTCGCACTGGAACCTTGATTGGTCTGAACAGGCTGACGGTGCAGCTGGCCAGACTGATAGGCCCGAATAAGCTGCCCTAACGGCTGCAGAACTGATCTTAGGGCCACTCTGTGATCCTGGTCCCACCCATTAGTGTTATAGAATTATTACCCTCACTGTGCTACATTGCCGCCGAATGGAAAACGCCGTCTATGACTGGTGACGCCCTGCAGCTCCAGAAGCCTTTCCTTTGTTTTTAGTCGTCCACGGACCCCGACCTGAGCCGATGATGCGCCGCCTCTGTCGCTCCCCTGATTCCTTTCCCCCTTTTGGGGCGACCAATGACGACATCCCAACCCATGTCGCTTTTCTCCAGGATTTCTAGCTGATGAGAGAGCGCTCTCCCCTCTCTTTCCTGACAATATCTCAAACCCCCAGAGCATTTTATGATCGCAGAAGCAGAACATGGCTCAACACACAGCAGACAAGAGAGAGGACATGGAAACCGGTGTAAAGGTAGGCAGAGCCACATCGTTGCTCGGAAAAACGGAAAAGGCTGATCGCAACGTTCCGTCCGCCTTAGAAACAATCTAGCCATGACTACGACGCCGAACATGCTCACAAGGAGCATGGAAGCGGACGAGGGATGCTGGCAAGGTCTGCCACGCGTATCCACACGAAAAAATCACTCCTGGGATGTGGTTTTGTAGCGGTATGTATAAACTCTGTTTACGCCCGGTCGCACGGCCCTGACGCCAGTGAATCAGCGCACATTTAATCAGGGTCAAGGGCCCCGTTCGGAGCAAGATTCCGAGCCCAATCCGGAGCGCGCATCGCATCGCAAAAACAAGTCAAAATCCGGGGGTTCGCCTCCTATAAAGCCAAGCCAAATTATGGACGAACACCCGGGGCCCAACCCTGCCGAGCTAGGGGACCCGGAAGGCGTGCACCCGTCAACCAAGGTCGAACCCGCGCCGAATCCTCGTACTCGTGACGGTAAAGTTAAGCAGATGGAGAGCCACATCGTTGCCTTGGCGAGAGGAATCACCGAATTAGACAATGATCGCAAACGACTGCAAGCGCAAGTTCGCTCGGCAAGGAGCGGCTCCTGGGTCACCAAAAGCAGTCGGCAGATACGCGAAGAACTGTCGAGTTTTGAGGCAGCAATGCGACATTGGGCCGAAAATTATAGCGTCGGTGAGATACGTGCGCTTGATAGGTTGCCGATCGAGGAGAAGGACGCCATCCTGGAACGGCTGAGTGGATATTGCGCACAGGTGGATTGGACCACACTCATTGAGAAGGCGTCTACGATGGCAGACAACATCCCAGCTCTTCTTATGCAGGCTCTGCTAGCCAAAGATATCTTCGGAACAATCTTTGCCAACCCCTTCTTTGCCTTCGGGGAGTCTAAAGAACCCTCCACGGCGCACGCTTCCCAAACATTATCTTTTCTATACGCATCGATGCTGGACGGTATGTTCCTTGAGTTACCATGTAAGGCACCTACTGAGTTCTAACCAAACGTAGTCAACAAGGAAGAAGCCCATATCTGGCGTTCGCAAACTCTTCGGCTTTTGGCCACACCTCCCCCGAACTCTGTGCACAATGCACCGTTGCGCGCGAAGGTGGAAGCTATAACTAGTGAGCTTGCGGTTGAATTCCTCGCGGGTCCTGTTCAGTTACTCTTCCGACACAGAAATGATTCATGGGCGATCCAGCGCAACCAGGAACTCTACCAGCTTTACCAGACCGCTGGCGAATTGGCCATCTCCCTGTGGACGCAGCGATCCTTCATGCGGTGTTACTGTATGGATGAGCTCCCCATATTTCGGGCAGAGCATCCGGTAATGAGCGCACATGCCCTTCATCGTCCACGTGGGGACGACACAAGATTAGACGGTAAGAATGCTTTGATCATAGTTCATCCGGCCATTGTTGCCTTCGGGAATGAATATGCGGAGCATTATGACCTGTGTAAGGTTTGGGCTAAGGGTATTATCCTGGTGGATGAACATGCGTGATGCGAAGGCTATGATGGATATCAACGCTATCTGACGAGAATATTTACAGTGTAACATACTTAATTATAATGCATACCCCAATACATTCTTCGCCTTGGGCTTTGACAGATCCAGGTGACTGCAATGAATTACCAATTGGTGAAGTGCTACTCTTGGACGAGAAAGAACTCGTATCCGGAATCTCACTCGATCTTTGCCTCTGCCTGTAGTGTCAGGTCACCTATATACCCCCCCGGTTGAATACACAAGGGGGTACCCTGTTCAAAGAAGACTGCATAATGTTTCTAATTTATGCTGATCAGCGATCGCCCTGAAGGCTTGAGCAAAGCCACCCGCCGATCCTTGGTTATTATATATGCTTAATGCTAGTGGCTAAGCCTACCATGCTATACATCTTTACTTTGGTCATGAAACAGGAGGGTGCATGCTGTCATCGCATGCAGCTGTGCTATGAGGAACGAGTCATGAAATAAGTTTCCTGGTAGCGCGTAATAGAAACGGGCGACTATGTTGATTTCAACAAGACTCCATCACGGCTGCTCAAGAAGAATATACTTGTAGCATACCACCGGAACTCAATAGGTAATGATTAAATGACGATAGGTTCCGAGAAGTAATCGTTCACTCTCCAACAGAACCACAACACCCATCTCGCAATCGGCGTCTGAGAGGGAACGATACCTCATATACACGGATTCCTTACCTATGAATACTTGTGTTATAATCTCTGTCTATGTCGGCTGGCCTGATGAGCACGCTTCACATATTATGAGCTATGGCCTTCAATCGGTAGAGAGCTGCACCCGCGCCCCACCTAGGGAGTTTCCTTTTACAGGCCGATGAAGACGATATTGGTTCAGGCCTCGCTTGCAGTGTATACGACAGGAAGAAGGTATCAGGGTCAAACGTTGCTTGGAAACTTCTCCATGGTATACTACTGTCATCAGGTGCTATCGTTGTGCACTCTGCTGCAACCGGGTCTTGGAGGCAACCATACAACCTTGTAATATTGGTAAACAGAACGGTCCAGTCCTCTAATATTTGACTTGTCCCGAACGTTCTGAATGAATGCAGCCGATTGATCAATCTCGCAGTATGTAGATCATTGTGTTATCAGATGCCATCAAGTCGACGGGAGCCGCGGAGCCCGATCTTATCGATAAGCTCGTTTACCCTAATCGCGCCATCTTATCGCCTTCGGCGCATGTGTTTCCTATTCGGGTAGTCTACCAGAAGCATATAAACTCACTGATGTTCATACCATCAGTCTTTTCGCATTGTAGTCTATACACATCATATAATCTGACCTCTATCAAGATGGCATCTCAATCAACTAGTGGTTCCTCCAACACCGTGGACGTGGTAGTCATCGGCGCTGGACTCAGCGGGCTACGGGCGGCTTTGGGTGTGCAGGCAGCGGGACTCTCCTACGCAGTAGTCGAAGCTACTGACCGTGTAGGAGGCAAGACTCTGACCGTGCCGTCCAAGAAAAGTGGTCCTGGAGTCAACGATGTCGGCGCCGCCTGGATCAATGACACCACGCAAAGCGAGATTTATAAGCTGGTCCAGAAGTATGGACTGCAAGTCGAGACACAAGCAATCCCAGGCTATGACATCTTCCAAAACCCCGAGGGCTCTGTATTGTTCAAACACGGTGAACTTCCGGTAGGTACCCTTCCTTGAACAAAAGTATTTCTGGCTGGCTTGTACTAATTAATACACGGGTGTCTAGGTGAGCGAGGAAGAGCAGGCGGCATTATCTCAAGTGTTGGCGCATATCAATGAGCTCGTCTCCGACGTCAATCTGGAAGACCCCGGCTCCGGCCCCAACGCGAAAGAGCTGGATAGTGTCAGTATCCAGGAATACTGCATGCAGACCTTCCAGTCCGAGTTGATTGCCGATCTATTCGATACCATTATTCAATCCTTGATTGGTGTGAATGGCAACGAAGTCAGCATGCTGGCTTTCTTGCTCTCTCTGAAGGCCGGCAACGGATTCGAGGCCATAACCTCGGACGGCAAAAATGGAGGCCAGCAGCTCCGCGTTCGACAGGGTAAGTTAATCTCACAAACCCACCATGCAACCTACGATACTAACATCAGCCCTAAAGGCAACCAAACAATCTCCAAAAATATGGCGGCAGAGCTAAAACCAGGCTCCATCCATCTCTCTAGCCCCGTAACCGAGATCAACCAAGACTCAGTCACAGGAACTTGCACCGTCCGAACAGCAAACAACACCACCTTCCACGCAAAGAAAGTCATCCTGTCCGTTGCAACTCCCCTCCACAAGAACATTACATTCACCCCACCCCTCCCTGAGTACAAACAGTTGCTCGCAAGCAGAAATAAACTAGGCTACTACAGCAAAATCATCTTCGTCTTTGAGAAACCTTTCTGGCGCACCGCGGGCCTCACCGGCGCCATCCAGTCGCAGACGGGTCCCTTCACCTTCACCATGGATAACAGCTTCCCAGATGACGAGCAGTGGTCCATTGCATGCTTTACTGTGGGCCGGCGTGGTCGCGAATGGTCCCTGCTCTCGCAGGACGAGAGACGTCGCACAGCGTGGGAACAACTCCGCTCCGCGCTGGAGAATACCAACCTACCGTCCGGAGAGAAGATCCAGGTCCCGGAGCCTATCAATGTTCTCGAGTATGAGTGGTCCAAGCAGGATTTCTTCCACGGTGGGCCTGAGCCGGGTATGCCCCCGGGTGTGATTTCTCAGGTTGGGAAGGGTGCCGTGAGGAAGCCGTTTGGGGGTGTGCATTTTGTGGGGACGGAGACTGCGCTACAATGGAAGGGGTATATGGAGGGTGCGCCGAGGTCGGGAGATAGAGGTGCTAAGGAGGTTGTTGAGGCTCTTGTTCAATAAGGGCTGGTTTTCGTATGGAAGAAAGGTATGGTGGCATTTTAAGATTGGCCAAGGATGAGAATTAGTCTTCGAATTATAGGGTTGATATTTTTGCTTTCTGATTTGCAATACGAGAAGTAGGATAGCATGCTAGCGTTGAATCAATTCCATTGTCTATCACTAGTTAAATCCTTCATCCTCTGGGCACGGCAGTAGGTTAACACCGCGCAGCTGAAGGATCAGCTGGACAGGGATAGTCAGAGAGTATCTCCTTCATACACTGGAACAATTCCTTCGCAAGCGAATTTTTATACACATAAGACTCACGACACACATACGTATCCAGGAAATCTGGGAACCGCTGATCTCACCCCGCAGGGCTTTGGCACTTTATAAACTGGACCAAATTTTACAATGAGTGATACGAGACCCGTGCTGGGCGTCGGGCTTCTTTTCGAATTCCAGAAGAGAATAGTGCTCCTAAGCTTTCCTTTTAAAATTATTATATTTAGTGCTTCTGGAAAACATTTCTGGTACAACAGGGTCCAGTAGCTGCAGGTGTATCATAGCAAGAGGTACCAATGACACCAAGGGAGAGAGTTTTCTGGTTGATATGGTGAGCATCAATTTTTAAGGTGAATGCCAATCGTATTAGACGCGATACATGTCAAGCTTATCTGATATTGTCCATCATGGACATACAGTGGGGGCCACATACTTTTGGAACCCCCACTGTACTGGACGTACAATGATTTCATCGGTGAATGGCTACCTTGACCACCGACCATTCCTGGTGTAGCCATTATGAGAGGAGATTGCATTTTGGATCTCAGGAAACATGATATGTCATAGGCTTCTTGAGAGATAGTACATGACAAAACATAAAGCGTCGCTATGTAGACCCGGCTTCATTATCACATAAGAGATATAATTCCATCAAGGTGTCATACAGAACCATATACCAACTTTCTTCTATTCATACTCCGGTGGTTACTCAGGGCGAGGAACCACCAAGCAGCTGTCCTGAACTCAGAGAGCAGATTAAGAGATAAATGCACTGGGCATCTTTCCAATCTTCTCGATCGCTGATCCAATCGCACCGGAGATATTAAACTGACTTGGAATGCCATCCACTCGGTGCGTAGAATTGATGTTCTTCACCAGGACGATCTGGTAGCATGTGGCACCTCCTTGGCGGGAGACAACGGTGGCCCAAGAAAGGAACCATTCCCAGGTCTAATTTTTGATTAGGAACGATTTCAAGTACAGATAGAATCAAACACTTACTCGGTACCACTTCGGACCATACTTCGCCTCCACATGTTCACGGTTCGCAACCCAGTTGCGATACCACCGCCAAAGGGTAGCAGAGTAATGAACACCGACAGTATCAACGCCCTTGATCTCAAATCCCGTTCCCTCAAGTTGATCAATGACCCATCCGAGAGGCGTGCTTGCATCTGCTCCTGGGAACACGTACTTGTTCATAAACAAGCCCCAGATCAAGTCCTCGTACTGCCAGTACTTTCGAAGACCGGAATATTGCAAATAGAAGACACCGTCATCATCTAACATATCGTGGACCTGTTTCAAAAAGCCGCGGAAATGGCGAACGCCCACATGTTCCGACATTTCAAGACTAGTAATTTTCTTGTATCCTCCCGGAATCCGAGGAGAGTCACGATAGTCCAGACGATGGATTTTGCTTTGAGACTCAGGGATACCAGCGTTGCGAAGGGTAGTGTTGCCCCATTTCGTCTGGTTGCGTCCTAACGTGATACCAGTGACATGGGCCTTGTAGTGGACACTTGCGAAGGTAGCTAGAGTTCCCCAGCCACAGCCGATGTCCAGCATGGTGTCGCCCGGTTGCAAATCGATTTTTTCGCAGACTACAGTAAGTTTGTTGTCCTGAAGCTGTTCGAGTGATTCTTCCTTGTTGATATCTCCAATAAGCCCAGAGGTGTAGATCATACGGGGGCCAAGGAACCATGCGTAGAAATCATCGCCACGATCGTAGTTGCCGCTCACCTGTTCCTCGTCTGTTCATGCGTTAGCCGGACATTCCATACAATAGACCTTACTCGAAGCACAAAGGGGAGATTGGTCCGTGGGGAGTGATTTGTTTGTACCTTGAGAGCGAGAGTGAACGATGAGCTCAGGAACAAACCCGAACAGGAAATGCTTGAATACGCCCCATGAAAAGCTGAAGCTGGCCCAATCATGGCGATACTCGAGGTTCTCCAAGCAATCTCCATTCTTGAAATCCACCTCACCCCGGAAATACTTCTCGTAGAAGACTTCAATGGGGATTTTCTTCTTGCCGTTGTACCGGGCCCGATCGCTCTCTTTATGAAAATTGAGATAATACTCCACAGGTCGACCCGGAAGCTTTGCCTTCTCATTCATACGGGGGGACATGGAGGAGAAAATCGTCCAAAATGCCATGAGGATAGGGATTGCGGTGCATACTGCAATGAAAATGGCGAAGTAGAGGCCACCGCCCAGTTGGTAGGATATAAACCAGGGCACACCAATCAATAAGGAAAAGAGGAGGAGGTTAGACCATGTGTCGTTTCCGGCACCGTCAGCGGGAAGAGGGGCATTTTTGATAGCGGGAGACTATACAAATACGTAGTGTTATCACAAGTTCTCGATTTTGAACCGGCCACTCATTCTTGTTTCTTGTTTGACAACGCAATTGTGCTTACCGTTGTAGTCCGAACTCCACAGTCCTGTTTCGGAGCGGTTTGTGTGGTCTCCGGGGTCACAATGAAGTCAAAAAAGGGAGGAGACTCGGGGTGCTTTTGTGACATGGTGTCGATAGGAGAGCTCAAGATCTGGCACCCTCTCCGAAACGTAGAATGGCCGACGGAGAGTGATGGAATTAGGTTCGGTTTGTTTATATAGCACCATTTTTACGGAACGAGGACCTGGTGCCCTGGGACCCACCTGACACGTACCAATTCAATTTCGTTGTTTCAAAATATAGTGGACCGAGAATGGCCCACTGGGTGGTGCTTAGTATCAAGCTCGCCAGCTCCTTCTGAACCGACTGTCGAGACAGCTGAAGGTATACCGAAAGAGGATAACCGACGTTATCTATAGACTCACCGCCTAACCATACAAGGGCTAGCGCAATGTGATCCATACTCACCATCCATTAACGTGGACATCGGATCCAACGACATCCCTTGTATCCTCTCTCCACTGCCCAGAAGCAAAGGATTGGCCAGAAGCTACCATGCACGGGGTCCTCCAATTCAAGAGCACCAACGACGAAGGGTCTTTCCGCCCTTACAGACGAAGGAATGCCAAGAGGACTAAATCCGGGTGCCTCAGCTGTCGGGTCCGGCACACCAAGTGCGATGAGACTAAACCAATCTGCGGCGGCTGTGTACGCAATCATTTGCTCTGTTCCTGGCCCTGCTCGGGAAAGACGATCACTGCTTCGGCGTCCGCGGGGTCCGACTGTCCCGAACCGTCCCAGAATACGACATCACTGCGTCGCCTCTCCCCGAGCCGTGCCCTATCGCTTTGGCCTCGGCTCCGTGGGAGATCGGGTGAACAACGGCTACTTCAGCATTACATCGAGAGGTCGGTACAGAGACTGGTAGTCAGAGATGTCATTAATAACCCTTTCCTCGCCTATATGTTGCCTTTGGCGCAGCAAAACGATGGATTCCTTCATGTTGTCTTTGCCATAAGCGCTTCTCATCTGTCTTATGATGATCAACAATCACATATTGTCGCGCTTTCCCATTATGGGGTTGCGCTACGGGCAGTCAAGTATCTAATCACGGAGCATGGGAGTGGGTATAATCGTAACCCCGTGGTGATAGTGTTGCTGCTCCTAGCCTTGTGTAATTTTGAGGTGAGCTCCTCTTCATCCTGGATTATAACCACTTGCCTTCGGCATGTGGCTGACTTCTCAAGTACTGTATATTAATTAAGACTTCAGGTAATAGACGGAGATACAAAGGGCGCAGTGATGCAACACTTACTACCGTGTTGTGCCCTGTTGGCGTCTCAGAATAATCTCCTAGACACAGTCGATGAGGATTGCGCATGTTTCATCGCAGAGCAGTACATGTTTCTTAGTACTGTCAACAGTCATATTGGCCTTGGCCCCATAAAGAGCAGCAACTACACGCCCACCGAGAGCCAATCCTTACACCTTTCACCACTTTCATACCGAGCTTATTATCGCGGGCGATCTTCCGGCTGTGCGTACGAGCTGTTTGAAATGATCCCATCAATCGGCGCTTTTGCTGAGAAACCAGCCCTGTCTTCTCCCCGACATCTTGATCCAGATATCATTGCGGAGTTCCACTCCCTCGAACAGCAGATCCTACTATGGGTAGTACCAGCGCCATGGAATGGGACAGGGGCCCCCAATGGGCCTGACGAAGCCGAGGTAGCAGCTGCGATGTTTCAGCAGATGGCCCTACTTATAACGCTGCGATGTGCGCTCAATGGCCCAGGGACGCCGTCACCACCCATTCAAGGCCAGATCTCGTGTTGTGTGTATGAAGCCAGAAGACTATTAAAAACCATACCGCCGTCGAGTTACGCATGGGGAACACTTCTTTGGTCACTGTTTCACGTTGGATCATGTATGACCGTATGGGAAGAGCAGGAGGACTATATTGCTACTTTTCTGGCCATGGAAAACAAGCTTCCTGTCTGCACTAGCATGGTATCCGTCCTGTACAAGTTATGGGATGCAATACGTCTGGAGGGAAGGTATTATGGTCCTTATGGAATCAGGGAATTTCTCGCACGGGAGGGGATTAAGCCGAGCTTGTGATAATACTTGGCATGTATACATTGTTCTTCAACGACTATTGACTTTCGGGATCTAACTATTGATATAGAGGCATACATACATGAGCCCCATAAACAACATCATATGCTCGTAGTTCCAAGAACAAAACAATACGCCCATGGCTACCATTTCCAAATGAAACAGCTCTCCATGTAGCTGCTGCAGGCTGCCAGGTTAGCGACCAGGGATAGTCCTTTGTGACCTGTCTCATTTCACCTCGATAAAGTCATAGGAGGCAGCTGTTGGTTTTCAGTCTTCCAAGTCAAGGGATCTGCAACCCCTCGACTATTAAGCTGCTTCTCGATCTTGGTACAGGTCCAGACGAGCAATGAGCATAGCATGAATCTATTACAGTCTATGACAGGCCCCTCCCAGTGGACATTGATGCTGGCAGGCAGAGACGGCCCAAGCTGAAATAATGTGTGCACGGCTCATAGTTTATTGGTGCTGACGTTAGATCTTTAACTCTTTTACTCAATTGTGAGTCTGTGACACGAAAGGGGCCGTAATTCTAGGGTCGTGGTATATGCGCCAGTTGCAGCGGTCCGTGCGATGCTGACCTAATTTAGGTTAGGCTATATTACTAGTCTTTGGACCTTAAATATCATCCCCAAACATGGATAGGTTGTTAATAACCTCATGTCATAGAAGCCGTCAGTGAGTCAGAGCGGGTAGTGTTATTATCAATGTGATAAGAGTCACCACGATGGCGTGCTTTTCGCCCCACGGATGCTCATCGCAATACGACACTAGAGCCAAGAACTTCCAGATGCCGATTTAAAGCGTCGTATCGCTCCACAGTTGCCATGAAAAAAAATTTACAGCTGGTTTCTGTTTCTCCCACACTGCGTACTGGGAGAGCATCACTGCGACAATGGCATCGTCCACGACTCCTTCCACAGACGAGAAACATGTCGACATCAAATCGTCAGCAACTAGTCAATCAACGATCAAGGGCGATGGCGCGCTTCAGCTTCTCGCGGCGGGTGGTGAAGCCGGCACTCTTGACCCCGAGGCCTCGCACCGACTAGTCCGCAAGATCGATCTGTACGTGATGCCGCTGATCTGCGTCGTATATTTCCTGCAATATCTGGATAAAATCGCTATCAGTTATGCCAGTGTGACCGGTCTTCGGCAGTCAGCCAATCTTCATGGAAACCAGTTCAATTGGGTCTCCAGCATGTTTTTCTTCGGTCAATTGGCGTTCCAATTCCCGACGACCCGTCTTATCCAGGCATTTCCCCTTGCCCGATACGTCGCCTTCAATGTGACGGTCTGGGGCACGATATTGGCATGCATGGCCGCGTGCCATTCTTTTGCTGCATTGATGGTATGCCGTACATTGCTCGGTGCTGCCGAAGCCGCGGTGGTACCGGCTTGGGTGGTGTTCACGTCCCAATGGTATCGTAAGGAGGAACAGGCTTTTCGGGTCGGATTGTGGTTCTCGATGTGTGGCTTTGCGCAAATGTTCGGCGGGTATATCGCATACGGTGTTGCCATTCATATCGGCGGCGATCCTACCGCTTCTCTTCGCGGATGGCAGGTAATTTTCCTCATCCTGGGACTGTTCACTGTCGTGATTGGCATCTTGTTCTTCTTCATCCTGCCAGATTCGCCTGTGACGGCTGGGTTTCTATCTCCGGAAGAGAAGGCCCTACACGCAGAGCGCCTGCGAAGCAACGTCCAGGGCATCGGCAGTAACGTGTTTAAGAAGGCCCAGGTGTATGAAGCGCTTAAAGACCCGAACACATGGCTGTATTCTTTCTGGGTTTTGGGTGCCAATGTACCGAACTCCATCGCGACTAGTTTCGGGAACATTCTCGTCACCGGCATGGGCTATTCGCAAACAAAGAGTCTCCTTCTTGTGACACCTTTAGGTGCCTATGAGGTTGTTGCCCTCATCGGGCTGACCTACCTCGCTATGAAAACTGAACAGCGACTCCTCTGGTGCATAATCGGCCACATCCCGTCGATCGTGGGTGCCATTCTCATGGCAACAACAGACAAGGCCCCCGCCCTCGTCGGCTACTATCTCACAGGCGGCATTCCAATCGGGTGGACCACTATCCTGGGCCTCACAAGTACCAACATCGCTGGATCAACAAAGAAAATCACTGTCTCATGTATCCAGACCATCGCCTACACGGTCGGAAATATTATTTCGCCGCAGACCTTCCAGGCGAAGGATGCCCCGCAGTATCTGCCTGCCAAGATCTCCATCGTCATCTTGTACGTGCTTGTCACGCTGGACCTTTGCCTAATTCGCTGGCTGTCGATCCGGGAAAATCGCCGCAGGGACCAAGAAAAGGAGGCGCTGGGTGATGCGTATGTCATACCGGAGAATCATGAATTCTTGGATTTAACCGATCGGGAGAATCCGGAGTTTCGATATGCGATTTGATGTTCATCTGACATTGTATATATACCTCAAAATTATAATAATAAATGTGACATGACACGGTGATGAATGTGTAGCAGAGCTTCGTACTCCGAATGAGATTGTAAGTTATACATCAAACAGGAGGGCATTGTCGGACAACATTCAGTCCTGTCACATACGCAAATATGGCAAAATCGTAGTTGTCTCCGCAGTATCTCCGCACATTGATCTGCATTCTCCGCAAGGAGTTGAAATTCAGGCTAATTGCTTGCATATTGACAAGGTTATCGGGTAGCCATCTACTTTCTGCGATTGGCGGAAGGACAAACAGCTCTCCAGGTGAAGAGTTTGTCCATCGCCAGAACGAGGCATAACTTCTATTTGAGCATGGATATCAGCCGGTTTTGTGTCAAGACAGTATTGCATGATCCTTCATTTCCCAACGGTAAGTTCAATTGACAAGAGTGCCCTCAGGTTGCGGGCATTTAAAGGCGGCTTTGCATCTTCTCGTCATGTCTTGGCCAGAGGTAGTCACACTAGGCGCTCAGTAAGATGGTGCACCTCTATCCCCTCTTGCAGCCTCTTGCCGCACTTTCGCTCTTTACATCCCTGGCTTCGACCGAGCGCATCTTTCCAGATTGTAGCAGCGGCCCCTTAAGCAACAACAATGTCTGCGACACATCACTCGACCCTGTATCTCGGGCCAAATCACTCGTGGCGGCCATGACTCTTGAGGAGAAAATCAACAACACCAGGTACGAATCGTCAGGGGCGCCTAGACTGGGCCTACCTGCCTATAACTGGTGGAACGAGGCCCTCCATGGAGTAGCTGCGGGCCTAGGTGTGTCGTTTTCCGAGAGCGGGAACTTCAGCTACGCGACTTCCTTCCCAATGCCCATTCTTCTCGGTGCTGCTTTCGATGATGACCTTATCAAGCAAGTCGCCACAGTCATTAGCACTGAGGCTCGAGCGTTCGGAAACAGTGGCCATGCAGGTCTCGATTATTGGACACCCAATATTAATCCATTCCGTGACCCGCGATGGGGCCGCGGCCAGGAAACTCCTGGAGAAGATCCGTTGCATCTTTCTCGGTATGTCTACCATCTGGTGGATGGACTTCAGGATGGCATCGGGCCTGATAGACCCAAGATAGTCGCAACGTGCAAGCATTTCGCAGCGTATGATATGGAAAACTGGGAAGGGATCGAGCGATACGCATTCGATGCCGTTGTATCCTCTCAGGATTTATCCGAGTATTATCTTCCTCCCTTCAAGACATGCACGCGCGATGCAAAAGTCGACGCCGTGATGTGCAGTTATAATTCCTTAAACGGCATCCCCACCTGCGCAGATCGCTGGCTGCTGCAGACTCTCCTCCGTGAGCACTGGGGATGGGAGCAAACTGGCCACTGGGTCACCGGTGATTGCGGCGCAATTGAAAACATCTACGCTGACCATCATTACGTCGCCGATGGTGCCCATGCTGCCGCGGCTGCTCTGAATGCCGGAACGGACCTGGACTGCGGGTCTGTCTTCCCGGAACATCTGGGCAGTGCACTCCAGCAGGGTCTGTATGCCAATCAGACATTGGATCAGGCACTCATACGACTATACTCATCTCTGGTAAAGCTCGGCTATTTCGACCCTGCAGAGGGCCAATCCTACCGATCGATCGGGTGGAACGACGTGTTCACGCCAGCCGCCGAGGAACTTGCCCTCAAGGCAGCGGTCGAAGGTATCGTTATGCTCAAGAACGATGGAACCCTCCCGCTGAAGAGCAACGGAACGGTAGCAATAATTGGCCCGTTTGCGAACGCAACCAACCAATTGCAGGGAAACTACGAGGGACCTCCAAGATACATTAGGACGCTGATCTGGGCAGCCGCACACAAAGGATACAAGGTTAGATTCTCTCAAGGCACAGATATTAACTCAAACAGCTCAGCCGGTTTCGAAGAAGCCATCTCCGCCGCCGAAGAAGCAGATATTGTGATCTATGCGGGCGGCATAGATAACACAATTGAGAAAGAGACGTTGGATCGCACAACTATTGTGTGGCCCGGAAATCAGCTGGATTTGATCGAACAGTTGTCCGACCTAAAGAAACCATTAATAGTGGTGCAGTTTGGCGGTGGACAAGTGGACGACTCCCCCCTCCTTGCAAATGCTGGTGTCGGCGCACTCCTGTGGGCAGGTTATCCCAGTCAAGCGGGTGGCGCAGCCATCTTCGATATTCTAACAGGGAAATCAGCACCTGCTGGGCGTCTCCCGATAACACAGTACCCTGCCAGCTATGTGGACGAACTCCCCATGACAGACATGACCCTTCGTCCAGGATCTAAGAACCCAGGAAGAACCTACCGATGGTATGACCAGGCAGTGCTGCCGTTCGGCTTTGGTCTCCACTATACAACGTTCAATGTGTCATGGGATCACGACGAGTATGGTCCGTACAACACAGATTCTGTACCACATGGTGCTACTAATGCACCGATTGATACGGAACTTTTTGATACTTTCTCTATCACGGTGACGAACACAGGGAAGGTGACATCGGATTACGTTGCCTTGTTATTCTTGACCGCTAATGGAGTCGGGCCGGAGCCTTATCCTATCAAGACCCTGGTGGGATACAGTCGCGCGAAGGGGATTAAACCCGGACAGAGCCAGCAAGTCAATTTGGATGTTTCGGTGGGTTCCGTTGCCAGGACTGCTGAGAACGGGGATCTGGTGCTGTATGCGGGGTCCTATAAGCTGGAGGTAGATGTCGGACAGGACTTCCCGTCGGCCACATTCACAGTCAGTGGAAAGGAGAAGGTGCTGGATGAGTTTCCTCAGCCACAGCAAAATACAACTTCCAATGTCACGCGTCAGGGTCGATGATGTATCCGAGTTGCTATACCTGGCTCATGATGCAATGTTGTCAATTTTCTTGCATGCGAGAATGATAGGAAATCAAACAGGAGCATCAGATACAGATGACACATAGTACATAGCATCGGTAGTAGTCTGCCAGAATGTTAGTAGAAACTGTTAGTAGAAGAACAAAACCCCGTGGTTGTGAACGCGTGACGTCATATGCAATAGCATCACGTGGTAACGCGTGTAGCTGCCTTAGGCTTCAGGCTGTCAAATATTGGAGCTCCCCAACACTACGTACACAATTCCAACCCGCACTGAGCTTTGATGGACTGTATAATGCGCGATGGGGTCAGTTTCTGGCCGTAAAGTGCTCACTCTCTAGGATTTCGATGTGTATCCTGTAGCTTATGGCTTTGGGGTTGTCGTACATCTCACACAGAGGAATCATGTGGTTGTACTGAGTTATATATCTGCCATCCATCTGGAACAGATAAATGCCAAACGACTCAGCGAAGAACATGAAGAAAATTTCAAGTCGGTTTACTACATCACTTGACTAAGCTTGTCTTCGGCTAATTTCACGTCCTCATTTGTACAACCTTGATAGACATCTGGCCATGAATGCCATAAATAATTGTCGTTGTCGTATACTGTGTGGCAACAGACACCGGTGCCAATCTGATATTCCGACCCACATGCTTCTCGGACATATCGGGTAGCGAGAGAAAGATCTCGGGTGCGAGCAGGTTTCTTTAAGCTGCGCAGAATTTAACTTTCAATTCGATCCCTTCATTATGCAGTACTTTGTGCTGTAGATATATCAGTAAATGCAAGCCCTTTGTAAATCATTGGAACATAGTCCTCCGAGGCAGCGCGAGACATCCTCTTCCATCTCGACAAGGGGCGAGACCCACCGGCAGCAATGTCAACATTCTCAAAGCGCGGAGTCACACCGCTTGACATGTAACACACAAGTACAGAGTAAACCTCAAATTGCATGTGAATTAACAATTCATGAAGGTTTCACGAGACTTGCACCCAACAGATAAAAGTAGTAAATGCATGTCCCGAGGTGATTCTCCGTTGATTTGATCGAGATGCTAACCATTCTCTCTGTTGTTACCACCCAAAACTTCATGAAAGATGCTCTCTGAGTGATAAGGATGACCCACAATGTCGGTTGCTGGACGACTTGCTGCCGTTGCCATACTACAGACCACGACCCAGGTGCGGTTGGAACCTGATGTGTCAGAAGGAGCTCTAATGTGATATTTGGCTGGCAGGAACGCAGGATGTATTTATCTTTGCAAACAGCTTAATCGACATACGGTCAACTCAGGTGGATTGGGACAGCCTGAAGTGCCTGAATGCTCTGGGTATTCCCCAGATCTCAACCAGGCCGTTCCAATTTGTTCAGCATATGGGCGTGATTGTTGTACCCTCCGGTGTTTGCTCGGACGAGACTCGAACGCTGATTGACAAATTGGCCGAAGGCACGATCTACAACCATAAAGGCACGTATTCTGTGCTGGCAATTTCAGGGCCTGGAAGGAAAATACCAAAGCCCGAACTGAAGATAGTTCGCGCCCTAGAGTTTATCGGGAAGACAAGGATGTGCCTATGTGAGTTAGATTATATATGTAAGCCGACGCTCAATTCCTTTGATCGGGGACAATGTCCTCACATAATCATAAGGAAATAGAGGCTGACTACAAGTTCCTGATATAAGCACAAGAGCTTCTTCGAGTGGACCGATCCACAGATGCACTACCAAGATATAGTGCGATCTTCTGGAACTGTCACGATTATGCAGTCAATCTCGCCATTATCATCGTTGAGAATTTCCCTCCACCGTCCGCTCTCATGAAACTATCCAGCATGGTAGAAGATTCTAAATCTCCCTTCTGTCGGAAACTTGAAGAATTTGTTGTGACTCTGATGCTGATCATTCTCTGCGTCGGTGCATTATTCTGTGTATTTGATCTGCTTGGCTACACTTCAGCACGCATCGTGATTCTATTTGCGCTTTTGTCGGCGACGTTTTGGGATGCATGCTATATTATATTCAGGTTTCAGCAGGTTGAAGCTTTACAGTTGCGAGAAGCTTGGATACACATTCTTGAGCAACGCTTCTCTAGACTATTTGCCTTCCGTCGTGGGAGTTTTGTCAAACCGTCGACGATTGGAGAACCCTTGTGGTTTCCACGAGGATAGGAATGTTGGAAGGAAGAATCTAATCACGACTTCTACCTTGCCATATCCCGTCCCATCACTGTTCCAATAGTTACTCCGCCCGTCTTCTTCTCCGCCCTCTCTCTCTCTCTCTCTCTCTCTCTCTCTCTCTCTTTTACTTTACTTAGTTTGCTTTCCAGGTCAAAGCTACAATTCATCTCCCGCCTGCGTAAGGAGTGTATTTTGATATTACTGTTGCATTCAGAAACATATGTTTATACCTTTTGTGCTTAGGTCTACGCAGCGTCAAGTTAAATTATTGACCAAGAGCTCACTGTACGGATTGCGTTGTCATGGAACAAACGAAGCAATCATCGCCATATCTTATAGTAGATCTGGTTACTTCCAGGAGGCAAAGAAGAAGAAGAAACAAAAAGACAAAGGGAGAGGCGAGAGAAAGCAAGTCATGTGTGACAATGGGTAGCACTGCACCTTTGCTTTCGCCCAACTTTATCTTATGTCACTTTTGCTTTTCCCTGGTCTAGTGTTGGCCAGCTTATCTTACGTGAACAATAACAAGCAGGAGAGGTGTTTCATTCCCAAAATCTCTGTGGACCTCTGCTCATCATCCACTATTGTCTTGTCTGCAAAATAGCCATATGGAAGAAGAGCACTGATTGTCAGCTAGTATTAGTGCTGGCCAAGGTGAGATCAGACCGCCAATCAAGACGAGCTGGGACAAGTACCGACTGATTCACTTCAAGGTACTGGGTTAATGTACCCTGCTATCCACAACAACCAATAGGACTTCTGGTCATCTGTTTGCTGGTCACCTCATCTCCCCTCGAACCCACAACTGTTCAATCAATAATGATACCCCTTGACGGAGCTCGTTTATCACCCGTGATTCCCTGCTATACTCTCGCCCGCAAGCTATTCCTTCGTTCGATACTATATCCAAGATGGAAGTCTTTCTCCACCGTGTCCCAGCGGATCTTAATCGACATGGCTTCAAACGCGAACTTCAGCCTTTCATGAAGAATCTACAAATTCAAGACTTTATTTGCGAGAAGCCCAGGAAGAAATGGTTTGGCACTGTTACCTTTCTGCACGTCGGCGATGGAGAAAGATTTCTGCAAGCATATGGCGAAAAGCAGAATCTGCTTAGTCCTCTCCACCGGGCCCCAAAGTCGAGTTTGAATCTTATGGGAGTTGATGTGTGCTGCAAGCCAAGCAGATTTCCACCAAAGCCATTCGCCCTGCGGACGCTGGAGCACGAGGCCCAAGAAAGGGCAATGGGATACCGAGAGCGACAAGAGGAGTCTGTCGTTTTGGAGCTGCAGCAATACAGCTGCGGAAGATGTGACTTTGTCGGGGACCAGTTGACATACAGTCCGGAGGTTCAATGGTCAGCCAGAGGAACTGTGAAATTCAAGACGCGATCGTTGATCGTCAACGTAATTCCCAAATGTCGAATTCGAATACCCCTTGCCACTATTGTTAGCTTGATATACTCCATTGAAGGTACTCTCACAGTTACCCTCTCTGATGTGCCCTTCTTCTTTGAAGTCATAGAGACTTTCGACGAACCAGTGGGCTTGCCCTCTAATCGGATACGTTTGTCCAGTCTAGGAAACGGGCACGATCAGATCGTTGGGCAGTGCTTGGTGTATCAGTTCAAAGTTTCTGCAGTGGACTTCAGGGCGAAAATAGAAAAACTCAAAGATTGGGACGTGACCATCTATCGTTACAATCTGGCTCCAGCAGGGTCCCTCTTATCCTCACAGTCAGCCTCAGTTGACTTTCGTAAACTCCTGACTGAGTTAGCAGAATGTACGCGCAATAGATATATGCCATTTGGGGTTCTCTTCCAACTGCAGGCATTGGCACAAAATGCGTATCTGCATCCCACCACTACTCGCCGTTTGACTGAAAGGCTACGTATGAAATTCGACGAGGATAAGGCAGCAGGACGAGACTCCATGACCGTGGAAGGAATCAGAAAGCTTTTTAATATGATCGGCTGGCCGTTTCCTGGAGATGATCCATGGGGCTATGCGGTAGACTCTCTTCTGACGACGCTTGAGGAGAACAACAGGGAGATACAAGACGGCTTCGCCTATCGTGAAGGGCTTCATGAGAACACAGCGAACATGACAAAAGTCCATCGGGTCAATGTGACCCCCACGCGGATTACATTGCATGGACCGGAAATGGAACCGCAAAATCGGATTCTGCGTAAGTTTCCCAACCATCACGAGTACTTTATACGTGTACAGTTCTGCGACGAGAATGGAGAAGATTTGCTTTTCAATGCAAAAGTGGATTTCAAGGATATCTTTGCGCGGTTCAAAGACATCATGACAAAGGGGATCCAAATCGCCGGTCGCACATATAACTTTCTTGGGTTTTCACATTCCTCGTTGCGATCTCACACGGTTTGGGTAATTTTTCTGTCTATAGATAATTTATATAGGAAGAGACTAACTCAGCCCACAGTTCTCCTCTCCATTCGTCGACGATAATGGTCATATGCAGACATACTTTTCGATAATCAGTGCAATCGGCAAATTCTCACATATAACGTCACCGGCACGATGCGCAGCCAGAATCGGCCAGGCATTTACTGAAACGCCCTTCATGGTTCCATTAGAAAAGCATCGGGTGCGAGTTTCAACGATTCCGGATCTGACGTCGCCGGACGATTCACGGGTCTTCAGTGATGGGGTCGGGGCTATTTCAAAAGAGGTGGTGGCAAGTATTTGGGCCGACATACCACTCAAAAGAGGAAACCCTACATGTTTCCAGATCCGCTTAGGTGGGGCGAAAGGCATGCTTGCTGCTGATACCCGATTGCCCTCTGCAGTCATTCAAATCCGCCCGTCAATGATCAAGTTCGATAGTGAGGATATGCAGAACCTGGAGATCTGCAATATGGCATCCAGACCTTACCCCATGGTTTTGAATCGTCAAGTGATCAAGATCTTGGAGGACATGGGTGCCCCTCAGGATTGGTTTTTCCAAATGCAGAACGAAGAGCTGACGCGCCTTCAATCGATCACCGTCAGTACAGATAAGACAGCAAGGTTTCTTAAGGACAAGGGAGTCGGCGAGTGCATTGGTCTGTATCGACTCTACCGTCAATGTTACTGGACACGCTTGAACTATAAGAACGACGGTTTCCTCCGTGCCATTGTCGAGGCGGTGGTTCTTAGGGAGCTCCGGCTCCTGAAGCATAAAGCGCGAATCCCCGTGGAAAAAGGCATGACACTTTATGGGGTTATAGATGAAACAGCTTTCCTTCAAGAAGGCGAGGTTTATGTGACATTTGACCGTATGGAAGGGCAATACGCGGCGCCTCCCGGGCCTGGGCATGTCTTGGTGACTCGGTCGCCTGCGCTTCACTGTGGTGATATTCAACGTGCCCAAAACGTCCTACCCCCAGAAGACCATCATTTAAGGTACCATCGGAATTGTATTGTATTCAGCCAGAAAGGAAGTCGGGACCTGCCTAGTAAGTTGAGTGGGGGGGATCTTGATGGTGATTTGTATCATGTTATCTGGGACCCCGACCTGGAGAGCGTTGAGACATTTGCACCTGCAGATTACCCGCGTCCCACGTCTATTGACATAGGGCGTGTAGTGGAGGTAGGTGATATGGCTGCATTCTTTGTGGAATTCATGCGGTCCGATATCCTTGGCATGATTGCTATCCGCCATATGATCATGGCGGATCAGGCTGAATCGGGAACCAGGGATGCTTCATGCCGCGTCCTGGCCGGGCTACATTCGAAAGCCGTGGACTTTTCCAAAACTGGAATTCCTGTCAATATGATGGATATGCCTAGAGTGAACCGCTATCGACCAGACTTGTAAGCTTTCCTCTTTGCAGCATTCTACTATTTCTCTCGGATCTAACAATTAGAATATCTAGTCTGGCGCCAGGACCCCAAACACGCCTCTATAATAAATCCAAGATCGGCCTTGAGCAGCATGTTTCGCATGCGAACTATGATGACAACGATGATGATGTCGAGGAGCCCTACCGCTACTATAAGTCAGAAAAGATCCTTGGAAAGCTATTCAGGGCCATTGATGAGCAAAACATCTGGCGCAAACACATCCTTTCTGAAGCTGCTACGAATGACGAATATTTTTGGAATAGTGTGATTGCGGACTGCCTCACAAGGTGCAAGTCTTTGTCACGAACCCCAAAAGAGGAGCATCTGGACGAAGCAAAGCGGATACGAGCAGCGTAAGATTAAGACTTGATCGTCAATGAATTTTGAATTACACTGCTGATAGCGCTATCTTCCACAAAAGCTACGAAGATGCTATTGTTTCGACAATGGATACTTATTCTGATCATCCAACCAAGCCTATCAGTGAGTTAGAGGTGGTCATTGGGTCTATCATTAACAGACGGGGTGTACAGACCCGCCGCCAACGTGACCGATCAGATAAACTTCACGAGGAGTTCGACCGGATTGCTACATGGGCCACAAACATCATGCGCCGCCAGGAGGTCCAGGACCCCGATCCTAATGGCTTAGAGCTATCCATGGCGTGTCTTTATCATGGCACCCACGTGAGCGATTCCGGCCGCCGCAAGGAGGTATACGGTGAGCTTAAGAGCTTTAGGGTTGTTGCTGTCTGTGCACTGTTGGCCGAATTGGATTATCGCGATAAGGATGGTCCGAGGAATTGCTTTACTATGTGACGTATATGGAAATGAATATGACATTCAATTGCCAGTGTCAGGCAACGATAGTTTGAAAATATGCTTTGATTTGGCGACCCTGTCAATGCTGAATAGTATAGCAAATGCACTTTGATACATACAAGATGTAGTCATAGCCTACAGTGGTACTGATGCTACTCATTTATTGCCCATGACATGACACTTGTTCATTTCTGTGTTTAGCAAAGGCAATGATTCCGTGGATTATCAAGGTAAGGTTTCCTAGTCTCTATAGCCTAAACGTTGAAGGCCTATACTTCCCATGCGCAAAGTCATAATGCTATCATTATGGGGGTCATTAGACAACTGTTGTTTGCTTAGCCCATCTTGTGACCTCTGAGTTAGGCATCCGAATCATATCCCGGGCCATCAAAGCTAGTTTACACATTTGCGGATCTCAAAGCGTGCCGTTCACCTTTACAACAACCCACTCATGCAGTGTTTGAGCTATATCATCACTATTTCTTTCCATGAAGTGCAAATGCCCATTTCCATTCAACCCTACACGACTCAACTCCAGATGTTCCGCGGGAACCCCCGCCTGGTGCAGAAACTTGATGAAACAATAATCATATAGAGCGTGGTAAGATGCTTCTCCAGTACTAATCAAGATCGGAACCCGCGCTAGATTAGGCAGCTTTTTGGGAGGTTCCTGTTGAATGATACATGGAAGTAGGTCGTGTGAATCTGCGGGTACACTCTTCATTGTCAAGGGCGACGAGAGATTCGTAGGTGGCGGGTCATAGGCTAAGGGGATAGAGGTAAGTCCCCAAGGGCGGCTGTACGCACTTGAAAATATGACCTCTCGGAATGGAGGGCCTTTCGGCTCGATTTGGATCAGCGCCTTGATCAGGCCTGGACGACTATCTGCCCATGACCACCCGTACAGTCCACCTTGGGAATGCGTGATGACGACTGCCGGGCCGATGCGATCGAGAAGCCTCTCGCCGGCGGCTTTCATGGTCTCCTCTTGGATTTGACTGTCGGAGACGGATTGGACAGTACTCATGTAATACGCGTCGAAGAATGCATCGCCCATTTCACCTGTCTGCGGTCGCTCATGTCAGTGCAGGACAGATGGCCCATACAGGTTGCTGCTAGCACTTACGCCGGGCCATTGGGTATGTAGTTTGGCTTGGGGCCATAGGGGATACTTCTGCACGGCGGTGAATCGCTGCGAGATGAACTCCGCCGAGAAGGCAGTCTGGCTCAGGTCATCCCCCGGCAATATCGGGGATCGACCGGTTAACGTTCGATCGAGGAGATACACGGCATAGCCATGGTTAAGGAACCAAGATGCCCATCCTGGGCTGCCGTCAGGTTTATTGAGGAAGTTCTAGTGTTGTTAGGGGCTGTCTTACTCTGTACACCTAAATGGCTACCGGGACAACGTAAAGCTCACCGTCCCGCTCTGACCACCACCGTGAACAAAAACGATGGGATATGGTTGCACATGCTCATGGACTGGCGATAACTTCTCCACATACATCTGATTATGGAAGTAAGTCCCCCGGGTACTACCACTGACATGGACATATTCCCCACCAACATAGAAATAATCCCTGAAATGAGGCGCTACTTTGGAGAATTTTTCAACGCCATGTACGACACGTGAAAGAAGAAGCATTGAGGCCAAGATAACGGCTGCGAAGGCTTGGCAAACATGTGGCATGGCAGGCGAGTCCGAGATCGAAGGAACAAAGGGGAAACGTGGGAAAGGGGGCGTCATCTGTGATTAGCCTGGTTGGTCGGTCGAGCCCACGGGGCGGAACAGAACGGTTCCAAATATAAATGAATTCCGGGGCAGGGCAAGGGGGAGAACACGCTAATGTGTCAGACCGTCGACGCCGATCCTCCACTGTTTCTCTTGTTAACGGCATCTTGGCCCCGATGCCAATTGACCAACGAATGGAAACGGCCGTTTTGTTGGCCAGAGGCTCCGGACCTGAGTCTAGAATTTCCATGCCCGAATTTTAATAAGGTCAAGGTGTCGGGAGCAGGGATCAGTCATTGAGAGAAAGAAGAAAATTGTAACGCTGGGACGATCGTGATTTTTCTTTCTTTCTCTACTTTCGGTATCTTTCTTTTGTCTTGTGGAAAACTAACATTTTCACATACATGACTAGATAAAGATACTGGGGACATGGCTTCATCAGATCAAATGACTCGCCTCACGAGACAGCCCAAAAGTGGGCTTGCATCGGAAACCAAAAACCGATAGGGTTTATCGTATACGAGTTTTGAGAACTTTTTTACTCAGTTCTAACTCTCTCGGGATTAGAATGGAAACCCCAGTGTCAGGGGCCCTAATCCTTCCATAGCCATAATGACAATCAACCACCGATGATGCATGTAATGAAACAAACGACCGGCAGGGATACGAAAAAGTCTTTCCTTCCCTTCCCACTCCCTCAGGGCAAAGATGGTCACAGTCGAACTTCGAGATACCCATGCATTCAACGGCAGCCATCGTGCTGGTGGGCGTATTTGGCGCCCTGAGCGAGGCGTTAATGCTTTTGCGCCTGGTAATGCGGAGGTGTCGCGGTCAACATTTGATTCTCAGTGATTATCTCACTATCGCTTGCATTAGTCTGGTCCTGGCCCGCTCTGCATTCGCGACAGTCATCTTGGTCTGGGGAAACAACCATATGGATCGGCATGTTGCAGATCTGAGCTCGACTGAAATCTACCGTCGCCAGGTCGGCAGTAAACTGACGGTAGTTAACCGTCTGGTATACAATGTCTAGTACGTCCGGCTCGCTTTGATGCTTGATTCATACTAACATCAACATCGTCAGTCTTTGGCTGCAAAAGGCTGTAGTCTTACTTCTCTGCCAGCGAATCCTCTCTGGTCTTCCGTGGCCTGAACGGATGGTTAGAGCATGCTGGGCCTTGCTCGTTGCCAGCTTTGCTGCGGTCCAGATCACTACCTTTACCGACTGTCGACCTCTGTATCTTTACTGGCAAGTCATGCCGGATCCAGGTACGTACGGAACCCGCCAATAATTGTTGGGTTGGTTAATAACCAGTCTTTAACATCGAGACAGGTTCATGTATCGAAGCTCATACTCAACTCGTCACTCTTATTTCTATGAACATCTCGACCGACACAATGTTAATGATCCTACCCATGCCATGGCTACTCAGGGTTAAAACATCATGGATGCGGTAGGTTACCAATAACTGTTGATACTATTATTTGCTAATCCAGTTTCTAGCCGTCTGCAACTGGTCGGACTATTTGCAATCGGATTACTTCTCATTGCGATAGCCATCGTCCGCCTTCCATCTTTTGATGATAACACATCTCAACTGAACCGAAACACCTGGGGATCCGTGGAGGAATTCCTCGCGGCATTCGTCGCCAATGTGCCTACCTTATATACCCTGCGACGAAGAGTCGAAAAGAGCTATCCCGCATATTACAGCCATGGTGCGTCTGAGGGGAGGGTGGGGGGTTCACGGCCATCTCCTTTCAATGAGGGGATATTAGTCACGAATAGTGTCCAGCTGGAGTATATGGTTGATGGTCGACAGAAGTCGCAGGGCTCGGATCACAACGTTATAAGACAGGATAGTGACGAGCACCTGGTGCGTGATGAGCAATGGCAGTGAATTAGTTGTATTTAGCTTGTACCTGATAACTTTATAATTAACTTAGCTAAGTGCTTTATTCTTCGTTGTTTGAATGGAAAAATAGGAATGTCTAGAATGGTGACCCATAGCACACTGTGCGTATCTACTTTGTCGATTATTATTCTCTCAATTGGTATCGTGGCCTCGGTCACATGGTCATGCAGGCAGCTATAAAAATGAACACAAGTGAAAATTTCCCTCCCCACACTCGTCTTCAACGTCAATCCATCCTTGACCTCGCCTATCTGTAAGAAGAATTCGGACAAATGGCTTCGATATGATGTCCAGGCTTTCACTGTGAGATATAAATTCTACCCTCAAACGGTTGCAATGTCTCAGGCAATGGCTCCGCATAGTTGCTGACCAGCAGCTTCATCTGTTCTGTCGTCACGGCCTGTGTAAATGGCTGGTTTTCGGTCGTGAAATTCAACGCAACCAGTGCTTTTTTCTCATTCCTTGACTTAATAAAGCAGAAAGTCTGCTGATTGTCGAAGTCCACAACCTCAAATGCTCCGTGAATGAACACCTCTCGGTACTCCTTGCGCAGCCGCAGTACGGACCTCCAGAAGGATAGCACGCTCTCCGGGTTATCCCACTGTTTCTGTACATTGATTTCGGGGTACAAATCATGGGCGCGCATCCACGGGGTCCCCGTGGTAAAACCAGCATGGGGTGAATCGTCCCACTGCATCGGCAGTCTGGCATGATCGCGTGCCAGAATCCGCAGTCCGTCCATAATGCGATCCTTACGTGTTGCATCAACACCTGCCGCAAGCTGTCGCTCTGCTTCTTCATAGTATCCGCGACCTTCAATATCCTTGTATTCGTCGACTGACCAGTCGCGCGGGGCGTTGATCATGCCGATTTCTTGGCCTTGATAAAGGAACAAGGTCCCCGTCATGGCCATCATCATCAGAGCCAGCATTTTAGCCGATCGCTCGCGGTGTTCAGGAGCGTCCGACGCAAATCGTGACACTGAGCGACCGTTATCATGATTTTCACAAAACGCTGTCGTCCACCCGTCAGTACCCTCAATGAAGGACTGCCACTTGGTCACGATGGATTTCATCTCTGTCAGCTTCCACGGGTTGAAAATGTACTTGTCCTCTAAACTTTTGCCCATACCGATATGGCCGATGTCCAGATGAAACACCATGCTAAGTTGCTTAGCGGACGCACCGACATACTTCAAGACATGCTCGGGGTCAGGTGTATTGGCTAGCTCCCCAATGGTCACCACGTCCCCATAAGGCTGCAAGGCATCGTCATACATCTCTCGCAGAAACTCATGGATCCGAGGCCCATTGCACCACATCTGGATTGCGGGCTGGATATAACTTTTGGGATCAGTAACCTGCACATCTGGAAAGTTCGTGTGCTTGCTGTATTTGTTCACAGTATCGACGCGGAATCCATCAACACCCTTGTCTAGCCAGAAGCGGACCGCACTATCATAGATGGCCTTTCGTGCCGCCTCGTTGTCCCAGTTCAGGTCGGGTTGCTCTTTGGCGTATAGATGGAGATAATACTCCTGTGTGTGTTCGTCCCATGTCCCTGGAAGTTCGTTAGCTCGTGATTCGTCTCTGAACCCTGGTAAAAACAATACGTACAAGTGCTACCGGCGAAGTACCCGCGGTAGTTACTCGGGGGCAATCGATTTCCATCTTCATCATACCGAGGTGGGCGCCAGAAGTACCAATCTCTCTTGTCGTTATCTTTACTACTGCGACTCTCTTGGAACCATTTGTGCTGATCGCTAGTGTGGTTGATAACCAGGTCCAGGATCAACTTCATGCCCCGCTCATGGCAGGCGTCTATAAGTCGCTCAATATCTTCGACAGTACCATAAGCCGGTAATACATTTTCATAGTCGGACACATCATAGCCCATGTCATGCATAGGAGAATCATACATGGGTGATAACCAGACAACATCCACGCCTAGCGAGTGTAGGTAGGGGACTTTGGAGATTAGTCCAGGAATATCCCCCCAGCCGTCTCCATTGGAATCTTTGAACGAGGCAGGGTAGACCTATTTCGGTGGGTGAGCGTCGCTTTCATCGGCAGGTGATGAAGGCCAGTACCTGGTACACGGTGGCTTCCTTCCACCAGTTATTTTCCCCAGAAGGGACGGTATGCACGGCATGCGGCGACATGATATCTGTGTGAACTGGTGCAAAATTGATTTTGCTACCGTCGAACTCCTCTTTATACGGTATTCCACAGATTTCATGCTCCGACTTGCCTCCGGCTTGCCTCCGTATAGACTCCGTTTTGCCTCCGGCTATGGCCCGATATGTGCTCGGCCAGCCAATCAGAACCATACTCCCGCGCTCTGTGGGGATCCCCAGATTCTCCATTTTTCGCATGCACCCCAGTTCTCCAGGGCTAGATTCTCGTCAGATGATAGACTGCAGAACATATAACTATCTACATCACCCATGTTCGCAAGCTCTCCAAGTTTTGTCACTTTCCCACCTAATGGAAAGCATCTGAGCATTGCTTTCGCGCCTGACACCCACCATGACTACTCCAGACGTCATTGAAGCGCACGATGATGCCCAGAGAAAGCCCTCGCTGGTCCATGGCAAACAAGCCGCTCAGCAAGAGCAATCTATGACTCTATGGCAGGCGATCCGTTTGTATCCCAAGGCCGTCGGGTGGTCAGTTCTATTATCCTCGACCCTCATCATGGAAGGCTACGACCTAGCCCTACTCAGCTCTATGTATGCCTCACCAGCGTTCAACCAGAAATTTGGGAGGCAAGCCGACAACGGCAAATGGACTGTCCCAGCTTCCTGGCAGTCCGCTTTATCTAACGGAGCCCGCGTTGGTGAGGTAATTGGCCTTTTAATCAACGGTCTCGTCTCGGAACGACTTGGCTACCGCTGGACCATGGTCTCCGCATTAACCGCCATGACCGGTGTGATATTTCTCTTCTTCTTCGCTGTCAACGTCCAAATGTTGCTCGCAGCTGAGATCCTCGCTGGTATACCATGGGGCGTGTTCCAGACGTTACCCGCAGCGTATGCATCGGAGGTCTGTCCCGTGGTGCTACGACCATACCTGACCACCTTCATAAACATGTGCTGGGTCTTCGGTCAGTTCATCGCCGTTGGTGTAAACCGTGGCTCAATCCAACGAGGAGACCAATGGGCCTGGCGTATCCCATTTGCGGTGCAATGGGTGTGGCCCATCCCTATTCTAATCGGCTGCCTCTTCGCCCCGGAGTCACCCTGGTGGCATGTCCGTCGCGGAAATCTGTCCGGTGCCAAACACGCCCTGCTCCGACTAACCTCTAGCGACCCATCCTTCGACCCAGATGCCACAATAGCCATGATCCAGCATACGAACGAGCTCGAGAAGTCTGCAACAAAAGGAACGCGATACAAGGATTGTTTCAAAGGTGTCAACCTGCGGCGAACGGAAGTCGTTTGCGGTGTGTGGTTAGTCCAGACCCTCTGCGGCCAAAACCTCATGGGCTACTTCGCCTACTTCTGCGTACAAGCGGGTCTTCCCACCGTCCGCTCCTTCGACCTCTCCCTGGTCCAATACGCCCTCGGCGTCATAGGCACCCTCGGCTCCTGGTACCTAATGACAGTAGCAGGCCGTCGAACCCTCCACCTTGCAGGCCTAACTAGTCTCTTCACCCTTCTCATCATAACGGGCAGCCTCTCCTTTGCACCAGACTCCAACAACCCGGCAAAATGGGCCATCGGCGTCATGCTCATCATCTTCACATTCTGCTACGACTTCACTATTGGGCCCGTGACATACTGTCTCGTCTCCGAGTTATCCTCAACACGACTCAAAGCCAAGACCATCGTCCTAGCAAGAGCAGGCTACAATATAAGCAACATCGTCGTCAACGTATTGACAAATTATCAACTCAATGACACGGCCTGGGGCTGGAGCGCAAGGAGTGCGTATTTCTGGGCCGGGACATGTTTAGTCTGTCTGGTCTGGTCTTTCTTTAGAATGCCTGAGCCTAAGGGCCGGACCTATGAGGAGCTAGACGTGCTTTTTGAGAAGAAGGTTTCTGCACGCAAGTTTGCGGACACAATCGTGGATCCTTATGAGGATGTTGTTGAGGTTAGGGTTGATAATGCTAAGGAGTAGGGGGCTCCCATACTGGTGGTAGTTTGTCTCTTTGTATATATTAAGCTGAATCCGTATTGTTTACTTTTAATGGCATTATGTGTGCGTTAGCTGTAGTTACTTAATGTATCGATTGCATGCATATTTGGATTCCATGCTTTTCACTGAATCATGCAAGTGACAGTGAGGTCGGATTACGTTGCCGAAAATGGCTCACTAGTTTATATCAATCCCTCATTAGTACCTTTGGCCTACTCTACAGTACCAAAATTTATGCGTCACCGGTATTGGGGGTATTATATTTTTTTAGAAAAAAAATAATAATAATAATAATAACACCAAACCCAAATATGCACCGAACCATAAATTACCTCGGAGAGTAAATCTCTTGGCACGACGATTTTCCATTTCTTCCCCTCCAGGTAGTCCTAACGACCGGCATTCAGACCCATGCCGCGCGAAACACTCCCCCAAGCCTGCGACGCCTGTCGTCGTCGAAAGGTCAAATGCACATCGCACCGTCCATGTAGTCCGTGTCGATCAATGAGGCTGGTCTGCCGGTCAACCTGCTCTCGGCGCAAGAAAGGGCGACAGGGTCGTTCGGCTAATGTATTGTACGAATTGAAAGCCAGCGCAAATTCAGATTCAATTGAAGAAAGTCAATCGAGTGGTGTTGCATCTATTGAAAGTCCCAGTAGCACACAGACGACGGGATATCTGAAAAGCCCTGGGTTGTTGACCGATGGACTCGTGCAGAGCTGTGCTGCGTACTTCTATTCTCGGATGTTAGGGACGGTACCGATTTTGCATCCCGATACATTCCAAGAGCAGGTGGAACGCATGGATGAGTGCCCTCATGCGTATTGCCTTGTGGTGGCGTTCTGTGCCTTCGTTCTGACTCAGACGGGGTATCTTTCCTGCCATCAGAGTACAGGGCCGGATATGGGTCGCTCTTTACTAGACGAAGCGATGGCTGCTCGGCGGCATCTGGATCCGTTTTCCGCACCTATTCGGCTGGGTATTACCATTGCCTTTCTTTTATATGGGTGTCATATTGGATGCGGGAACCAGCGGCAGGCGTATTATTTCCTCCGCGAGGCCACCACGTTCTACACGGCCGATATGTTGGACCAGTCGGCCGATGAAGACCAACCTTGCTTTTCGGGGAAGCTGTTCTGGCTGTTATTGATATCGGAACGGTACGCCCATAACCATACCTACCTTCCCAACATTTGCTGATAGTATGGCAGTGCCCACGCAATCCGCCGCCGGCGTCCAGTAACGCTGCAAATCACAAGTACCAGCCCAACCTTGGACACATCACCCCTAGACGCCTTCTCCCTCGGCTTCAGCCATCTAGTCGACCTGTACCGACCCTTCGACGAATCCTTCCTCGCAATCTGGAACGGGAACCAACCCATCTGCACGCGGGAATCGCTAGTCCAGCTAGAAGAACACATCCAGCGCTCCGTGCCCGCCGACCTCGACCTACCAGACATCCTGCTCGCGGATCTCCGGGTGTCGCAGCAATGGCTCCGCACCATGATCTGGCAACTAGCCACGACCGCAGGTTTCCTGTCCAGCACACCTACCCACCCAAGCCTCGACTTCCGGTATCCCCTGCAGATTGCCCGGGACTTGTCCCTGGCCACGTGGAAGCTTTCCCGGGAAAGTATGGAGACGCATGGGGTCGGGCTGATCGAGAAGGTCTTCGAAGTGGCGTGTACGCTCACGGATGTGATGGCTTGTTTGTCGTCGACGGGGTTGAGGTCCTTGGGGTTTGAGATGGGGCCGCAGGATTATTTGAAGCATTTGTGCTCGTTGGTGCATTCGTTACACGGTGGGAGGAAACGGTTTTTGCCGTTGTTGATGGCTAAGGTGGGGCATACGCTGCCGGTCATGGTCATGCCTATTAGTAGACATCTTGGATTGGAGGATTTGGGGGGCTTTGTTGGAGAGGACAAGAAGGATTTCGATGCTGTAGGTGATGTTGAGAGGGACTTGAATTGGGCGGAGATGAGTCGCATTGGCGATATGACGCCGAATATTGATGATACGTCCTTGTTATGATATTGTGATCGATATATTCCTTTTTTTTTGACATACCAGAGTGTAGAGCGTCCTCATGGCCAGTCCTAGAGACTGTTTCAGTGATAAATATGTCTCCCTTAAGTGAGTTTGAATACTCATAGCAGGAACATCGTACCACACGATGAAGGACACTCTTTTCCCTATACATAGCCCTCCGATCATTGCACTCACTATTCGGGAAACTAGATGGTGCGATACGGTTCCCCCCCCAACACCGACGGAGAATGCGTTGACATTATGGTCTCTTCATTAACTTGACTAAGTGTCTGAATATAATACTAGTAATAGAATAAAATACTATGATTGAAACAAAATAAAAACGGATGTAGGCTTATCCTATTCCTGTCATATCTCCAGAGTCTGAGAATATTTTATATGCGGATAATCACCCACGGCGGATCACGTCAAAAATCACATCTGACCATCCATAGCACCATCGCTGAGGTATAAAGTCTCTTTAGCTTCACATTGCAAGGCCTACCACGGAATGCAGAGGTGAACATTAAAGATAAATAACAAGGATAAACAGTGCAGCGTGCATATAGACTCGTTATTGTCCCAGTAATCAAGATAACGGAGATTGACCTCGAATATGAGGTGTATTGGCCAGCGAAATCGTACTCGCCTCTCAGCAAGGGTTCCAAATTTGCGATCACCTGTAGGCCTATCGCATGATGGTCTAGAGCATCTAACATATTCCACGGCGCTGCAAGGCCACGTAGTGACTGCCATTCTAGGGCTGAGAGGCGCTCCGCAGCCGCTTCTTCCATATCACCTGGCCACTTGACCTCGGCTCGTCAATTCTTCATCATTCTTAGGGCTTTGTTGGCTATTGCACTATGGGTCTGAATGGTCAGGGATGTAGTCCCGAGGTGCACAGATCATCGTCAAGTTTGCAATGGGATGTTAGTCAGTTCGGCAACGGCTCCTGATTCCTCCCAGCCACTTAACGTACTGCCACCACACTGTATTATTATTGTCACCACACTCAAGTGGCTGGAAGCACGGAAGCTTGCAAGGAGGAGGTAATTCCGAGCGCGTGATTGGCTGCATGTCGTCCATCACCGCGCATTTGCGCTATTTCATGCATCCCACTCTACTAGTAGAGTCCGATGTGGGGTTTTGCAAGGGTACAAATGGATCACCTTGTTCCAGCTGGGCTCAGGCCAAAACCAGAGTCCGTGACGACGGTGGGGTGAAAAACATTGTGCCTGTGGTTTTCTGGGCTGCCGACCGAAAAGCTCCCGCTCGGTTTCCATTCTCACCCATATTGTGCACCATGGTTGACATCCTAAATGTTGCTCTCTTGATTGTCGGTTTAATTGTTACTCGTCTCGTTACGAATAGATTTTATCTGTCTGGGATTCCTGGCCCATCGCTGGCAGCCTACAGCCGACTGTGGAAGCTGTACACCGTATGGAAGGGCGACCACCATCACACAGAGATTGACCTTCACCGAAAATATGGCCCTTTGGTACGCACCGGCCCCAGGCAGATCTCAGTGAGCGATCCGAAGGCGATCCCCATCATCTATGGCATCAACGGGGCCTTTACCAAAGTAGGTCAACTCGCCAGTCCTTCTAGTCCAGGAATAACCCTCTGCAGACGGCTTTCTACCCGATTCAATCCATATCATGGGACAAGAAGCCTCAAATGAACCTTTTCTCTACACGAGATGAGCGTTTTCATCGTGATCAGAGACGTCCTATTGCCAGCGCGTACAATATGACCAATATTCTCGAAATGGAGCCTGCTGTCGACTCGTGCACCAAGCTGTTTCTGTCCCAGATCCGAAAGATGGTGAAAGAAAAGGCGCCCGTTGATCTCGGAATGTGGCTGCAATACTACGCCTTCGATGTTGTCGGCGAACTGTCCTTTGCTCAGAAGCTAGGGTTCTTGGAGAAAGGGCAGGATGTAGACAATATGATGGAGGCAATACGAGGAATGCTCATCTATGCGTTGCTGTGCGGCCAGATTCCAGAAGCTCACAACGTCCTCCTCGGGAACCCTCTCTTCCCTATACTGCTCCCGCAAATGGAGTCGTGGAACCAGGTGGTCGTATTCACCCTGAAGGCAATCAATCGCCGCGCTTCCCTACAGCGCGACGGGGATCTAGACACGAACGAGATCGGCGAAGCGATTGTCGGAAAAGATATGATGTCTCGGTGGCTAGCAATTCACAACGCTGACCCGACCCGACTATCCACAAGGGACCTAATCGTCCACCTATCGACAAATGTCTTCGCTGGATCTGATACAACTGCAATCGCTCTGCGCTCGATCCTGTATAATCTCATCTGCCACCCGGACAAAATGTCAAAAGTGCGCGCGGAGATTGACACGGCAGACCGAGAGGGCAAACTTAGTAACCCGATTTCCTACCAGGAATCCACCACCCATCTTCCGTACTTCGGCGCGGTAATGAAAGAAGCGATGCGTTTGCATCCATCTGTTGGTGGGAACCTCGAGCGTCATGTGCCGCCGCAAGGCGTCACTCTTTGCGGTCAATACATCCCTGGCGGTACAAAGGTTGGAATTAATGCCTGGGTTGTCCACCGAGACCCGACCATCTTTCCTCAGCCGGATTCCTTCATCCCTGAGCGATGGTTAGACAGCGCTCCCGAAAAGCTAATGGAGATGGACAAAGCCTTTTTCAGTTTCGGGGCAGGTTCACGATCGTGTATTGGGAAAGCAATCTCTCTGGTGGAGATGCGGAAGATTCTCCCTCAGCTACTGCGCGAGTTCGATATTCAATTGCATCAGAACAAACCATGGAAGACGAGGAATGTGTGGTTTGTGCAGCAGGAGGAGTTCATTTGCGACTTGACACCAAGAGTGCGTTTGTAATAGACTTTCGCGGTGGCTTTATCCGAAGCATGGAATCCAATTTATTGTAGTCGTCTATGGGGATATAATGGAGACACATACGAGACGGTAAATGTTCATAGGCAAGTACTTGAGTCTAGCCGGGTTGTCACAGCCATGGAAATCAATGCATATTTAGTCTTCATCATACAATACAACCTCACCAACTAGTTTACTTTGAGTCATATGTAGATGTTGAATAGCATAAGCAGTATAGATCACGTAAGCAAAGCTCGGTGCATAAACTGTCATGTTATGGCGGGTTCACAATGTTCCGACCCCGGATTATCCATTTTGGGCAGTAAAATGGAGTGGATCTAGAAGGGTCCGTCGATCTGGGTCCCATCTCCATCTCTCGTCCACATCAATGCTGTTCGCCAGCTACCCGGAACTCGGAAAACATATTCTAGACATCATTGATGTGAATCGCACAAGGGCAATTTGTCAGCTGGAGAAATACCAAGCTATATAAGGATGGAATTTCACCCCTCTTGAATGGAAACATTCATCAATCAGTGAGAACCTCTTTGAGCCTTGGCCCAGCATACGCAAGACAACAACCGAACACCTTCAAGATGCCCTCGACTTCAGAAATTGAATATGGGTTCACTCCTGTAATGTCTTCCGCGTCAGCCATCCTATCCGCGGCGAAGCCATCCGCTCCAGCGCCTTTTATTTCCGTAGCCGATACTCCCGTCCCCCAAACCCCCTTGTCGCAGCGCATCAATCATTATGCGCGCTCCCATCTGCCTGAACCCACATACAACCACTCTCTGCGGGTGTATCATTACGGCCTTGCGATCAAGCGGCACGTGTTCCCTTCCTGGTCTTTTACCGATGAGACCTACTTCCTCTGCTGCTTGCTACATGACATCGGCTCGACAGAAGAAAATCTGAACAAGACGAAATTAAGTCATGAGTTCTACGCGGGTTTTCTGGCCTTGGACGTTCTTCAAGACCGTACCGGATCATCAGGAAACGCCATCGCGCCTCGGGATCAGGCGGAGAGTGTCGCCGAAGCAATCATCCGACATCAAGATCTTTGTGAACAAGGCAAGATTACTGCCGTTGGTCAATTGCTGCAGCTAGCTACTATATTTGGTACGTTCTAACCCATACCACTGTTGTGCTTCCACCTGGGTAACAGAATCTGACCGATACAGACAACACCGGTGCTTATGCCGACACCGTCCATCCGTCAACCATTGAGGATGTGTCACGGCATTACCCGCGCAAGCAATGGAACAATTGTTTTGCTGCAGTTATTCGCCGGGAGAATGGACTTAAGCCGTGGGCGCATACTACGACTTTGGGCGAAGAAGCGTTTCCGTCCAAGGTGCTCGGAAACTCCCTGATGGCACCATACGAGTGATCCGGCAATCTGTAGCGGCATCATCTCAGGGAGATCTCGATGTATAAACATTCTGTTCACTAAGACAATCCAAATTCTTTACAACTCCAAGACGTGCCCTAGGATTTAATCACTACAATCTAGCTATGTTTGTTCAATCACTCCCTATGTGTAGTATTTGTACCTATGATGTTGCATACCACTAAGTATTAATGACCTCGTATTCGCTGCGGTGTGGAGTTTATAGAATTCGTCATCACCATGACTTCATGCACGATGCCCCGCACGTGAGTCAGCCCCCGCTCTTGCTTACTATGAGTTACTTCCCTTTCTTCAGCGATTGAACCTGCCCATATTCACCTAGGTTATACCTTGTAAGAAAAGGCAATCAGAATGTCGCAACGCTCCAACGGCCCGTATCAACTCATCTACTGGCCCGAGATACCCGGCCGTGGAGAATTCATACGACTGGCCTTAGAGGAAGCCGGGGCCGACTATACCGACACTGCACACGAAGAAGATGGAATTAACACCGTACTATCACTCATTGATAAGAACTACGAGGGCGATCAGTCTGGCCCTCCACCGTTCGCACCGCCCATTCTCAAGCATGGTGATCTGCGGATCAGCCAGACACCCAATATTCTGCTCTACCTGGCCCCGCGGCTCGGTCTGACGCCAGATGGGGACGCCATCTATCAAGTCAACTCGCTCGCTCTCACGGCCCTCGATGGGTTCAGCAATGAGACTCACGACACGCACCATCCCATTGCCCCGGAACTCTACTATGAGGATCAATTGGAGGAGAGCAAGCGGAAGTCGGAGTCCTACCGGAAGAATCGTCTGCCCAAGTTCCTCTCCTATTTCGAGCGGGTGTTGAAGCCCCAGGCGGCACAGGGCCGTCCGTGGCTGTATGGTACGACGTTGACATATGCAGACCTTGTTCTTTTCCAGGTACGTCTTGATTCATCTCCAAGCATTAGATACTGATGCGTGCCGAATGAAACACCACATTTGACCCAGTAGAGCGCTAACCACATACTACAGGGCATTGATGGTCTCAAGTTTGCATTCCCTCGAGCACTTAACCGACTGGAAAAGTCGGGTGAATATGCAAATGTTTTCAAGCTCTACGAAGCTGTAAAGAACCGGCCTCGCATCAAGGAGTATCTCGCAAGTGACAGGAGACAGAAATACTCGCTGGGTATCTATCGACACTATCCGGAATTGGATGATACTGAGTAGATTCCTGATCTATATCTACTATCTATTGGCACGAGGTACCTTTAACGAATGGCGCGTTAGTACATGAGACCTATAGCTGGGATAACGAACATTATCATGCAAACTCCACAGTAAACCGCATGCGTGTATATACAGGTACGGTCTAGTATGATGTCTTTACTCCAGGCGACTTCGAGGCCATACCCACGCCTTTATGCTATAGCGAACAGTAACTGGCTTCTCAATGAGGTTCAGATAGGAAATTCATAAAAGTGCTCTATAGCAAAGGTAAAGGACTTGAGTGTAGTATAATTAAAAGTCTTCTTTCTCACGTGCCCACCGTCGGCCACAAACAGAGTGCCCTTGATTAACACATCACTCTTGGCAACATGCAACTCTTCCAGCTACTCCGCCAAGGTAAATCTATTCGGAACGGAAGGCCTCATTGCTCTGGTAAACCAGCGGACAATGTCTCCAGTTGCAAAGGCCGTTGCGGCTGAGTACCCCTGGTCCTGGATTCCAGTACTCAGTGCATATCGCCACTGAAATAAGAAGACTTTCCTTTCCTTGTTCACAATTGAAGGGTTCGGTGGTGTCAGGTCCGTTTAGCCGAGATCTATATGCTAATATGACTAGCTGGACTTAGGGTTCGCTGCTCGCGCAACCCCAAGATCTTAGATATAGAACGCCCAGACTTGCCGAATCTTAGCAACTTGTCAATGTGTATATTGTGGTTACCTCTGATCCACAATGAGACATTCTGCATTATATATCTATATAGGTGTTTAAGAGCTATAAAAGACATGTTGGGCCAGGTGAGCAGAGGGTGGTTACATAAGCCAGACAAGGAATGGAAAAACCCACCACCGAGGGACAGTATGCACATACATTTAGGTCGAGCCAGTGTTGAGCTACATTTCTCCACTATTACTTCCATAGGACTTTTAACGACTAAAGCCAAAAGCCCAAACATATCTTGTTGGATATGCAACGGATAAGCGTGACCAGCATTGAACCTCTGCAGAACAAGGATTGTCAGAAGGTACCAAGAGCTGTCCACTGTAATCTAGAGGCTAGCAGTGATTCTGATTGAGTCTTCCTTAGGATACCGCTTAATAGTAGATCATTCTCTATACCCCAGATCGTCTGCAATATGTGTGGACATAACTGTGGGTGACAATTCTATAGTAGTATCGGTCTAATTAGAGAGATATATATTCTTTTGAGAGATTGTGTTAGACGAGAAACCTTAATCCACGACCAATCCCCTTTACCACCATGTACAATAGAAAACTAAACAAAGATAGTAGTGTTTTCGAAGCTCTGTTATAGTTCTCTCATTTTCTACAGCCGTTCTTCAGGGAAATTGGCTGGGATGGTGCCAAGAAAAGGAAAGGCGTGATTCCCACACCAAATGGGAACATAAACTCAAATAGGAGCATTCTCCAAACAAAAGCAATTCGATCCAGATCAGGCTAAAACACACCTGGGTCAACAAGTCTCAAACTATATCAAACGCCCCCAAAGCAAAAAGAGGAACGGTGGGAATACACGACGTTTACCGAGAACACCCGTACCCTAAACGAAAATAACACGCCGAATACCGACGCGATACACAACCCAGGGACCAAAGCCCCACTTCGCGATTATAAAAATTGCCCCTCTTTCTCGCCTCGTCTTGGGACTCTTTTCTTCTTCCCCTCTTCCCCTCATTCTATCTCGTTTCTTGATTATTCGATCCCGGAATCTCAAAATGGGCGTCATCAAGCAGACTCTCGCACCCGGCAACGGTGTCGACATCCCCCAAAAAAATGACGAAGTCGCCATGCACTACACGGGATGGCTGTATGACCAAAACGCGCCGGAGAACAAGGGAACGAAGTATGTTGGATTTCCCCTCCTGAAGGGATGCAGTCAACGATGACTAATTCCTTGCAACAGGTTTGATAGCTCCTACGACCGGGGCCAGCCCTTGCGTGTGGCCATTGGCACTGGACGTGTTATCAGAGGTTTGTTTGCCCTTGCCCCTTTGTATACTACGTCGTTGCTAAATGGATTTGGTAGGTTGGGACGAGGGTGTCCCTCAGATGACTCTGGGCGAGAGAGCCCTATTGACCATCACCGGGTGAGTGTTTGCTGCTCTTCTCCTTTCGTGCCTTGATATCAGTCTATGATGTCATAGTCATGTTTTAACTATCGAATGTCGCTTACTAACCATCCACGCAGAGACTACGCCTATGGAGCGAGGTATGTGATGCTGTTTCCATTCATCAACGGCACCAATTCGGGGTATTATCCTTTGGATGCCTAAGTATACTAACAAAAATAGGGGCTTCCCCGGCTTGATCCCCCCCAACGCTACCCTCCTCTTGTAAGTTTCTCGTCTATCCGATGCTCACGTCGCGGGGAAGTGACGCTGACTCCGATCAACAGCGAGGTCCAGCTCGTGTCGATCAACGGCAAAACCGCTTAATTCTTAGTGCGCAATGGCATAAAGCTACGTGAGGCAAAAACAATGGCTTTCACTATAGACAAATTGACTGCGTGGATGTGCTGGATTTCTACTCTTCCTTCGAATAGTCGTAAGCTTGAATCCTTCGGGTTAGATGGTGGTATTGGTAGAGATGAACCACGCGTGCTATGCAGGTATTATGTCGTTTGTCTCCTGGATCTGTTAAACGTAGCGACCAATGGCGCTGAACGTAGTTACCGATGGATCTATATCAGGCAGTATATGTGTACTATGCTTAAGTGTCCCACTACGAACGTATCGGCATGCCTACTTAATTGCATAGCATATACCCTCTACGACGTATGTATTTTACCATTTTTTTTTTTAAAAAAAAAAAAAGGCAATACAAGACTACTACTAACACTCAACTTCTGCAATACCCCCCGTGCCTCCAGAGTTGAGATGGGATTCCTAACTCGTTCCAAAGTCCTAGGAATATAAATAGAAAACCAAGAGCGATATACGGTCGACATGTTTTATTCGATGGTTGCACGCCAGGACAAAACGACTAGTCAGAACCAAGACTAGGTTAAAGTTTACACTCCGCCTCCAGTCCGCCGCGTAACCCACCCATCATTTGTTGTCAACAAAGCGACTGGGATTGTTTTCCCACCTATGCGTGTATCTAGTAGTGGGGATCAAAAAATACAGTACAGGCTTATCAAGTAGATTTCCAGAGTAGTTGAACCGTTTAGATGTGCTCAAGAACAAGTTTGTTTCTTTTTCCTAACCCCGTAAGACATCCCCTTCCCCTGCAACGATATAAAAAGTAATCTCCGAAATTAGCCCCGACTCCGCCGAGTCCGATCCCGAGTGGAATCGCTCGGCTCGCACGCAGACCCAACCAAGCTTACCCTGACGTACGAACCGTGGTACAAAACCTGTCCATATACCAGTCAATGCCCCCATCGGATCATGCAGCAATCTACTAGAGAGGCGATTCTCTCACGTAGAGAAATTGAAGCCCTAATTGCAGGGGGCCAGTCGATTATTATTGTGAATCAGAAAGTCCTTCGTGTGGATGCCTGGATTCCGTACCATCCCGGTGGACTTAAGACCATCCAGCATGTGGTTGGAAAGGATGCCACAGATGAGTTTACTATGTTAGACACTCGATTTCCTATCTTCGAAGGACGCGATGGGCTTGCTTGATGCTGACGGGCTGTAGATTCCACTGCGAAGAGACGCGACAGATGATTGCAAGGTATCAGATTGGGCGGATTGAAGGAAGATGGATCAATTTCGTACCACCAATTCAAGGGGGAGTATTTCGACCGGATGATGATGGAGAAGACGAGTCAGCCATCTTAGTCAAGGAACAGCTAGATGCTTCCTCAACTGGGCCCACAGCTGCCACAGTAGATGCAGGCATCCACAAACGACACAGCAAGCCTGAGCCAATGGAGAATATGGTCACTCAAGACGAAATAACGTTCCTCGACACGCAAACCAAAGAAGAAGTCAAACTCACCCTATCGCAGTACCCACCTCTGGACCCTGTAACCCAGGACGAGATCATCGCTAAATACCGACTTCTGCACAGCCGAATCCACGCCGAAGGCCTCTACAAATGCAACTACACAGCCTACGCCTGGGAATTCGGCCGCTGCTCCCTCCTGTTCAGCACCATGCTCTTCTTCCTCCACATCGGCTGGTACAACACAAGCGCCCTCTTCCTCGCCTGGTTCTGGTCCCAAATGGTCTTCGCCGCCCACGACGCCGGCCATATCGGAATCACCCAGAACTTCACGATCGACAGTCTGATTGGGATGACGATCGCCGCACCCATCGGCGGCCTCTCCCTGGGCTGGTGGAAACGCAGCCACAACGTCCACCACATCGTAACCAACGCACCCGAGCACGATCCCGACAATCAGCACCTCCCCTTCCTGGCCGTTAACCACCGCTTCCTCGGGAACCTTTTCTCCACCTACCACGAACGACTCTTGGCCTACAACAAAGTCGCCCAAGCCCTAGTCCCTTACCAAGCTTATCTGTACTACATCATTCTGCTCTTCGGCCGCTTCAACCTCTACGTGCAATCCTGGATCTTCCTCCTCCAAGCCCAAGGGCCCCGCAAGGGCCCCGCCAAATGGCACCGCTGGTTCGAAATCTGCGGGAATCTAATCTTCTGGCTCTGGTTCGGCTACGGCATCCTCTACAAAGCCCTCCCAACAGCCCTGTCCCGCGTCTCTTTCGTCCTAATCAGCCACATGGCCACCATGCCCCTGCATGTCCAATTCACCGTCTCCCACTTCGCAATGTCCACCACCGACCTCGGCCCGCACGAATCATTCGCCCAAAAGATGCTCCGCACCACCATGGACGTCGACTGTCCGCCCTGGCTGGACTGGTTCCACGGCGGACTGCAGTTCCAGGCCATCCACCATCTGTACCCCCGCGTGCCGCGGCATAATCTGCGCCGCACACAGGCCTTGGTGATGGAGTTCTGTCACGATGTGGGTATCCCGTACGCGCTGTATGGGTTTGTGGGCGGGAATCGCAAGGTCCTGGGCAGTTTGGCGGAGGTGGCCAGGCAGGCGGCGATTCTGGAGAAGTGTCGCAGGACGGTTGCTGAGAGGGGGGATTTGGTTTGGGGGAGGTAGAAGTTGTTAACGCTGTCTTTGGATTTTGGTTTTGTTTCTATTGCCTCCCCCCTTTTTGCCCCCATTTTTTTTTTTTTTTTTTTTTTTTTTTTTTTTTTTTAGGTGAGATGTGGATATTAGGCGGACGTGTTGTTGGGGAATTCTGTCAGGTGATTCGCTCATTCACCACATCCCTGTATATATAACAGCCGCCTATGCCTTTTTGAGGTTGTATCCCGGATGGCGGACTTTGGAGGCGTGGTAGGTTGATGTTGGAAGGTAGTTATCCAGCGTACTAGGTAACAAACAAATAGTTATGCTTGCCGATTGGCAGCTTAGTAAGGTACTACGTCCTCTCATTATTTATTCCTGGCTTACCCCGGAAATCCGAGTTGTACGATTTTCCGGGCTATAAATCCACACAGAGTTTCAAGTGTCGTACGATGTCGGAGCGTGTAGGTAAAGGGGTTGTTTGGTAGGTATTGCCCGTGTGGGTATTCCCCACGGTAGGTATTGTCCGCAGTAGCTTCTGTAGGTAATCACCAACCCTAACAATGGATCATGTAGGTATTTCCCAACATAAGAAGGGCGATGTGCCGTGTGATTGTTTCAGTCTTTCACATTGAACTGTTTATGGTTTTTTTCTTTCAGTGTACTATATTTTTGAACAGTCTTGTAATTACTCCCACCATGGATGTGCTTCTTGACATCCTGGACACGTTCGTGTTCGACAGATTATACGCATCAATTTTACCAGCGACGAACCCCATCCCGGCGCCGGCAGGCACATACAACAAGCACATTAACCTCTACTACCCACTGCCGCCGTCTCCGTACGCCGACAGCAGCACATGGAGGCGAGATGACCTCGCCCGACAGACAACGTCGCTATTCCTCATCGGATGGTACGTATTCCACGACGTAGCAGACCAGACCAACCAACCCCGAATCTAAGTTTCTAACCCCCCGCAGGATCTTCGCCACGGCCTTGTACTTAATCGGCAGCACACTCATCTACCACACGCTCTTCGACAAGCGCGTAATGCGCCACCCACACTTCCTGCCGAACCAGATCCGGCAAGAGATCCGCCAAGGCCTGTCTGCGATCCCCGTCATCGCCGTGCTCACGGCCCCGTTCTTCCTCGCCGAGGTGCGCGGCTGGACCAAGCTCTACGACTTCAACCACGAAGCCCCCTTCCGCGCCTACAACTGGCTGCAGTATCCGCTGTTCGTCTGCTTCACGGACTGTGGCATCTACTGGATCCATCGCGGACTGCATTACCCGCCCGTGTACCGCTGGCTGCACAAGCCGCACCATAAATGGATCATGCCGAGTCCGTTTGCCAGCTATGCGTTCCATCCCGTGGATGGCTGGTCGCAGAGCATTCCGTACCATGTGTATCCGTTGCTGTTTCCGTTGCAGAAGAGCGCCTACCTGGGGCTTTTTGTGTTCGTCACTATGTGGACGGTTTTTATTCGTAAGTTTTTCTCTCTTTTTTTTTTTTTTACTTTCCGTTTCATTGAGTTGTTTTGTGGGGGGTTTGGGCTAATAAGCGCAGATGATGCCGAGTATCTTTCCGAATCTATAGTCGTCAACGGTGCAGCGTGTCATACCATGCATCATCTGTACTTCAACTATAACTATGGTCAATTCCTGACGTTCTGGGATAGGGTCAGCGGCACATACCGCAAGCCGAAGGAGGACGGGTTCATCCAGAACGAGAACCGCAAGGCGCAGGCTCTCAAGAGGGATTGAAAGCAGGGGTATGAATGTAATTTTTAAGCATTGTAATCTAATCATAGAAGGCGTGTATTATGTATCACGACAACACCATTGAATGAATTCGTTCAGTTTTCCTAGATCATCTGTCGCGGCGTTGTCGAGGTACGGGAGCTTCGTGGAATTCTCAGTGGCGATGTCAAGCATCGCCGTGAGAAGCAGCCAAAGCTCTTCTGCGTGTTTCGGGTACCCCAGCGGCAGTATCTGGTCGTTGCTTGTATCCTGGTACACGGAGTTCCAGATCTGCTTCCATTTCGTGGCGGCGGATTTGATTTTCTTCAGCGGCACGGAGCCGAAGAAGTCGGTTCTGGCTAGGAATGCGAGGGAATTCAACGCTGCGGCCATAGGTCTTTAGCGGAATGGTGAGGAAAATGAGGTTGTCGCAGGACTCACCGTATATCATGATTAATAGATGCTCTGCGGACAGGGGAAAGCTGGAGGCTACGGGCCCAGCTTCGGAATTATCGAGGAGCAGCCGGATGGCTTCCCTCACGGAAGGCATGGGGAGCTTCGCAGCATCAGTTGCAGCGATGCGACTGAAGGCCGATGCATTTTCGGCTTCCCATAGCTCTGTCCTCCATGGGAAGGGGCACTCCATCTCGAAGATGGAGATGGTGGGTCGGTTTTTGAAGCATACTGTAAGGAAACCATCTGCAAGGAAGACCCAAGAAGCTAGCCGTATGCAGACTTCCTCGGTGACTAATGCTCTCCATATGCCATCGTCACCAGTGCAGATTGTGGGAGGAGCGGACCGCTTCAGGTGGAAGATCCCGAGGCAACGCATAAGGGATACTAGGCTTGGGTGCCGGATGATACGAATGCGGCGTCTTGTTTCAATCCGTTCTTGGCCGAACTGGAGCATTTCGATGATTAGCGCAGCTTGGAGGAGCTGGATGGTAGGTGTTTGCCGTGTGAGGTCGTGAGTGGGTGGAGCGACCTGTGTTGATAGCGTGGTGATCTTCCGGAATACATGCTCTTCGGCCACGTCGAGAACCCTGGGTAATAATGCCGCTTCGTCTAAGGAGCTACTATATGTTGCACCGGTTAAAAAGATTGATAGCAGCAGTGGGTTGGAAACGTTGCCCGGGTCGAATGTTGGAAAATGCACGACGGGGAGATGCCAATAAAGTGAATGGAAAAAGACAGAGATGTAGATCGCAACGTTAGATACTGTGAACAGTGGCGCCAATTGTGGAATATCGAGTTGCAGCGGTGGATCCTCAGTGTCGTCAAGTCCCATCGATTTTGAGGTCTCAATCAGTTCCAGCATTATTTCGTGCAGCTGCTCTGAGAGTTTTGTAGGGCCATAGCTTAGGAGATCAGTAGGAAAATATTCATCCGTGATCAACGGAGGACGGAAGAACAAATCGGTGCCTGGGATGTCACCGAAATTAACTGCCATAGGATCGGGTGGTACTAGCGCATCTTCAAGGTGAGAATAGAGGCTTTCAAGATTTCTTCGGACAGAACATTCTGCTGTTGTTCCGATTGCAAGTCTATCTCTTTCCACACAGGGGTCAGTAAAATGACGGAGGAACGAAAACTGCGATCCCTCCTTTGGTGGAGTAGCCGGTTGCACTGATGGCGATAATGAGATGTCAGTCGAGCAGGGACTTCCTATTGACGGTTCATCCTGCGACTCAAACGTGCATTGCTGTCCGAGAGAACGACAACGAGAGCACGGTGAGCATTTATCACACGCCCTTTTCGTGGCAAAGCATTGATCGCAGGACTGCCGTTTCCGCCCTGGCTTGGCTGCCGGGGCAGGCTGTTGATTGTATTTGATTGCACATGCTTTACTGTGTCGCCGAGCAACCTCTCTGTTGGTACAAAGAGTTAGACCTGGTTTTAAAGCCGCATGAGTGGTTGTGGTTACGGTTTCAAGAATGATTTCTTGCAAAAGGGGCACGTGGAAGCGGCCTGGCCGGAATCTAGTAGATGGTCAATGTCAATTGGCAACACCGTACGATGAACTCCATTCCGAACGTACGAGTGAACTCATGGCGCAGCAAATGCGCTTTTCTCTGGTATGACTTGTCACACTGAGAGCAACGGAACATATTCTATAATTGGATCCTGCCCAGATTTACATTGAATTGATCGCAGGTTGATGCGAAGAAGATGCTTTATGCACAAGGCGGAAATTGTCCCGAGCCAGAGTACGGTAAGCCATTGGCACCACTACGCAATTCCTATTTGCTGACAAGTCAAATGTGTGAGGATACACAGTTGAGAAAGATATAGGTTCAAAAATTCAAGTTCTGGAACAACAGTATTATATACAGACGGCGGACCTCTCTGAGTGCCCACAGCTTGAGAGTGACTTCATTGTAATAATGCATTAAAGTATCTGAACCGAGCACTACTAACAATTAGAAAGCATGTGCAATAAAACTAATATATTTAATTATATAATTGAAATATCTACTATATATATTTAAAAATAGAAAATTATAATGAATAGTATTTAAATTTAAAAAATCAATTTAAATAAACAGATGCTAAACACTGGCCGTCGTGAGTTCTCTTTCGATTTTATGAACATTAGAATATAAACTAAAGAACCATTCTGATAAACCTCTTTGCCAACATGCTGTCAGCCAGCCGTTTTCGTCTTGAGGAACAGGTGACCCAGGTAAGAGGCCAAATGAGGGCCATGGAAAAGCGATTCCGTCAACCGTCGGTACGTGAGCCCTCTCAGGACTCTGCGTTATGGCCTTCCAGGATAGGGCATAGATAAGGACTGCTATAGGGTACACGTGTTCATCGAGAGCTTCAGACGGGATTGTTGAGCCCTTCTCTTGAGCTTGCGGATTGCCGATGCCGAAAGTACCCATTGTGCAACCCAAAAAGAATCAGTTTGAATTTGGGTACTTGATATTGATATTCCCGGGCTTCCGTTCACTGAATTTTAAGCTGTTGCTTCGGCAATGTTGTTTGTTGGCCATTTAATGGAGATATCATGGCTTGGAAGATTGCTATTCCCATACCTTCCGTAACTATCTGAACAACATTAATCCTATTCATGAGGGAGTATCGTTCGGGATGGCGGACTGTTGCCAGGATAAATCGTCGACCGTATGGAGACGGCGGTTCTGATGAACATATTAACCTTGAATGTCCGTGTTGGGAATAGCCAGTAGCGTCCATCTCCGGACTGTCCATAGCTTAGAACGCGGAATATCCTCACGATCTCCAGGGCACCATATGGAACGAACACTCTATATTAAGCAGATTCATTTCACCAGGTGCAGTCCATACATACATACGTCTGTATCCACGTCAAGTGAGTTATATTCACTTTCCCCAGGTTCAATGCTTTACATGGTAATTTTAGAGTGGTAGCATAGCACTGAACAGAACTGATTTAAGCCGTGGTTTGGCTAAAACCGTTCGGATAGACTGCACGATATCATCATAAAGGAATCATAATTGCAGCTCTAAGCATGTACATCATCATTAGTCCATCAAATATACAGGCGCCTTAACCAACACATTCATCGGACCTCGTCCCCTAACTTCCGCGGTAATGAAGGATGCAAATCGAATGCGCCCCGCTCCCATGCTGGTCCGTTCTTCCATAGCCGTGGGAGGGCGCATGTCGCCATTGCCACTGGGACTCGGAGCAGCAGGCTGGTTCGGTCTCCGTCCCATCACCTTGCTAATTACAGACCGCATGCGCGGCTCACGTCCGGGATGCGGTGCGCCCGGCGCGCCCTCCTGGCTCGTTGACCCGGACGACTCTCTATCAGCCTCATCAGGCGGTCCTTCGAGATGTTCCTGATCGCCGGACCTCCGCGCTGCGGCAGATTCGGCACTCACATTCGCAAGTGGTGGAAGACCGGCCTCGACTTTCATGTTCGGCTCGTGTAGGAGGGTGCCAGGATGGATGTACTCAATACAGACGTCGCGCGATTCCAGGGGGACCTTATCCGCGATGCCTACCGCATTCTCCACGATCATCCGTGCGCCGTTGTCCAGCCCGGGTGGCGGAGGATCACCCAGATACGACACGAGGTTGGCAACCAGACTATCCACCAGATGGTCAATCAGCTGACACCGGTGTTCTTCGGCAGCTGGTCCGTGTAGCGCATCGGTCAGACCATCCAAGGTCGTCCGTCGCCAATTGGAAATGCGTGCGATCGCGTTCTCCTTATCCTCGTCGGTGAGAGTATTTCCCTGCTGCCGGCGCAGGTTCATCTCAATGCTCTTCAACTGTCGACTGAAGGTAGGATCTAGTGCCGGGTGGAAGAAACGCTCAAACAACTCATCCACAAGCCACCGACTAATTACTGCACGACCAATCGCGGTCATCTCTTTCGTGCCGGTGATGTGCGCATCATCATTCACGTAACCCATCAGCCACTTGGGGAGGCTCTTCCAGTCTTTTCGGAATGCAAACGCCAGATCCTTAATGGCGCCGTCTAGACGACCAAATCGGTTGGCATACTCGTTGTCGTCTAGCACTGTACGCGACACGGCCATGCGCTGATGGGCGACAGTATTCTGTAGCTGTTGTACCTGGGCCTCTTTCTCGAAATAATATCTTTTTACTTTGGAGTACTTCGCCTCTATATAAAAGTCAGTTCTGAAGAAGTCAAAATCTTCCTTGTGGGTCGAGGGGCATACGGAGTTCGTCGTGCTTCTGCACCAAAGTACGCACATCAATCTCTCCTTCGTCGCGAATGCGAGTGGACGTGGGCGTGCTACGACCCTGTTCCGCTTGTTGCGCAGCATTGTTGCGTGCTGTGGCATCCTGATTGTTATTGCCGTGTGGGTATGGTTGATGGCCGCCCGGCGGTGGAGTCGCCGTTGGGGCGCGCTGGCCACTGGGCGGACGATCTGACATGGCACTCTGTGAGGCAGAATGGTCGGAGTAAGCGGGCGGGGGTGGTAGTGGCGAGGGAGGTCCCAGGGACTGTCGCGATGAAGGACGAGGAAGACCCAATTGATTCTGTTGTTGTGATTGTTGTTGGACCGGGCCCGGAGCTAATTCGCCCGAATGCTTGGGCTCCACAGGGGATGGGCTGTATATGTGGTCAAGAAGCGTTGAATCGGTGTTGGACCGTTGTATGGAGGGGGTCTGCGGCGAGCGAGGTGGTCGAGGCTCGGGTGGATTGCCTTGTCCCTGTAGTACGGGGGACTTTGAAGGGTCTTGGGTAGTGTCTATCACATACTCCCTCGATTTTGACGGCGAGTGGGGGTCGGTAGCCGTATCCACCGACAAGGGACGTTGCTCCTGTCGTTGCGGGGCCGGAGACGTTTTCCTTACGGAACGACTACGTTCCAAGAACCCAGATGACTCCCGAGGGGCTTGGGATGAAGACGAATGCGAGTGTAAGGAGAAGAAATTTCTTCTGGACCGTCGCGGGTTTTCGTGCTCCTCTGGTATCTCCGCTGGCTGTGGGTGTGGCCACGACTGATCGGAAAGGTCAGCATCGACAATGCGCGGAGGCGCAGCAGCGGCAGGCGGGGCTACCGAATGGTTGTTAAAGGTATTAGGACGGCGGTGACTCTGCGAGCGATGAACCACGTTGGAATGCGCAGGATGTTGAGGTGGAAGTGGTGGTACCGGTTCGTTGGTGGAGACGGAAAAGCGTCGGTCAAGATCGTCAGGGAATGCGACCGAAGATGGGAGATGCTCGACGGATCGGAATGCAGGAGAGTTGATCGTGGGAGGCGTCTTGGGCTTTTTTTTAAAGAGGGGCATGGAGAAGGAAGTAATAGGGGGGAGAGTGGGGAAGGAAGAAAGGAGTAAGGAGAAAAAGGGAGGAAGTAAAAAGGTATGAAAATGAGAGTGAGTTGTACAAGTGAGGAAGAGGAAAGACAGTCTGTCTCTCCGCGACTTGGAGTCAAGGGACAGTGTGTGTTTGTGTTGTTGTTGGATTGATTGTAAGTGGAGAATCCGACTGACGACGAAGAGGAGAAAAGGTGGGACACGTGCCGCATCATTGGTGGGCGCAACACGAGGCTGGAGATTAAATTACTGCCCATGTTATTTTTAGAGTTATCGTACCGTATCCCCCTCAGGCCAAAAATTACTCTCCCTCTTCAGGTACCAGAGTATGGGGAAACCAAAACATTTCAAATACCATGATTCTGTTCGAGATATTTGAATGCAACGAGCAAAAAAAAAAGAAAAAAAAATATCCTACTGTTCTTTCTATCCATATTGGATAATCCTATCAGCAATGCCCTCCCTCCGTACCTGAATTCAAAATACAACTGCTCACCGTCCCCAGCGTATTCACAATGGGGCCAGTCAGGCAGAATTGATGCCTGAGCTTTAAGCTTGCGCGGCAACGATCGACGCCAAGGGGTACCCGCTCAGCCTCAATCGCCAAGCGTTCCTGCCCTAAACAATGTGCGATGAATTTCCTCATAGAATGCATCATCGCACAATCTAGGATATGGTCGTGTGAGTGGGATAAATTTAGAATGTGCTAATCTTGAACTCACCTCTTACAGTTTATCCGTGATCTCGGTGTAGATCGCAATATCCACTGCATCAGCATTCGTGTTCTACCGAGATATATACTTCCATAGCCCTATAGTTGAATGTTATTAGACCACCCGTCTGGTCTCCGCAAGAAGTGATTAAGACTTCGCAAGCTCATGTCTTCCAGAAAGGAGACCATCAGCCCCTGCACATGCGGCTTAATAAGGGTAGACACATTCTAAGTAATGATACTCTCAAAGCCCAATACTGACATTTCTACATCCTTATTTACACTGTCCTACCCCTGTACGACTGAACTGGCAATGAGCTGCATAGCGGGTGCTGCAATGGCATTTCTTATCTCCCCTAATATGTAACATGAGTCAGTCGGTTTGCTTGCAGTTCTCTGTGCCATGGATGGCGGCTTTTACTTGCCGGTCCAGATTCTGGCAGTACGCCGTCATTGCACTGCTACTGAGTCGATTGGTTGTACATGTATAGTGTACCTTCCGTCATTTCCTTGCTTTTCTTGCGGGGTTGCTGTTTAAGGCTGAATGAATATACTTGGAAGGGCTCATGGGTATGGAGTAGATAACGCTCGGAATTTTCATGATGATCATTGCTTGCTACGACGGCCCAAGAGCATCACTATAGAATCAAAACATAAGCTTAAGTATAGGAGCTTTTAGTTTGGCACTAATCCGACCCAAGCCGCCACGATTATCTAATCGAGACAATTGGTGCATAATTTATATTATACCATAAATTAGAAAAACACCATTTGTAATCTTGTGGTTCGAGACTGCTAGTGAGTGTTAGGACATTACCTGATCTGATCTGAGGTCGTAGCTCTGCTGAGAGCTCCCATAACAAGCTTTACAAGCTTAAATAACATGACCAGAAGTATCCCGAAGCCACTAATGGTCTAGTTTGCTCTTAGTATGACATCCGACTGCGTTGGAATTTATTGTCTTGTAACTAGAGGGCCACCGGCTATTCCGGTGAGGCGACGAGATATTTTCGCTTCACCCTGAACTTGTCAACAAGTTGCACATTTACTATATATACCCTTTCAGAAGATATATTTTATGGGACCCGTATGTAAAAGTGACTTTCTGCCACTACTCATCTTGCTGGGTTGGTGAAGAACAAAACCAAACATATAAATAGTTGGGGACATTAGGTTACAAGACGAGTTCGATCATAGCCAATGCTATATGGGGTCTTTTTTTCTTCTGTTGTACTTTGCAGCTATAGGACAATACTGCCAGATACGGCCGTAAATAATCCGGGTGTATCGCCAACACTCGACTTTCGAATTAGTAGAGACGTAACCATAAAATAGAGAAGATTAAACTTGTCATTACGAAGCCTTTCTCATTGGCCTGGCTCGGGTCAATGGGGCAGAACCAATAAGTTCAAATCATACATGGGCGAATTAGCGTAGCAGGCACATGGTGCATAGTACACACGAATGCTGATGTACCATGACATTATTATTAAAGTATCATTAAGGTAATGAGTGAAGCAAGCCTCCCATTTATTTCAACGAGTGAGCACCATATTACAAATTTAAGAACGCTAATTTCACTACTTTCCTAAAGCATGACATGACAGCCAGGTAACCAATGTGAAACCACACCGTCAAGACTCTTTTTAAACGTCGGTCCCTTTGGTGGATATATCAAGCTCAGTGTGGACCACGATCCCTGGTGAGAGACACTCGTCGTTCTGGCGCGGGTTACCGCTGACCTTGATGGTGACCTGTGTGGTCGTTCGCGACCAACGATCCCTAGGCCCCGTGAGTTCAACCTGAGAGCCTGTATCGGCGTACAAATCCCTGATGCCGTGGATGGGGTAGTGTTTGCCGCTACGGAGGCTTGTAAAACTGGAATCGGTCTGGGAGCGGGCCCGGCCGTGGATCGCAAAAAAGGATCGGACGATCGATGCGAGTGATTGCCCACCTCTGAGAAGGGCGCCATAGCATGGGAGACAGGCGGCAATGATAGAACAGTTGGTTTCGATGATCATGAAAACAAGCTGGTTGGAGTGGATGTCTGGGGGTTACCATGTCAGTGTGAGTCGAGTGATCCCATCTTAGTGCTAGTCCTGCGAGAAGGTTATACTCACGGACTACGGACAGGTCGGTAGCCTCTTTGGCTATGGAAGCATGGAGCAGAACTAATCGAACAATAGCAGCAGCGCAGCAACTGTGATTTGCGCCGGCCCTAGTGAGTACATGGGTAGTAATGCTGCGGGTGGAGAACAAGAGCTTACAGTGCACCTAACACATAGACGAGAATGAGATCCCACACTCTATGGGGAGACATGGGTAGGAACCAAAGCATGGGGAGGGGAAGCAGCAAGACGGCGACATTCAATGCGATACTGGTGGCAGATTGAGCGAACTCCATTGCGACTTGATCGAATCTGAAGTGTCCCTTCCCAGTCCATGCCCTGCTGATCGGATCGCCTTCTAGAAGCATCAGCTGCACAATGTCTGTTAGTCTGTGCCGTCGATGTATCTCGAAATGTAGGAACCACTTACGAAGAAGAAGGTGATCCCCCAACAACCAACAATGGCGATGGCAATGTATGCAGCAATCTGAAATTTAGGGACCGAAAAGGTTCGCTTGTAGAATAGCAAAATCGAAATCTTGACCGCAGATAGGCATACTTGGAGGACGGCACTACAGATGAAAAGGCATTGGAACGATCTCTGAATCCCCGTTGCTAGATTGACTTTGTATTTGGTAATACCAGTGATGCTGCCAAAAATCCAAATAGTAATGCTCAACCCAAAAGTAGGGAGCTTGTGGAACGTCAGCTATTTGTTTTATCTCGAATAGACTTGGAAGTACATGCCCATCCTGCCAAGATCCACCAGTCATCGGCTGCAAGCTTCAAGTGTCCTATTCGGCGAGCTTGAAACCGGAGAATAATCGACAATAGAGACAAGACCGGAAAAATGGTTGATACAACGACAAGGGCAACAGAGACGACCGGCGTCACGTTGATGGACATTGAGGCATCCATGGCTGGGGCCGTGGAAGGAGAGAAAGAGGGTCAGGGGAACAACATGTGGCCAAGCGATGGGATAAAAGAGTGATGAGAAGAATGTACTCTCTGTGGCTTACCCTTTAAGAGAGGGGGCTGAGAGCCCAGGCTGTAGGATTATATTCTGACATGTACAGGGGTCTTTCACTAAGATTGTGCAGAATGGAGGGTTGGGGCCAATTTTAGCAGAACAAGACTTGGCCCTTGAGGGGCAGCAGAAGAACTGCCCAAGTTAACTAAGAAATCGCCCCCAATGTGACATGCATGATCAAGACATGGAAAAGCAGAAAGTCAGCCCTTATCCACGTGGCAGTGGAAATGTCGTTCGAGGACACTAAACGAGGCCTTTGCATGGAGCTAATGCAACAAGGTTCTGTCTGACACCCACGCTTACCCTGCAACTTAGCAGCGGTGTGAAGGGTGCCCTGAGCTATGGTGGCAGTATCTTACTCAAATATGCGGCCTTGCCTTTACAGCCTTGCCTCTCCCATGGCTATAGGGAACCATATCGCTCAAAGGTCCGCTATACTGTGCAAATTCAAGCGCCAGAGAAACTGCAATCTCCGTTGATATCCTTGCAGATAATGGAACATTGGCCCCTGGTTCACTTGGCTGCCTAGGGTCTTAATGAAACGGAACGTGAATGATCTAGGAGGATTCCGAATGAAGGTCGAGGATCCTACGATGGCTAACTCCTCTTCCGCTAGCTATCTGCTATCTTTAGATGGTTGTAGCAGACTCAAGGACAATGTTTCTTCTTTGAACCCGATTTGTCCTCTAGAGTCAGGACTCATCACGCACATTCGGATTCGCCATCGCCTCCGCGCTTACGGGTGTTCCCGTACCCGTACGACTAACATGAGTTTATGTGTTTGATGATCAGTAACCCCAAATGGGACCCAGATCCTATTTTTGCCGACAATGCTTAATCTATAGAATGATTTATAGCTCTTGCACCTATATCCATCTTGGGGATTTCTAAGTCAGGAATCAGGATGAAATGCCAAAGGCCTACTTTTCGAAACCTCTGAACTGTCGCGTATGGTCATTTCATTGACGGCATTGGAGGCAGGCAGGGCGAGCCAAACTTATAGGAGGCAGAGAGATATCTACCCAAGTATTTAGGATCCAAATGGGGCGTTAGACCAGCAGATTTCCATCTACCGCAATGCGTACCTGCAGGGCCAGAATGGCCCGGTGAGGCTATATGGCACGGTGAATATAGGTATTGATACAAGGGTAGATATACTAAAGGATACCATACAGTAATGTACCACCCGATACCTTTATGGAGCAACTCGCAACTCTTGTTTCTTTGTTAATAGTAATAGCATAAGCACTACCCAAGGATTGACATCCCGAAGAGTTGCGGCGCAGTAGCCGCCTAGGCCACCAAAGGCCCGCCCAACAGAGGCCCCGGGTCGAGACATGCCTTCCAAATGCAAGTTTAAGTTGGAATATATTAAGCGAATACCACCCATTCTTTCTATCTCGATCATACATCCCCCAAGGATCGCCGTCTTTCTATTTCAACAGGCATTATGACCAAGTCTGATACCAAGCCGCTTACCGTCTGGTTGACCCGTAAGTCAATTTAGATCTCCTCTATGCACAGCACTACTGATTGATACGTTCTGGAAGCTTCCGGCCCCAATCCATGGAAGGTACGAATCCCGATTCACAGCATGGTGGATACTGAAGAAGATCAGCAGAGCCTTTTGCTGACTTCGTACTGGTTGACATTTAGGTTGTCCTCATCCTCGAAGAACTCCAGATTCCTTACGTGATTGAATCCTTCAGGTTCAACGATGTCAAGGAGAAACCCTACACCGATATCTGCCCCAACGGCCGTGTCCCTGGTATGTAATAATTGCATTCCAACCATGGTAGAACCGTGGGGACCCTTGAGATAGACATATTAAGCGAAGCAAATAGCGATCGTGGATCCCAACACCAACCTGACGCTCTGGGAGTCCGGCGCCATTATCCAGTATCTGGAGGAGGTCTACGACACGGAGAAGAAACTAACCTATGACTCGCTTACCGAGCGACAGCTGCTGAACCAGTACCTTCATTTCCAGATGAGTGGCCAAGGGCCCTACTTTGGCCAGGCTGGATGGTATGACCGCCCCTACTGCTCCCTAGTTTTTCTCTGGACGAACCATGTTTCATGGATGCTTCCTTCCCCCCCCGACTATCTCTTGACCCGCATGTGATAATTGACGGATGATTTGTATACTAAGATGATCAGGTTCAACGTTCTGCACCCCGAAAGAATCCCCTCCGCCATGGAGCGCTACAACAGCCAAGTCCACCGCTTCCTGGACGTGCTAAACACATGTCTTGAAGGCAAGGCTTGGCTCGTTGGCGATAAATGTACCTACGCCGATTTGGCATTCGTGCCGTGGAACTGTCGGCTTGAGATGCTGTTGCAGACACCCCCAGACGAGGACCCACTGGCACAATACCCCAATGTGCAGGCCTGGCATAACCGCATGGTTTCCCGACCTTCATGGAAGCGCTGCATGGAGGTTCGAGACAAGCTCATGGATGATCAGGGCCTGACGCCCAAAGGCATGCCCAAGGGGATAAACAATATCAAAGAGTATGAGGATCTTATTGCTCGGGAGGCAGCCGAGAAAGAGAAACAGTAAATACGTTACAGGCGGACGAGGAATTCGATTTTTTCAAACATAATATGCGTGGAGACTTGTCAGTCTGGACCTTCGGCTGGTCGGCTTTCCAGTAAATGTTGCACAATTCGTACAGGAGGAGACACATCATATCCTATGAAGGCCTTGTTATTAATTTGGTGGAGCGGCGCTACTCGGCGTATATGCGTAGGAACGAGATCAGCACGAGAAGTACGCTGCTAATCTAGCATCATACGTGCCCGGGCTTAGGGTTACGTCCGTGCCCCAAATTTGGGGGCCGAAAGGTGGCTCGATGGATATGCTCCAATACCCATCGATCGACCCATGTACGTACTAAAATCTGACCGACAAAGACCGAATTTCTCCCCTTCTCTTTCTCATAAAGGGTGAGCGACAAGACAGGGACCGTGCCCGGCCACGCCGCGGATGCTACGGAAAGCCTGCAGGGAAAGGAACCACACTTGAGACTAGCGTATAGTATCAATCTGCGTTTTCTTTGTCTTGTTCCAACGGAACTGCCTGGTTGAATCAGGGCTGCGCAGGGGAACTGAGGGGTATATGTTACCATTGTACGTGAATGGAATCAGAGCAGTGGGCAGAGAGAGCCCTGAGAGATGTAGGAAGGTCTACTAAAGTACTAGTAGTTGATCGGTGACAGTGTATAGTATTGGTTCCTTTGCTTGATTGTCTACAGATGCATGATCCTTGCAAACTAAAACGAAAACGAAAACGAAAACGAAAATGGCAGAAGAGATAAAAATATACACAAATGAAGCCGGGATTATTTGTGATGTAACGGTAGAATATGACGCTAATGATAAGTAATATTGTATTGACTAAATATTTCCCATATTTTAAATTATTATCAGTTATCTCTGCTCCTTTCATGGAAGCATTAATATATGAGTAAGCAGGCTAAGTGCGAATGGAATAGACTGATGCACAAACGGGCTACGCATGTATCGCTTGAGTGTGACTGGGTTGCTTTTCGAATGGGCTGATAATTGGGGGCTGTCTGCCTTGTCCTCCCACATGGTTTGGGGCAAGCTGTATGAATGGTAGCCGACTTTAAAGCGAATATGTAAGGAACAGGCACCTCGTCTCATATCAGCCGGTGATCTCCGTGGAGAAGCGACATTGTTGGCTGGCACCCCTGCCCTATATCATGAAATGACACCCAGCCAAATGGTTGACCTTTTCCTACCTCAACTGTCTTCCTTAGCACTCTGAATTATGAGGTACAACACGGTCACAAAACGTGGTAATGTACGTACAACGGTTCAGCCTTGGGCGTGGTCCATTTTGGCAGTGCTACAGGGGCATCTCCAGCTTCTTCCGGACTGTGAGATAAGGTTGGAGATCGTTTCGCTTTATATTTGATTGTCGTCACACGGTGGTAACAGCTCTAACCTCGATCACTGGCCATCATCAAGCAAAAGTCGGCTAGACCATTTTCCATCTGGCAGCATCTGCCGGTGGAGCACTGGTAGCAGGCCTATGCTTTTCGGGATCCATACAATAGACTATTGATGATTTGCATAGCGCAGATCACAGGTTGTACTTGAACAACTATACCAGGACATGAGAAATACTCGCTCTCTTCTCTGATACCAAATAGAGAGAATGTTTTTCAAACATTAGGCAGCGCTGGGCTTGGCAGAACGGGGATCCTTCAGTCACAGGGGGAAGCAAAACACGAACAGTATTATTAGAGTCATGTTGCCAATAAAAGCGAAAGTCGAAACGGTCTTTCCTATACAACTCCTAACCATCCACGAATGGGACCCAAATTCGCCAGCGGTAGACCCGACATCCGACAATATTATTACGAAGCAACGCTCACAGTGCCTGAATGTTGATCCATACCTTTAAAGTTCAGGAACTGAATTTTCGGAGCTACATCTCTTGTAGTGAGTACATTGGTGGTAGAATGATGGCGATCAAGCACGGAAGGGGCCTCCAAGGTACTCCAGGGACCTTGAGGTCGCGGCCGATAAGAGCATGACGCAAATAATATCTTCTTCTCTCTTCCTAAATTGCTTCATCTTATATATCACTTTAGTTTATTCAATATGCCTACTATTATTAACCGGATCCCGTTGGAATTACTCGAACTGATTTGCGACGAACTAGACACAAGAGACCTGGCGTCGCTGGTTGGGACCTGTCGCGATACATACTACCGAACGATAAACCGCTTGGCGCAACGATATACCGAAATTCACCTAGACTTTTCGCAAGACAGCTTCAATCATATCCATGCTATTGCCAACAACAAGGTCATGCGAGAGCAGGTTCACCGCCTGGTCGTGATGACCCCGGAACCTTATCTCGGCCGGAACCTGCAGTGGCAGCGAAGCGCAGCAGGCCACATACAAAATCCGCTCCAGATACCAGTCATTCAACGGTTTCGAAATGACCTCGTTGAACGGCTTACGAACTGCCGATCTTTTGTCATATCCCCTGTCAGAACTAAGTTTGTGCCCGAAGAAGAAGACGACACCAACAATAATGAACATTTCAATCCTGACGATGCCGCTGGTATCTTGTTGGAAATCATTGCCGATACATCGCTGCCCATGAAGCTATTCTGGTATGGCACGGGAGTGAACTATACTTCAAATATCATGGATATTCAGCGATTACCCAAGGACCTTTTCACAAATCCTGCTTTCCAGGCCGGATGGGGCCGACTGGAAAACCTCCACCTGGACCACAAGCTCACACCATACAATTACTCCTTCATTTTGAATATGATTCTTCATGCCCCCAGTCTTCGAAAAGTCTACCTCAGCCTGGCGCCGCGAGATTTGGCAATTGAGTTCTTCTCCCACCTTGCGCAATCTCAATCTCTCCCTAGCTCACTAGAGAGGATTGCCTTATGCTTCACGTCAATACGAGCTGTTGACCTTGTCAAGATCCTCAGTCATTCTCAACAAACACTTAGACGCCTCATTCTAGATGATATTGGGGGCTTATCGTCAGATGCGTCTAAGCTACACAGTGAATTACAGAGCTGTTTTCCACGGCTGGAGGCTATTGATTTCAATAAGTGTCAATGACATCAGACATTATATTACTTTATTGATCCAATATATAATACTATTTGTGCTTGAGCATGGACATAGGTGGTTCACTAGAACAATACCCAGTTCTATCACTACTACCTGAGCGAAACTTATGTGAATGTGTATATTTCTTATCAATTTCAACTCAGAGTCTACAAAACTACCGACATTGTCGTCTTCATCTCCTTGAGCCGTCCAGAGTTGCAGCAACCACTTTTTATCTTATGCATATCTACGACTTTTCTGGAAGACTGAGGGCATCGAGAAGGACGGTAGTGTTTTATATATAGTTGAGGGAGGACTTAGCTAAAAGCCTATACAGGAGATAGTAGTATCTAAGAGCTACCTAATAATCTGGTTAATAAAAAGTCTACTCTCACCTCTCTAGCAGAGCGAGCCCGTATACAATGACGGACACTTAAAGACAATGATGATGTCTCCATTAGTATTAAAATAGAGTGGATTTATTAACTGTAATATCTTCTAAGAATATATAGTCTTATAGATAAATCTTAGCAGAATCAAAAGTATCTACAATGATATTAGCATAGGAAAGCACTCGCTATAAGACTCTTGACAGCGGACGCAAAGGCAATTCTGGAAGATATCAGCACCAGCCAGCCATCCAAGGACTGATGATTAGTATTACTACTATGCAGTTTTGTGAAATACCCATCCAGTCAGGATATTCGGAAAATAGACTTCTTCGATCTCCGAAAATTGGCCTGTGCTTGCCTTGCCGTCTTTCGGACTTGGAGCGGCTTTGTTTAGCGGTGGTATTCCACATTGTATCACGGAAACGCAGTCCGTTGGTGCTATGCAAGTCCGTATAGTTAGTGGATATTATTGATTTGAGTTTACTAGCATTATTATGAATTCGTGGAGTACGTAGTGGGCCTATGCAGCGATTGTAATGCAGGGTACCAACAAGACACGTGATACGGATGAGCCACCAGAAGACCGGAGAAGACGAAGCGCTGCGATCACCTCGTTACTTTAATGCCGATGATTTCCATGACAAAGCTACTAGTACTTACTATCATGGAGCATATTTGCTCCAGATACTGCTCAAACCCCCTCTACAGCACACTCCAAACCATCAACAACAATGATGCAGGTTCGGCTTCTAAGGGGACTGCGGACCGGGCCGATAAGGATACATGAATGGACTTGTTCTCCCACGAGGGGAGCCAAGTATCTCATATTGTGCTACAAGTTTTAAAAAGTATTCTAGAACCACGAAACCCGATTCGCTAGCGGGAACGCCACATGTTCGAAGCTCAAAAGAATCAAACGTATCTCGAATCAACGGCCAGGAGTTTCCAAATTGAGCCGTGCCCTAATCCAGGGTCGTGGTAGGGTCTCGGTTAATACGAGGAACGACCCACGTTGGCCCACAGCCTCACAGTCCATCGTTACCCTTATTGGATGGCACAACTCCGGATATTGCAGTAGATCCTCACTGTCTTGAGAGAGTCCTCCGACCGCTGGCCCCCCCTTTTTCCCGAACGTGATCAGGTGGGCTTGAGAAAGCACCCTCCGTCAAGTTGCGCTTAAGGGAAAGTCAGGCTCTGTCGACTGAAGAATAGCTGTGATGGTAGTGTTCGTCTGAGAAAGGATTGGCCATAATGGAGGTCTACAAGTCAATAACTACCCTTCAAACAAGGCATGTTATGTAATTCCAATGCATGGGCCATCATACTAGTTCGACCGGCGCCGGTTCCAACCAAGGCACTAAATCATGGATGAAAAGACCAACAGGACACTCCTATTCTGCGTCCATAATTGGCCCCCATCGTCGCAGGGCTTTTATATTTCGCCGACCCCCTCAGCCCAGCGGGCATTGAGAGCCTCACGATGACCGTTCCTCGACCAAATCCCCGGGGGTTTGCGGCTACGTGATTATGTCTAACCTCCTGCTTTCTCTTCTAATTTGAATTTCCGACAAGTGCCGTGTCCGATATTCAGGGACAGCCCTCCCCCGCCATGATTTCGCTGCTACAGTCCCCGGTGCGGCGCTACGGCCTTCTGGCTGTCTCGGCGATCATCCTCCTCGCCACGTTATACCGTCTCTATTTCAACTCCAATCCTCTCCCGCGAGTTGTCCGTCCAAGCGGCAGCAGTCCGGATAGTAGCAGTCCCAAGGGGAACGAACAGGGAACGGGACGATACAGCCATGACGACGCGGAAGCTGTTCCGCATCCGATCGACGGCTTAATCCGCAACGCAGAGCAAGAATGGGATCGCCTCCTCACGAAACAGGTATACAACCTCACCGACGCAGCTGCGCAATACCGACAGCGCCGCGGTCGCCACCCACCCCCAGGCTTCGACAAGTGGGTGGAATTCGCACAGCAAAAAGACGCGATTCTCATCGAGGACCTCTTCGACCAACTCTACGATGACTTAAGTCCATACTGGGCCCTCGACCCCAAAGCTATGCAGAAACAAGCATCGGGTTGGGAACCGCGCATCATGGTGCGCAACCACACGCTCAGCTCTGCCGGTCACACGGGCGTCAACTGGCTAGAAGTCTGGACGGATCTCATCTCGACCATCGCCGATTTCCTCCCGGACATGGATATCCCATTGAATGGCATGGACGAACCCCGCATCATCATCCCCTGGGAAACACTCTCGGAGTACCGCGAGAAGGACCGCGCAAGCCAGAAACTGCTTGACCCCGCCACAGCTGTTGACCAGTACATGGCCTTGCCCGCCTACGACGAGGCGCATCCGAACGAACCCTTCCAACCGCCCTTCGACGGCCCCGACAAACCCTTCTGGGAGATCATGCGCAACGCATGTCCCCCCGAGAGCCCGGGACGAAACAGCAATATCCCACACATGGACTTCGCGAACCCACCGAGCGAGTTCTTCAATTACCGCAACTTTTCCAAGACAGGGTATATCGAGGACTTCGAGCGATCCAAGGACCCGTGCTGGCGCGCAGAGCTGCAAGCCCTACACGGCAGTTTCATCGAGCCAACATCCACATCCACCACGCACGAGCTCGTCCCTCTTTTCGGTGGCTCGAAGCTAACGGTTAACAATGAGATCCTCATCCCACCAGCCGTGTACTGGGACGACGACCCACGGTACTCCGGCGGGTGGAAGAACCAAGGCGGCTCCTGGTCTGACAAAAAGGACATTGTGTACTGGCGCGGAATCGCCAGTGGCGGACGCAACCGCGTCGACACCTGGACAGGCTACCAGCGCCACCGACTCGTCTCCATGCTCAACGGGACAGAAGTGTCCCTGACTAACGGCTCCAAATCCGCCGGTGTCAACTTCCGTCAACCCGACTATCAGTACTACAACGTCTGGGCTGGACTAGACGGCACTTTGCCTGAGTATCTCAACGAACACTGCGACCTCGGATTCCTGGATCTATGCTGCTTTCCCCGCGAAGACGGCAAGCACTGCTCATACACCGATCCGCATTATAAGATCGTGGAAGGCCTGCCCATGAAGAAAATGTACCAGTTCAAGTATCTGCCGGACATCGACGGGAACTCGTTTAGCGGACGCTATCGGGCGTTCTTGCTGTCGACTTCTTTGCCCATCAAGGCCACGGTATATAAGGAGTGGCATGATTCGAGACTCATTCCGTGGGCGCATTTCGTCCCCATGGATTCGTTGTACATGGATATTTATGGCATTATTCAGTATTTCATTGGGTATAAGGGGCGGAATGGACATGATGGGCAGGCGGAGAAGATCGCCTTGAATGGGAAGAGTTGGGCTGAGAAGGTTCTGAGACAGGAGGATATGCAGCTTTATGTGTATCGGTTGCTTTTGGAGTATGCCCGTCTTTGTGATGAGAGGAGGGATAGTTTGGCGTTCGTGGGTGATTTATTATGAACTGGTCTTGTTGGAAACAGGGCTTCATTTGTACGATAGAGCAATAAAACGCATTAAATCGCTAGCAAAACCCACCTGCCCTACCACTTGCTAGACACTCCAGTGGAGGCTATCCCTATAGCCACGTTTACCTGCCCTTCAGCCCCTGTCCCGCACCCTCCTCGGGTTTATGCCCGATTACCAGGATGCCTGTAGCCATGATCAGTGATTCTCCAAGGCTACAGAATAAATGGTATAGAATTAAACGTTGGGAACTACAGCTACTTCCAAGGGCTTGGGAGCTTTCTCCTCCCCATTTAAGTGTAATTAACTGAATGGCCACGTATTTCGCTGAATACATTCCAGATGTTATATTCCTGGTGGGTACTCGTAAATAAATAGTGAATGGAAAGTAGGTGCTTAAAAATATGTTTTGCAGCCACTCCGAAACAGACCGACAGCATACCTCTTCATACCTCAAGAATGTAGGAATAAAGGTAATAGCACTGCTCATCTTTACTTTGGTCCAGGCTGGAAGGTTCGGCATAACCGACTCATAGGCCTGTGTCATGTTCTTACGGTCGTAAACTTTCCCATGATCGTGTAAGCCCTACCCATAGGCAGTATCAATTATTTCAGCTCCAACTACAAAGAATACAAAACGTGGGAACGGACGAAGGAGAGCCTGGCTGTATTTCCCACTGTACACCAAGGACACGTCGACAGCTAAATGGACTCACGATTACGCGAGGGCCGACGTAGTGCAATGCTCGCAAAAAGATCGAAAGCTGCGCTCTCACTGTGCTCGAAGTTATAAGCCTAGACTGCAAAATGATAAGGTCTCCCGCGTCTACGTGACTTTAGAATATTTGCCCGGGTTTTGTGGCGCGAGAATCACTAAAAAGCGATTCTCTTCGCGAAATTCTTGATCGTACTGACCAGTAGCCTCCGGGGCGATGGAAGAGAGATGCTTGCTCGTCCTTGGGGACCCGACGCTGGTATACCCTATTACTCATGGCAGAAATGAGTATCGCCAATTTCTCAAAAGAGCACTTGCAGACGCCCAATATACTGTAGGGATAGACACAGCTGTTGTCCTATTCCGGCTCCAATTTCAGGGTTGCTGACCCACCCATTATGTACGGTCGCGTGTGCACCATGAAGCGCACCAGCAAGAAGAAAGGAATTCGGGGAGATTTGTCGCGAGAGGTCGTCGCTGCTTTTCCAGATGTTCTACTCGAGGCCCTTGAGGTGGGCTGGCTCTCTTGGGAGTTGTATAGTCGACAGATATTTTGAGTGGCTGCAATGCAAATCGAGCTTTGCCCCACAAGCCATATAATTCCCGAGAGGGGTATAGGATATTTTGCCATATATCAGTTCCGCTTTCGCCCATCACAGTGCTCCTCCATTGCTGAATCTTGTCTGGGTGCTAAAAGCACTCTAGATTCAGCCAAGGCTGTTCCGGTTCATTCTTCAGTTTGCATGCTGTGTAAGATGGTGATTGTGTAAGATACTGACTTAGCCTTGCCGTTGGAAATTGAATTTGCCGAGCCACAATCACTGTAACCTGTTTAACCGAGCCTTGTTGGCCACCGAAAACACTGGGAACAGGAGGGAGAAAGCTAGTTGAACGTGAAAAGCGCCGACTGGGGGCAGGAGATGAAGCCCTAACCATGAGGAATTTTACAAGTAACAAGATGCGCGTGAACAACAACCAACTCTAGAATAAGCTCTGGGAGGTAAGGACATGGAATGATGAACGAGAGATTTCTTGGGAAAGCTAATATGTAGTTGTTCAAATAATCCAGAACATGCCGCGAGCATACACGTGCGTCCAAACCAGCGCTTTAGTAACCGCTGTATTTGCTAGCGAGCAGGTTGTACTCTCCAAAATGAAGATTTGCTTGTTCTCCTTCCAGGAGAAAGTCTGGACGAATTGGATATTCCTTAAGCTCTTTGGGGGTAATAGGTGTCAGTCAAGCAAGCCAGAGGGTGGTGATCTAAATTTTCAGGATCGAAGTAAAGGCGTTAGACTTTGACATCCTATAAGACTGCATCGTACGTCACGTTAAGCCTGTATAAAGGATCCAGTCAACAGGCTTTGTCTAATTTGCCATTATATTCGTAGTGCTCCCAGCTGCTTATCTGTTATTGTAACACATTGATGTTGGAGAATATATGGAACAGTCGTATACCTATTTAGTAGCCCTGAAGGCGAGGATGGCCCTGAAACTAACGCTTGATGGTGGCTGTCACAGGACTCTTTGATCACTGTCTATACGTTGTACGGAGCCACCGTGCTCTTTAACACCAGTGTTAAACGTGCCTTATCTCTCAGACTTGGCCATTTTAAGGATCCATGATAATAAATATTTATAGGAATAGAAGCGAGCAGATAGGGGGGCAGTAGTGAGATCTTTTAAAGACACCTACTAGAATGGATCAGGGCGTGGGGAAGTATTCACGTAGATACAATGACGACTATGGTCCAGATAGTGACTCAAAACTTCCGTGTGAAGTTATCCACGAGTTGATATCACAGGCTCACTTTCTTCAATACCATAGGGAGAGTGAATTCCTGTATGAATATTCTCGAAGATTGACTACCGCCTCAATGTTGTGAGACTTGGAAAGAATTAACATGACGGGTTAAAGTTGTCCGCTCTAAAACCTAATTTTGTATCTTTCAGTTTCTCACTCTAACTATATTAGGCTATGGCCATTGCACACCTCGCGCACTAACCGCCTTTGGTTAACCATGTACGAGCATGAGGATGGATTGCCTTAACCCTAGTAGTCCATACTTCTAGAACTTTACATTGGCTATATCGTTACAAAGCACTGTGTAAAATGTCGCCAATAAATCAATGATCCGATCTAGTGCTGTCTAATCGCCGGTGGCCCCCAAAAGCCACAACAAATATACATAGCCGGGGAAGAGCAGCCGGCCATGAAGTAATATATAATGGCGCTTCGTCCCTGCTCATCCCAAACACCACATCAGCTCTCAGCGTTCCTCTGAACAATGGCATACCTTATATTCACTCTTTTATTTTTCAGCGCCGTTACTTTTCGGAACTCTCTGTCACTAGCTCAGTCACAAGGACTTAGGACTCTTTCTTCGTCTTATATTGATGGTGCATCCCTCTCATATAAGAAAGTAGGTAAAGCCCACAGCATTGTCTCTTTGATATTTCTAACGAAATCAGACACCGATCTGCTCAATCCCGGACCTCGATACCTATAGCGGCTATGTCCATCTTCCACCCCGCGTAGACGATGCACATCCACACCCGAGAAACCTGTTCTTCTACTATGCCAAGTCAACCAAGAATAGGACAGCTCCGTTGACGATTTATCTCGGCGGTGGTCCAGGAGCGAGCTCCATGTCTTCTATGGCCACTGAGATAGGACCTTGTTCCGTGAACTCAGATTCAAATAGTACATCGCCGAATCCCTGGTCCTGGACACGAGAATCCGATATCCTCTTCATCGATCAGCCGGTTCAAACTGGATTTTCGTATGATGTGCTCACGAACGCCACTATTGACTATTTGACAAGTATTATCACTCCAACTGACTTCCACAACGAAGTTCCGGCAGCGAACCATACATTTAGGTCCGGGGTGTTCGGGTCCCAGAATTTCAACGGAACGGTAAATTCGACGATGAATGGCGCGAGGGCGTTGTGGGATTTTATGCAGGTTTGGATTAATGAGTTGGTCTCTTTTCTATCTCCTCAATTCCTCGTCTTTGACACTGATTACCAGATTTCCCGAATATGAATCACCAGATAAGAAAGTACACATTTGGACTGAATCCGTAAGTCCCTTTATCCCATCTGTTCTGCATGTCTGCTAACGAACACTCCAAGTTTGGCGGCCGATACGGCCCATCCTACGCCGCATATTTCCTGGACCAGAATGAGAAAGTCCAGAACAACCAAAGGACTAACGCTTCATCTCCTTCTTCGATCAACATCGACACACTAAGCATCCACAACGGGTGCAGCGACATCATCACGCAGGGTGCTTTCTACCCCATATTCGCATACAATAATACATACGGGGCACAAGCCATCAACAAAGAGCAGTACGAAGAAGCTAACTATAATTTGACTAAACCCGGCGGTTGCATGGATATGGCCGTGAAATGTCAGGAACTCGCGCAAAGGCTGGACCCGCATAACCTCGGGAATAATGCGGACGTCAATGCTGCGTGTTTCGCTGCCGATGAATTCTGCTATGCGAATGTGTTGGGGGTTTATGCCTTGTCTGGGGTGAGCTGTTCCATATGGTCTGATGAATGTGTGTTGACTGTTGTAGCGTGATGTGCATGATCTGGCCGAGGTTCCTACTTCGACTATGCCGCAGCCCTACTCGGATGGCTTTTTTAATCGACCATGGGTGCAGGACGCTTTGGGCGCTCGGGTGAATTTCACTGCGAATTCAAATGTTGTTTATAACGGTGAGATCTATCGCAAAAAGGAAGAATTCCCTAGAGATAGCTGTTAATCAGAGTAGCATTCTGGAGCACTGGAAACGCGCTCATCACGCGTGGAAATGCAATGGACGACTTCGCATCGATTGTGAAACGGGGCGTTAAGGTTAATCTTATCTATGGTGATAGGGACTATCTCTGCAATTGTATGTCATGATTCTGTTTCACTAGAATACTAACTAATGTTAACCTAAGGGATGGGCGGCGAGAACATCAGCTTATCCATAAAACACGACCAATCCGCAGCGTTCAGCTCCAGCGGGTATGCAGATCTCATTACGAATCGAACGTACGTGGGGGGTGTTGTTCGTCAACATGGGAATCTTTCCTTCACACGAGTGTTTGATTCAGGACATGCTGGTAAGCCTTCAGAAAAGATCGGTTTAGTTTAGGGTATACTGACTTCACAGCTGCTGCTTTCCAACCTGAGACCATGTTTCGTATTTTCTCGCGGATTATACACTCCAAAGATATTGCAACAGGCAATATCTCTATGTCTGAAGAGCGCAGGAAGACCTATAAGACCCATGGCCCACATTCAAGCCTTTACAGAAAGAACAAGCTCCCCTCCCCAGCAGCCCCAGTGTGCTACACTCTGGACATGTCTACAACCTGTACAGCCAACCAGAAGGTAGCATTAATGAATGGCACGGCCGTCGTGGAGGACTTCGTGGTAAAGTGGCCTGTCTCCTAGATGGAGCTACTCGAGGAGCCTTAGAATACACTCGAACTAGTGGAAAAAGCTCAATGATTGTCGTTGTTTACGCTAGAGATATTCTGAATGATGATGCAAACTTCACACTGACCCCATTATCGTCATCCAAAACGGCAGTCACTGTTTTCACTCTCTGTCTCAACTTCTGCGGCCCAATGGCTGAAGACTCCTCAAACTCCATGACCTGCCTAGCAGTCATTGCAGTAATCGTGGAATCCCACAGTATCTCCCGTCGCTTGCAGGTTTCTAGTAGACAGATCGCCCGACGACGAATTTGTATATCCCGACATCGCACTCCCACAATGTACAACGGCGAGACAATACCGAGGTCGAAAGAAAATGCTCTCTTTTGTGACAATTGCCTATTAAAAGCTTAGTATGCCATGTCCACTAGTTATTCACGAATGAATATGACCAACCTCATGCGTGATAAATAACTCTCCGCAAGTGAAACAATCGTGTTGAACTCCGTCCGAAACTGATCCCAAACAGACTCTGGACTATTTGCCTTGACAGCAACGTACATCTGCCCAATGATATACCAAATTTGCATAAGGTCCAGATCCTCACCGTGTGAATATGATGTTTCAGGTTGACTAGATCGTCCTGGCGAGGGCGTAGGTTTCATAAGCCTACCATGCCACTCCTTCAAATACCTCAACGTCCGTCCCTGATCAAGTGGAAGCACAACGGTCGAAGGATTCTCGATACTTATCGCCATATTCAGCCGATCATGGAAAATAGAATTGAGCACAGCATCCAAGGAACGCTCCACATCGCCACCATTACATTCGATATCAATCCTCGACAAGATAGACGGACCTCGCTCACCATCCCGCTTCAACGTCTGAGGCAACGACGTACCCAATAGCCCAACCAGCTGATTATCCAGCCTCATAAACAGGGATAGCATCGTTTCTCGCGACACAACATTCCACTCCAGCCCCTCTACACACCGCAGCAGTATATCTAGACCAGATTTAATATGAACAACCGCCGCCCGCGGACAGCCCCTCATACACTCAAAGCAAGCAAACAACACACAGCAAACCAGCGCCAGATCCCTCCCGCCATCTCCCAGCCGAGTCCGCACATACCGTAGTGCCCGGCCATAGTCCCGCATAGCGAACTGAGCCAGTGGACTTATAAAGAACGGATCATCACTGTACTCATAGACCTGTTGCAGGGCCCCGAACGAGATAACAGCATGTGTAAGGGCTTCCTCGCTATGTGCAGCTTGTAATACCGGATCGGAGAAGTCGGCTGGAAAGCGGTACCTCGTCTGATGGAGGAAGAAATCGAATGATTGTCTTTCCTCGTCGGATGTCAGGAATGACGATCTAGATTCCGGTGCGCGGTAGACCACCACCCGTAGCGCGGGTGATGATTTCGATTTTGGGATGGCCGTGTAGCTACATGGACGACCTGCTGAGGTGCATCTCTGGCAGATTGGCCGTCCTTCGTCGCATTTTATGCGTCGTTTTCTGGGTTGTGTTAGTAGTAGGTTGGTTGATAATAGTTCAGGGGTTAGGGTTACGCACTTGCAAGTTATGCAGCCCGTCTTTACTTTGCTGCCGCAGACTCGGGGTGCTTTTCTCGAGTTGTTCATTTGTGGATGAGGTATTGTGTTTGAGATGGATGATTAGGCTGACAGATTAGTGGGATTTGTGGCTACGCTGCGAATTTATTACTCCTTGTTCCGCCCCCAAATGCAAGTCGATGCCTTCCTTACCCTACACACTGCCTCAGGCAGCGAACAGGGTATCTCGGAATGAATGTAGGAAGTATCTATCTACATGGTTAATCATAAAGTCCCATGTACAAACAGTTCGTATTACCCTTCCCAGTTCCCAATACATATTTCTATCCATCCAGCCCAGCCATCACTAAACAAAGGAAAACAGCCGTCCAGACCAACAAGTGAACATGATGGCAATTACAAGCCACGATCTCCAAATACTAAAGTCTCTCCTCAATCCTCGTATGAAATTCCCTCTGTACCGCAATACCATCCTTAGGAATGGGTCCCATCTCAAACCCATCCCCCTTCACGTCAGGACTGGTACAATGCACGTCGGTCTGCATCTCAGCGGAATCACTCTCATTTGGCATCCGAATCCATCTTTCGCTATCCGTGCTGCGTCGATGCTGGTGTCCGTGAGACTTCGATCCGTATGCCCTGGAATCGTACGCGTATTGTAGATTCGACGTCTTGCTTTTCTGGCCCGACACGCTGCTGGTAATCTTTTGTGCGGCAGTTTTGAATAACCGGTAGATTATAGGTAGGTTGGCGCAGAGGATGCAGCCGAGCGATTCGAAGGCTGAGAGAATTCCCAGTGGTACTCCTTCCCCTGCGTTTCTGTTAGAATTGGGCGTTGAGTCGGAGTGGACGGTAGGAAGGGGGAGGGGCGTTACAGGTTATGTCGGCTGAGCCTTGCGCGACGACATAGGCTAACCGGGCGGCGCTTATGCCGCAGGTGCTGTCAAATATTCGTTAGTCCCGATGGGTTGAGGCCCAGGGGTATAGGTTATGGGAGTTGCTGTACATGAATCCAATGGAAAATATCGCGACAAGAGCAATTTTCTTCTTCCGTGTTGTCCGGACTCCCAAGATGACGGGGATAGGGAGGGCGAAGAGCACGAGGTCCGTGACCATGTTCGAGGAGTTGACGAAGTATGTCAGAGCTGTGGAGTTGAAGCATTCACCTTTCACGGTGCGGTCCCAAAATGCGTTTAGCGGGCGACATAGTGCGCCCATGAATGCTTCGATGATGGTGATCCATATCAAGACAAAGATTGAACATCCGATCACGGTTTTGCTGAACCAGGGGATGGGGAAGATGCGGTAGTATAAGACGAGGATCCCGAGCTTTGTTGCGGCGAGGAAGACGTTGTAAAGGTGACTAGCGATATACTCTCCCTGTGTCTATTTTCAGCGAGACCGAGGGTGCAGGATCAACAGGCGCTCTGACCTTTAAGAATATCTCCAGGTCCTTGAGGTCGACAGTCGCGGTGTGATGGCCGAATCCATGGCCCACACCTGTTGGGATCAGCAGGGACTAAAAATAACAGGGCAGAGACGCTCCCCATTCGACGTACCGGTGACCAGCATCGTTACCGAGTATGCTACTTCTAGGGCCTGATATAGGATCAGCAATCATAGTTATATGCATGGACCCAGTTCGTGGTGGGGAGACAGACACTTGCCAGGATGATTAAGTGGTCATCTAGATGAAGACCCTCTTTTGACATTTTAGCAAACAGTCGCAGCACCGTGCTTGCTACCAAAAGCACCGTGGGAACTGTGTATCCCACGATTACCAGTGTCTCTCTCGACGGAGTCCCGTCCCAGCTCGTCATGTTGGTGTACGTTGTTGACACGCACAGAGATCCGGTAGGATGTCACCCTTTCGTCTCGGAGACGACAGCATCAGACCAACTTAGACTGACACTGACGAGTGGCACTTGTCCGGAAAGAAAGGCAAAGGGGTTTAATGGGGACTTTAACAGGATTGTGTCCGTTTCTAGTGTCATTCATATGAATTTGCATGTCTGCTAGCTCTATCGTGGTGCCCTAGGGGCAGAATCCTTCGGATCAGGCCAGAGACTTCATAAACCTCCCCTGTTGATTCCTAATCACCGGCATAACTTATTGAAGCCACTCCTAAGGCGGGTCTACATGCCCAGACTTATCAAATTCTACGAGGGTAACAGGCATTAGAAAGCGTGGCATGCATTGAAACTCAAATACCAGGCCTTGCGAGACATAACAGCTGAATATTACAGCTGCTCATCTAAAACACGGCTTAGACGTGATGGCTGAGACAAGCTCGTCGACGGACTGTGATTTATTCATCTAGTGTCCGCAATGGCGGCCCAGGTGGAGCTACACCTCAATCAACAACTATCCAATAACCATAACCACATATGGCCGATCCTTCTCGGCAGGGAATACGAGTGGTGATGTTCCATGTCCGATCCATTCCTCTCCCCACCTCCCTCGATCCCCCCGTATTCTCATATCATGCCCAGGCCAAGACCCTAAATCCAAGTCCTGTGTTTTACCTTTGTGCCGCTCCTTCCTGCTCGTTATTTGGGTCAACCCTCCACTTCCACGGTTCCTGAAGCACTGCACAGAGACGACCCGCGATTTCCTGCATTGGAGGAGCAGCAACATGTTCCTGACTTGGTCCATGAAGCCAGAACCGGTCTCCCCACGATCGGACTCGTCAAGTGCATCGTCACTGAGAGAGTCCAGACCTAAGGTGCGAACCCGCAATGGCTGCAATACCTGCCGACGGAGGCGGGTGAAGTGCGATGGTAGGTGCAAGCCCGTTCTACCGTTTTTGTCCCGGCTCGTTCTCCGAAATTACGAGTTCAGTCTAGAGCTTTCGTGTGCACCCAATACGGAATAGAATGGCAGAGGCTTATCCACTACTGATACAGAAACTCGTCCCACCTGCACACGCTGTCAGCGATCAAAGAACCGATGTAGCTACGAACTGCAGCTTCAATGGGAGGACGAGATGCGGACGGCAGGGAAGTGTCATGGACGAACGGGCGTTCAATCGAAGAGACATTCCTTGCAGCGCCCACCGGCAAGTGACGGAGATGCCCAACGACCGACACGGACCAGACGCAAGGACATGGCCCATCGGCAGCGTGACGCTGATTCCGTGGCGATCCGCTCTCCACCCAACTCGCATAGCGCACTACGCGCCACGCACCCCAATCGGGTAACGTATAGCACTCACTACGAGAACTGGAAGAATGTGACGACTATTTCGCGTCCATTTCCCGTGCTGCCATGGAGTATCGGTATGCCAGACATGGACAACGTGTGCTTGTCCTTTTACCATTCCGTGATGTGTACCGTCGGGGTGACCGTTGATGATGAGCACTTCAACCCCCTCCGCAGCACGGTGATGCGTCTCGTGTTTCGGACTGAGACAGCGTATTATGCCGTTCTCATGGCCAGTGCACATTACCTGCGATCAGTTGAGAGTAGGTTCGAATTAATGGAAATTCAGATTCGCTCGAGGGTTCTAAGGGGCTTGCGGCGAGCCCTGATGAAAGATAAGTTGGATTGGGAGGACCTGCTGGTGCCGACGATCTTTCTTTGTTCTTCGGCGGTATGTAACGTCTCCACTCTATATTATAACGCCATGGCAATCATACCACTCAAGGTTCGGCTAGAAGGTGACGACTAATCCTTCGGTTAGATCTCTAGCAGCTGCGACGGCTCCTGGGCAAAGCATCTCGCCTGTTTCCAGTTGATCGTGAAGGAGATGGCCCGTGGCCACAGAAAGGCTCCCCCTATGCCACAATTCTTCATCAGCTACTTCTCTGCGCATCTCGTGCTGGCTAAATCAGTGTTCTCAATTGAGGACACCCTGCCTGTCGGTGAAATACCAACCACCCCTATTAGCCCCACCTCCTTAGCCAGCTCGACGAACACCGAAAGGGTATCATGGACTTCCACCAAGGATCTTGCCAAGGTGATGCCAGCGGACACACTCCATGAAATTGACGTGTGGAACGGCCTCAGCAGCCACATGTTACTGCTCATTAACGAGATTCTGACTCTTAAGCACGATGCCCAAGTACTCCGTGACCAATCGTTAGATCCATCCACACCCCAGATAGCGGTCAAGCAGAAACAAGCCGCAATTGCGGATAAGATCACAAACTTGGAAGCAAGTCTAGCTACCACAACACAGATAATCCCCGTCTCGTTATACAAAGACCGCAGTCCTACCGAATCCAGACATGGATTCCGCTTACTCAAAAGCACAAGCGAGGCCTATCGCCTGGCGTCCTACCTGCTCCTATCAGAGGCAGTTTGTCCTCGATTCCTTGGGTATACCTCCACCGCTACCCCGAGTATTGAGCGGCTCAGGGATCAGGCCCAGAGGGCACAATACGTCGACCGCATCTTTCACCTGGCGAACTACGTTGTATCCTCGGTGGATCACCTCCCCATATCCTGGCCTCTATGGCCGCTCTTTATTGCTTCCTGTTGCTGCTCACAAGACGAGAAAAGTAGAGCTATGAGGATATTTCGCGCCGCCAGAGACAAAGCCCCATACGAGAATATTCCTCGAGCGCAGACGTTAGTCGAACTACTCTGGCAGCGCAGGGACATGCAGACGGAGTCGCACAACACCGTGCGGGTTGGTCGGTTCGAGTGGGAATCTGCGATGGAGTTTCTTGGTTGGCAGACAAGCTTTGCCTAATTGTACTAGATCACTTCATATCTTGTCTATTATGCTATCTATATATACCCTTGATGAATTATGGCTATCCTGTCCCTCCATTATTTATATGCATACCTTACAAACAGAACCGAAAGCTCTCATTCTGCCAATCCGACATATCACCCACCTGCCTCCTAGCAGTAGACCCCTCCGAATCCTCTGCTTCCTTAGTCTCAGGCTCGATAACACGACCCTGGTTGCGATCCCTCCTCTTATTCTCCCAGACCATATACGCGCGCAGCAAAGCCACATCAAGAACAGCAATACAAAAACAGGCCAAAATAGCCGCAAACGCAGACTAATTCCATCGGTCAGCACACACCCACCAGCATAACCAACTATAAGACAAAGAAAGGAAGGAAGAAGGGAAAACTCACATAATAATGGGGCGCCTGGTTCTTCTTAAAAAGCTGCGGGCCAGCAATATTCCCCACACAATACCCAATAAACAAGATCGCCGTGACGGTAGTCTTCTTCGTGAAGCCAGCGAAATTACTCGAGACCAGACTAAGGCTGAGGGGGAATCCGGCGCCAAACACCGTGACCAGCCAGACGCCTACCAGCCGGCCCCATTTCTTCTCGACCGGGAGTTGGCGCATGAGGAGGATGCCGATGAGGCTGATGAGCAGGGTGATGATCATCCAGTAGCAGCGAAGACCGCGGAAGCGGTTGCAGGTGAATGCGCTGAGGAGGAGGAAGACCAGGGCTACTGCTGCCATGGGGATGGTGTAGAGGAGGGTGTTGAAGGTGTCGAAGCCGAAGGAAGCGATTACTAGACTTGAGAACTGGTGTGCATCTCGTTAGTGATGGTTTCAGTTGGGGGTGGTCTGGGTGCTTACGTTGGTGATCCCGCCGTTGGGAAGGGAAACTAGGAAGTTATAAGTGAATAGGAACCAGGTTTTAGGGTCAATCAGGGCTTCGATGAATTGGTCTTTCTTCCATTCTCGGCTTCGGTAGGTTTGCTGGCAGGCTTGGGCGCGGCGGTAGGCTGGCCCGCGCTGCGAGGGGGAAAGGAATTTGGCGTTCAATGGCGAGTCGGGTAGGGCGAAGAATTGGAAGATCGACCAGACGAGGGTGATGATGCCAAAGATGATGAATACCCACTGGTAAATTGGTTAGTCTAATGGCTCCTTTGGACGGGTTTTGGTAGCGCTTCTTGTATATACCTGCCATGGACCCAGGCGGTTGTGCACATGGCCGATTGCGTAGGAGAGAACTCCTCCGAAGATCGACGCAACGCCATTACCAGCAAACCAGATGCAGCTTCTTAGAGCATGCTCGGAGGGCGTGTACCACATGCCTACCACGATGGTGAAGCCCGGGCTGATGGCGCTTTCAAAGACGCCAAGTAGTACACGCAGGGTTGTTATGCCTGCGAAGCTAGAGGCAGCCGCATGGCATGTTAAGATGATTGCCCAGATGATCCTGGGAGGATTAGCTGCTGGTATCTCATGAAATATTGAGTACTGAACTCACATCATGATTGACAGATACTTCCCGATGGGAAACTTGACAAATCCTATGGATACGGGATAGGATGCGACCATGTAGCCGAAGTAGAACGCGCTCGAGGCCCATGAGTACTGCTCGGTGTTCATGTGCTATATTGAAGTCAGACACTACTGCTTGGATTGTGTCAAAGAAAACGTAGCGACAGCGTACCGTTCCAGGCAACAGTCCAAGGATGGAGGTATACGACATTGCGGTTTTGTCCAGATACTGTAGCAGGTACGAGACAAACATCAGAGGGAGCAGACTAATTCATGTTAGATTCATGTTCAACAGTTCCCGAGCACTTCGCCTCTACAGCTTCCCGATGTCATATACATACCAGAGGTCTATTGGACGGAGAATCGCCTTTTCTTCCACCGCTGTCAGCGGTGGAAGTTCATCAACCGTCTCATTGGGACGCTTAGGCTCCGACTCGGGAGAATTGCAGTAGTCCGACTCGGCCATATTCTCAGTCCAGCTGAACAATGAAAGACTCACTACAATGGCCTTCCCCCTACAGAGCAGAAGAGGAAGTACAGAAAATAAATCTCATCGGGAGCTGTGAGTTTCTTAAAGGCCGCACCATCCAGTCTCAACGGCTTCCCTTGCAGTCTGGTTGCATCGACTAACGCCATATAAATTAACCTCCAGCTAGACCTACACTGGAGGGGTCTTGTTTCTCTAGATGCATCACAGGCCTGTTAGTGGCATTTAGCTGCATGTAAGCGTAATACTGTCACGTCTTAAGCCATCCTTCGCAGCTTCAGCCCGTGTCACTAAACCCGAATAGGGAATGCAAGGGCTCGCTTCGACCTGACCGAAAAGGTGATAGCGTCCGACGAAGCCTGGACTGCACATCTTTGGCTGCACGCAACAACGCTCCACTCCCACTCTGTATGGAACCATATCGTAAATGAAAATGATTAATGTTCATTCCCCTGCAGGCCACAATCCTGAAAGTGTGGAGCAATATGGCAAATATTTAATGAATCCTTCGGGTCCGTCCACAAAAACGCCCGAGCAGGAGGAACTCAGGCCATCATCCGATCATCTTGCTGACTCCTGAGTTCCATTGCCACCGGAAGCATGCATCGGATACTCACAGACGACAGATTATACCGGGCTGATGCCGACCTACTCATACCAGGGAAGGGGGAACCAATCCCCCACGGCGCCGTGGTATGGCAATCGAAGACCATACGCTACGCAGGACCCCAATCAGGGGTCCCGGCTGAGTTTCAAGGGGCCACAACCACTCATGTTCCCGTCGTAATGCCGGGGATGTGGGATTGTCACATTCACTTCCTGGGTTCTACAGCAGCCACAATGAATGCGATCGTCGACACGCCCCAGGCTCTGGCGGGTGCACGGAGTGTCCCAGATCTACACGCCACTGTTATGGCCGGATTCACCTCAGTGCGTGAGGTTGGGGGCTACGGGTGTGACCTCGCAAAGGTCGTAGAGGAGGGACGAATCCCAGGACCTAGTATCTACTCCAGTCACTCTGCCATAAGCATGACTGCAGGACACGGTGATGTCCACGGCGTCCATAGGGACTCGCTGCTTGACCTGTGCGGCCACGGCCTACCTCTGACAATTGCTGACGGCGTACCTGAATGTCTGCTCGCAGTGCGAAAGCAGTTGCGCCGGGGTGCCAAGGTCATAAAGGTCTGTGCTAGTGGAGGTGTTGTGAGTGCCATCGACGACCCACAGCACCAGGAATTCTCTTTCGAGGAATTGAAGGCTATTGTCGACGAAGCAGCGCGGGCACGTCGGGTCGTCGCTGCTCACTGCCATGGTAAAGCGGGTATCATGAATGCACTGCGCGCTGGATGTCGCACGATTGAGCATGGCAGCTTCTTGGATGAAGAGGCCGTTGAGCTGATGAAGGAGAAGGGGGCAATTCTAGTCGCCACCCGCAGTGTCATTGAGAGTGGTCTGGCAATGAAAGACCTTTTCACACCGTCGTCCTATCAGAAGTTGCTCGAAGTAGCTGATGCACACAAGAAGGCGTACCAACTGGCTGTTTCAAGAGGTGTCACGATAGCCCTTGGCACCGATCAGTTCATCAGCTCGGATAACCCGATGATAGGCTACGGTCGCAATGGCCATGAAGTGAGGTATGCGGTAGAAGCCGGTTTGACTCCGCTGGCGGCCATCCAAGCTGCCACGGCCAACGGGCCCCTTACTTTAGGGTATCAAGCGCCATTGAGCGGTCAACTAAGGGAGGGATTTGATGCAGACATCATTGCAGTCAGGGAGAGCCCGCTCGAGAATGTCGCGGTTCTGTCTAACTCAAGGAATGTCACCCACGTCTGGCGTGCTGGCATGCTGATTAAGTCGTGAAACGAGCATCTGAAGAGGTTATAACGGTTTGGGTTACTAGCATGTCCATGCATATTTGTAAATATATAAGACCAACTCAGGTTGGATTGTGCATCTTCGATTTGTCTCCTGAGGCAACTGTAATGTTCAAAAACATTTATTGGCCATTCCAGCACGCAATAGATTACAAAAATGCAATGGCCATAAACTTGCTAAAGTGTCATTACGACCATACATACTCAAATTTTGTGACCTACCATGTACCGGAATATAAGAGAGGCAAAGGAAAAGTGGAGGGACATGAGCGCGGCATCTCAGCCACAGGCATGTACGTACAACCGTTGTTTCTAGTTTGTCAAAACTAAGTACGTCCTATTTATTGCAACTAGACATACCTACACGTTGCACATGTTGCAAATATATGCAAATGGGTCAGTATCTCTACTACTGAGTCCCCGATTGCCTAGGCCGAGAGTATCCCTATGACATAGTCCGCCGTGAGTAAAGGTACAGTCATCTGAAGCTTCTACTCAACAGTACTGTACTACTTCTGGAGCTCTGATATCTATACGATCCTACGAGACTCAGGGTGACCAATCGTGAACTAACAAGACTTTGAATGACAAAAACAATCTAAACAAACAAGTACGGACACAAACCGAAGATACAAAGACTAACAGCAAAAAAGATCAGTCAAAAGCAAACAAAGGTTCTAGCCACAATATAAAACCCGAAAGTGTGACAGTCGTGTAGTTTCCCTTGGTTCATCCTACTGACCCAGAATAGGACAGCCTTTGTCCTTGGATGTGGCGAACCGAAGGATGATTCCATGGACTGCATGTCTATCTAAAGCTCACCATTCCGTGTGGATGACATTGGTCAGCTGGCCGTATGCCCCGGCATCAAACATTCCAGGCTTTCTCGATAGCCAGAGGTCCTGAAGGTGACTTCTGTGGCAAGTCCGCCACAGGAAGTGATATCTTCGCGTTTTCCCGGGAACCCTTCTTGCTTCGGCGCATGTAAGACCGCGCCACCAGGCTCAAGAGGACAACCATGATCAAAAGAAGGAGAGCATAAGTCGCATCACGAGCTGCTCTGTACCCTCTGGAGTAGTCGAATGTGGATAGTTCAAGTGAAGTGACTGGCGACGTGGTTTCCACCGGTACAGGAGGCGAGCGAGTGATCGTCGCAGTTGCTGGATTCGCTCCTGGGCAGTCACCGCACTGTATTGCTTCGCTGGACTCATCGGGGACTATATAGCCACTAAATATAAAAGTCAGTTGGTTTGATTTCTGGTAGACCTGGTGGAATGAAGCTTAGGGCGTACACGAAACACGGCTGCATGGCGACAAGGGTATAGCCTGGGGGGCAGACACCAGTGCCATCGTCAACCTCCTCCCGAATCGGTGACACCGTGTCAGTCGGATAATGAGGCATAACTCCGAGAAAGCTCCAAGCCCCTGGAATCCGTTCATAAACGAATACAGGATATGATGGCTCCGCGAATGGTGATTCTGGATGTGTGGTTGAGGGAGTTAACATCGCTGTCAGTGTTGCAGTTAAACGGATCAAAGCACAATAGTAGGAAATAGAGATGATCTTTCAGTTCATGGAATTGTCGACAGTTTCTCATTTGGTGCAGAGGAGATGGGCAATAAATAGGTCATTTTTCGTCGGACTTGCTGTCCATCAAGTTAGGAGGTAGCTCGTTAAGCATTCGGAGACATAGGCATCATCGTCATAATTGCCATCAGATTCTGCTAATGGTAGAGTAATCAGAGCTGAAAAGGAGCGATGGAACATGAAACGTGAGGCAATGAAACAGAACCACGAATTAAGAGTATGATAGGTGACGTGCTGGACTTCACCCTTCTAGAAGGCGCACATGTGAAGTGTTTAAGACAATGTAACGAACGGACGGATTCCTCTGGAACTGCTGACCAAACCTGCATAGACAACTTATTGGATTTAATATTGATTAGAGAAATCTAGGCTCGACCCAGGCGTTCGTTGCAACATCGCTCTAACAAGCTCGATATCAGTCGAGTGGAAGGGCGGGAAATGTGCTATGAAGTCCACGGGCTTGAAAGACGACGTTAAGCGTAAACGAGAGGGGTCACAAACTTAACGTTATGCGCTTTGCCTGAGGCTACAGATTGATTTTCATAGATCCGTAGCTATATTTTCTTGCAGACTTCATACTTTATCCACCGCTTAGGGCTAGCTACTAAACCCTCCGAATGGAGCTTCGTATAGACTCAAATGGGGAACTTCTGTACGGAGCCACCATTGTGATTTCATCTCAACTTGGTTGAAACTTGGGTTAGAACGTTGCTATACACCACACTACTGCCTGCACAAGGTATGGCAGGTTTGGTTACCTTCCAAAGCAGGATATGTAATTGGGAAGTGAGAAAGCTGCGCGTTCCCGACCACAAGCTCTGTTGGTAGAATTCTAGAACATCTGTGATATCCTAACAGGGTATGCATACCTACCAGGTGCACTAGAAACGCATGGTGGCGTCAGGACCAGCGACGGGAACGTACAGCACTACGGCACAGCCACCAATTCGTATCTGAAGACCCCAGGATCTGCAGCTGCACTTGCAGCAATGACGCTCCAGTGGATATTTTCTCGTGTGGGACATGAAACATCACCTCCGAGACCATCTCGTTACCAGTCTTGTACCTGGTGTTCTATGATTCCTTTAGATGACGATGTGTACATGTCTCGGGATGCTCACTGGAATGGTTGACAAAGACTGGGCCAAACGTGATGTAGACCAGATCAACGCTGACAGCGACTGGCAAAGTTGTGTCTCGGGTATTCGCGTACTGGTTTTAATTCTACCCGAGTTCTAGAACTCATCGAACTTCTTTGTACAAACGCACCGTTCCTTTACGATGTTAGCTAAGATGATATATTAGAGTGGTTCAAGACTGATTGGTACTGGTAGGACAGTGTTTACGCCTTTCATTTGGATGGGCCTAGTAGATATATCGATATGCTGTTACAATAAACTCCAGTGGGAATAATGTCAGTGTTAATAGAACGACGTCCTTAATCTTATCCTCCTCGAGTACATTTCATACTCAACAACTTGCCTCTTTATGTCTTTGATTTGATTCATTGCCACTTTCCTGAATCTTAAACTGTCGGCGAAATGATGAAAGGAGGCATTCTCACTGGTAGACGGAATCAGCGTTCAGCCTGATACACTATAATGAGACATGGACAGGAGGGGTGAATATACGCGAGGCTGGCATCCTATGGCGAATTTACGTTCGTCTTTGTCTCAGTTTCACGGCTTTTATTGATTCATGCAATATAGTTAGACTTCAGCCTCGTAAACCGGACCATTTAGGAATATTTTGTTGCCCAGAGCAAGGCATGCTACCACATATCAGCCTAAAACATGGGAAATAGGATTTGTTCACTCCTGAGCCGTACCTAAGCCACGCAAGGAATACGCAATCCAATGCCACGTTGATTGCATTGCTTCATTTTTCAGTCAGGTAGCCTCCCTACCTATTTCACCATTTTCAGTTGCTCTGCGTATTCCCCGTGGCGGCAAAACTGAGTCACAAAAAGGACAGTCGCGAGGAGCACCTACTATGGAAACAGGCTGTGGTTGCTCGCCCTCTCTAAACCCCCTGCAAAGAAGACGTTGAATACTCGCGTTTGTTGCCCAGCTTTATGGTCCCGGTACCATTCGCATAACTATGCATGCCTCAGGCAGTGAAATAGCCCACGTTCCAGCCCCCTGACTTTACTCGTTCAAGCCACTCCATTCCCCTAACCAGTTGCTCCTTTCTCTACGTGTAATAGGTTAACCTACACTGATTACTGGTGAAAAGCCCTTACGCACATTTTCTGCATCCTCTTTAGCTCCTCCTTTAGTCTTAACCTGCTCTTCGTAATGTTATCTTGGCTTCCGCGGTCTTTACCCCGATTCCTAGGGCGGGCATGGAAGCCACTCAACTTCGCTAATCCAAACTTCGGCCGTATCTCTCCAACTCAGGCCCTGGAAGAGGAAACGCTACCCGATTATGCTGCCTTGCGCTACTATCCTACTCGAATCGGTGAAGTAATCAAGGATCGATATCAAGTCGTAGGCAAATTGAGATATGGTGCGACCTCGACCGTATGGCTTGCGCGGGATATGAAGTAAGGCCCCTCTAGTGCTCCTCATCCACCTGCTTACGCAGGGTAATAACAGTTCCTGCTCTTATGTAACCCTCAAAATATTTATCAAGGCTGCTTCCATGGGACACCAGCTGGACGGTGAGCTCAAAATGTATCAGCGGATTGACAGGCCTTCAAAACATCCAGGTCGCAACGCCATTCGGTCTCTGCTCGATTCTTTCCACATTGACGGGCCTGAAGATAAACATCAGTGTCTCGTTCATCCCCCATTATTTGAGAGTGTATGGGAGTTCCTCCACCGTAACCCCGTCCAGAGACTGCCTAAACCGGTCCTAGCTTTTACACTTCGACGGGTGTTCCTAGCGCTAGACTACCTACATACAGAGTGCCAGATTATACATACTGGTATATAACAACTCGATCCCTCCGCTCTTGCTGGTTGTTAACTTAGATTAGATATCAAGGCGAATAACATCATGTTTGAACTCGCTGACGATTCAGTCTTCATCAAGTTTGAACAGGACGAACTCCATAATCCTTCTCCAAGGAAAGAGTTAGATGGGAGAGCAATCTATTTATCCAGGGACCTCCAAATGATCCCTGGGAAACTAGGCGCCCCCGTTCTATGTGATTTTGGCTCGGCTATGTTGGGTGGTGTAGAACATCTAGAAGATGTCCAGCCTGATATCTACAGAGCGCCAGAGGTAATCTTGGAAATTCCATGGTCATACAGTATCGATATATGGAATGTAGGGTGCATGGTAAGTTCCCAAGTAGGCTAATAAAATTGAAAGGCACGTTTAACCTCGTCGTAGATCTGGAACATCTTCGAAGGGGGTTCATTATTCACAGGCCATGACCCTGAATTCCAAAAATACCGGAGTAGGGCGCATCTGGCAGAGATGATAAATCTCCTTGGCCCTCCCCCACCCGGCCTTCTTACCCAGGGCAAGCAAAGCCACAAGTTCTTCTCCGACACGGGCGAATTTCATGAGCCAACTTTGTTGCAAAATCTCACTCCGCTCGAGCAGAGGGAAACAACCCTTGAAGGCGAGGATAAGGAGAGCTTTTTACGTATGATGCGAAGGATGTTGCAGTGGGAGCCGGAGAAGCGTAGCCCTGCAAAAGAGCTTGCGGAGGATGAGTGGATTTTGAAGCAAATCGGCCTATAATTACTTCTTGGTCTGTTTCAAACTTCAAAGATATTCATGCAGGAAGACAAGTCTGCGCAGTGTAGAGGGATGGCAGAGCCGGGTATATCTACAAGCCAGGTAGCCAACTTAGCACTAGAAGTGTCTGTACCATCAGTGATGTACTACGCTAGATCCTTTTATCCACGATACAAGGAATGCATCCACTACATTCTAAGACTCTCTGGCCGTAAATTGCCAGGCAAAAGGCACGCAGCTTTCACCGTGTGCCTTCATTGTGAAATGATTGATTTAGATATCGACCGAAAAGTGTCGCAAAGGACCTCCATCTAGGACAGAATTGGTCCTGGCTCGAATGCTGTACCTCTCTATACATTCGCATATCCAGTATCTGCCCGACTATGGCCCTCGCAAACTCCTCTAAGGCGCTGCGGATATTTCACCTTGATGCGTCCGGCGAAAAGATCGCCGCATGTCTGCCAATTTGGTATATCACGGCGATGTAGCGTGTTTTGCTCGTCATCCATCGAATTATTCAGGGTGACTTTGCCTTTTGAAACAAGCCACTCGTCATAGCTGAATTCCATCGGTTCGTCAGCAGATCTAACAGCATACTGTCCAATCCAATTGCTTCCGGTTCAACGGTGCCCCCAAATATAATCACAATGCACAAGACATAGTATCGGGTTTCTACCAAACATTTCCCTTGGACATGGTTAGAGTCAATGAATCCTTAGCCACCATGGACACGGCATGGCGATAATGATTGCGTAGAAAATGCCTTTATTCCCTGGACCAAAGTATGCGAGTGGTGAAGCTGTATCGATTCCTTCACCCTATGCCATCCTCCTTTTCTCTCCGTCCTCTTTTCCTCCTTCTATTTCTTTCTCTTCTCCTCTCTTGCCATCTGATTCATCCAAGTCCAAGATGTGTCAAAAGATGCACATCGGCCTTTTGTTCCTTATATAGCCATCGATATTCTCCCACCAAACGGTATCACTATCCACATTCTACAACTACATACTGACTTAACTTTATTTATTCCTCTAACTCACGAAAGTATCTCATCGAATAGCCGAAACATGATATCGGCATTGAAAGTTAACAACGCTTAGCCATAGGTATTTGAACATCACGGATTCTGTATGTCCGCATCTAGGCTTTGAATCAAGGTGGAACTTGAAGAGCTATGCTCCTAGTGGACAAGAAAACGATACCATCATTAGTGTTGCACTTTTGAGCTTCCTGCGGGGGTTTGCTGCCCTGAGTCACCAGCCAAAGTCTCATTGGCTGTATAAACGAGTCTTTCAAAGTCTCCTAAAAGAATGTTTCTTATACGGCACATTGGTGATGCATTACGCACTAGTGGAGATTGTATCTACAAGTCCCTCATCAAAGTAAAGGAAAGGTACTGTTTTCGATGATAACGAAAGGTTCCAACCGTCAGGGACTGCAGAACACATAAGCTAAATTATAGGTGACAATCACCTTGATATAAGTCCAGGTACAATAACCGATGTAAAGAATATCGCAACTAACAAGCAGACTGACATCAAAACAGAAGTTTAACAAAGCCTCTCAACTTAGAAACGACTACAAAAATAGAGCAACGTGGTCTAGAAAGCGACCAAAGATATATTTTTATAGCTCAAGTCAAACTAACAAGCTCGAAAACTTGAAGAAGCGCCTGAAGGCATCACAAGAATATGTTGAACAGGTTGAATATCAGGTATATGAGTGTACCAAAGAGATTCCATATCTACTGGTAAGAATCAATAAACTTGAGCCTCACGTAAGGACTACAATATGACTATTAACGGTGAAGTGAGCTGTAAAGACCTCTAATTTATTTCAATGCATACCCTAGTCTAGAAAGGAGTAGGAAGCTGAATAAATGAAACTATCTCCGACTGTACAAGAGAGTAATAAGGTAATAAGACCACAATTTAGAAATCATATCGCTCTGTCCGATCTATCTCTTTTCCACACTACTGTTATAATATGACTTGCACTAGATTAGATTTAAAATATTCAAATGACTGAAGGCTTCATTAAGAGCCGCTGGCATAGTAGTGTTAAGGTGGCAAGGCCATGGGTAAGTAGTAACCTAAACATCGCTTTTATATGCAACATTCCTTTCCACGCCTCGTAAAAGCGACGGTGTTCAGAAGCTATAGCTGCTGCAGTGTACCTAGACGAGCTGACAGAAGGGACCGCGGTTTTACTCGAGCTGTGGCCCTATGTCCATAGCCTGTCATTCACACCAGCATTATTCTGCGTAGAGGGAGCCAAGTATCGGCAACGGAAGAGACATTGAAACACTGCCAGCCAGGCCGCCACAGTCCTCAACACTCCATGTGAAGAAGACCCACTGCGTCATGCAGCGGATGCGAGGATGGGGAACCGTCGGGGTTTCATTCTCTAGTAACTGATTGATAAGATGAAAAAACGGTAGAATCGTGATCCGGGTGAGGCCAGACGGCGAGCCAAGCCCACTACGCCAATTCATAACGTTATGGTTATATTAAAACTCCGAAGAGCTTCTTTCCCCATTACGTACATAATATCGTGTAGGGCGCAATATTTGCAGGGCACATGAGACATCTGTATCCTTGTCTCATTGCCAAATCTAGATTAATACCACGCGACTAGTATTGTGGTTCCACTAGTATTTTTGCAAAAAGAGGGCCCGCCAACGGCGAAATACGAAACGGTCCGGTCGTAAAGTACCGCACGGTGGGTCCGTTTCCATACCGTGCCGTACAGCAAACACGGCTGTAACAGTGGAAGTTATCTGATCATCTGATAGGGCTAATAGCATTCGCTTCGGACTGGCACCATACCGCACGAGGAAGATTGAGCCGAATGAATTAATCTACCTGGTGGAAGTCGGATGTTTATCAATCGCACGCTAGTTGGCCTCATTGTCCGTTTAGGCGGCTTGGGCATGGATGCCGCAATATGTTCTGTCTCGGACTCTCCACAACAGCCGAAGCTTTTCCAAGGGTCACTAAAAAGTCTTGGATGGGATAATTGCTCGGTCTGTAATTTCCATGTAGCGCTAAGAGTCGCGAACACCACACTAGGTATCTCGGCAGCGCAGTTCCACTATCTCTTGGTTTTGCTTGTCTCTTTGACAGCGCATACCGCTTGCAGTAATGATTTACCTGGTTGCTTTCCAGGTTGATATCACAATGTTCATGTAGAAAAACTTTCATCATACATCGCTTTTGCCGCAAGTTGGGGTGGGCCAGTAAGCGAAGCAGCTGTAGGAGATTGGAGGTCCTCCAATAATTATCCTGATTGCGAATATACGCCAGCTTGGGCCTCGTAATCCATCACAGTGGGCCATATGCACTCCTTCCAACAATTACCGATGTCGACGGCAATCAAGCCTGTGCCCCATCGTCTTACCGATCAGAAATGGGGACTTGGCAAGAAATCGGCTCTTGGAGTACATCGCAAATATGCAGGCATGGATGTGGCTGCAGCTCCAACTGCATATGAGAATGTGCTCTATAATTGGGTGTGGTAAGAAGCAGAATTTTTAGTATTCTCGAAGCCACCATGGTGTATATCATCAGCAAAGTCTATCAGGATTCTATATACTGCATACGTCGGAGTTGCGATGGTAATTGCTAGATATTTACATCCAATCCTACATGGTGGAAGGGTGAGGAGGAAGGAAACAAGGTCAAAGCCATGAATGGCGTCGCGTAGTATTACATTAAGTTATGTCTATCACTAGGTAGCGGTACTCCTTGGATATCTTCATTCCCTTCACCCCTGTTGGGAATCACCACCGCATCGCCCGTTATATAGACTGGTATCACCTAGACAAATAATCCAAAAATTTCAAAAAAGAAGTGTCTCTCCAACCTCCGAGAGACCTGCATCGTTCAATAGTCCGTAGCCCGTAGCCACGGTACAAATGATACACATCAAACTTGTATATTTTGCGTGAAATATAGCGCTTTGTTGTTGATGTCGGCAGGCACAACGCATGGTTTAGAACAGAATACCCTTGGATTGCTGCTTCGTAAGCTTGATGTCTCTCATGACAAACATCCAGATAAGCGACAGGGCCATGATAGCCGTTCCAGCGATCAACATGTTCTTCTGTGAGCTAGCATAAGCAAGGGAAATGGCCTGTCGTTCGGCTGAGCCTCTTGGGTAGCTCAGCTGAACGTCAAGATCATCGTAAATCGATTCCCAGTCGCTCTTGACGGAGTCGGGCAGAAGACGCTTCAGTGCATCAGGCAGAGTGTGCGTCCAGATAGCACCAGAGATACTGCCGCCGATCGCACCACCGATGTTGCCGAAACAGTTGAGGAAAGCAAGAGCCGAGGAGACGTGGTTGTGGTCAGCAGCAGCCTGCACAGCAACCTGTTGACAGATAATCATCGTACCGCCGGCAAATGCAAGGAAGACCTGACACATGATGGTGTAGCCCACTGACCAGCTTGGGTTGCGGAAATAAATCATCAGGCCCACTCCAAGAAGATAAAGTGGCACGGCAAACTGGACTAGCCAGCGGAAACGACCAGTTTTCATGATTAAGAAACCAACAACAAAAAGCCAAACTCCGGAAACCACGTCGAAGATGCTGCTAATGTATCCAGCAGTTGCAATGCTAGTGCCATATACGACCTGTAGGTATGATGTGAAGTAGTCGAACCAGCAGTAGTATGCAACTTGGTAGGTCACATCGATAAGGCATGCACCCAAAACTGTTCTGGAGAGAAGAATTTGGTATGGAAGGAAGGGCACCGGGGCGAGGTAGCGCTCGGAAAGACCGAAAGCAATTAGGACGACGAAACCGACAACGAGCATAACGATGATGTGAGCAGATGCCCAGTCATCTTCCGCGGAGCCAGCGATAGTAAAGGGGAGGAGGAAAAGAACGAGACCGGCTGCGAGAAGGAAGGTTCCCAGAACTGAATTCATTAGTTGAAAGCTTTCATGGTAGGAGCATGAGAACTTACGATCAAACTCGATGACGTAGTGGACGAAGCTCTGCATCAGCGTCCTGCCGCTCTTCTCCCTCGGCTTCAAGAGGCCATTCTTCTTCGCCAGGTGACGGTTGTACCGAAGTAGACAGAACATTGGGAAGGCAACAACGGGCAGAACAATGGCAAAACAGCCATATGCCCATCGCCAGTTTGACTCGTAGAAGTGTTCAGAAGCAGCCGAGCCTGCATAGGCCGTGATAATATAAGGAGAAGAAGTAAATGCATAAGCAAGGCCTCGATGGCGCAGCGATGAAGTATCAGCTGTGATAACATCGATACTGAAAATCAACCCGGCAAACCCGATACTATAAAACACCTTTGAACGGGTAAGTCAATTGCCGCATACGGATAATCAGAAATCGACCTACCTGGGCTGCACAGTACGTTGCAATGTTTGAGCAGGTTGCAGACAATACCAAGCCAAGGATTGAGAATAGGACCATGATGAGGAATCCAATGGAGCGGTCCCACAGGTTCAGAATCTTCGCCAGTGGCATATAAGTTGCGGCTGACATGACGCTGGACACGACACCAATGGTCGGGATCAGGGAGTGTGATTCGAATCCACTAGTGATGTAGGCCGATAGATTCCCAGTGATTGAAGATTGAAAAGCATTCACAAAGTACAGGAGCCACATGCTATTCTGTATCAGCTGTTGTCTTCTCAAAGGTATTGGGTTTAAACTCACAGAGCATAGGCCGATCCCAGGGACCATTTGTTCCATGTTAATGTGATGGCTTCAGCTTGTGCTACACCATCCTGAGCTGTATCATCGGGCACGTCGTCCCTTGAAACATCATCATAGACCACATCCTCCGGGCGTTTTGAGCCTGGATGAGTATCTTCACCGGTCCCGTATTCCGGAGGGCTCGGGTTAGCCTCGGTTGGGCCATCCGATTTCTCGAAGAACTTCTTCTGCCACGAAGATAACATGTTGAGAGTAGAGAATGCACTCTACTACACTCTGATCGAAAGAGATTTCTGCGAGGTGAGATAGAAGTTGGGAGATCTTCGTGGGACAAGCTTCCTGGGCGCCTTTTTTCAAGTTGGATCGCTTCGCGACTAAGGCAAGCCTAACAGACCACACCGGAGAACGATCGGACCATGCCTTATCCACCTTGATGGAGCTATTGGTTGTGGCAACGACCGCGTGGGAAAGATTCGTAACCACTGGCCAATATCCTTGCACGCGAGGGGGGGAAAGGTAGGCACAGCTTTTTTCTAGCTACTAGGGCGGCTGGACCAAATATTTCCAATACCGAAACTTTCCGTAGACAGCTAGTGACTCCATTGCCTTGCTCAATTTCGCCGATACAAATCTGTAATTTGTTGGTCAATAGACATACATTAGGGTATTCCACAACTTGTATCAACTTTCCATACGTACGATACGCCGTGTGGGGACCCGTATTGTACTCGTACCTAGATCACAATACTGGTAAGTTAGCATACAGCCGGGCTTACGGAGTACGTATCACTCACCAACGAATTAGTTCATTTTTCTTTTTTTGTTTCCAGTTTGTTCTCGATGCAGTCAGTGGATCCGAACGGCGTCGTTGAACCATTTCCTATGCCGGATATGTCCGACTCCTGGTGGGGTGGCCCATGGTTGAAATTTTCTCTTAAGATTTTTATCAATCTGATAATCTTACGTAACGATACGCCGGTCCCACTTGACATGACACCCCTCAGGCCCTCAGGCATCACCAGAAGTAAAGTCACCTTGTCTCGGTGATTGCTTTTCCTTTGCGACCTCGGACTCAAAATGAGATCCCCTTAACGCGTGGATGCATTTTCCTCCGTGGTGACTCAACCATTTCCTCCTTCCTACATACGCGTTGTCGATGAACGGGTTCCCCAAAAATCAATGACCCGGACGACAATTTTGCAATCCAAGCACACGACAACGACAATCATAAGGTGCCCAACGGATATTGTCGACGCCAGGTCACTATGAAGCTCGGCAAGAAGCTTGCAGGCTACCCCAGCCTCCTGTTGGCCGGCAATCCTTCAAAAGTTGACATAGGCAGGCTTTTGTTGGGCATAGTATCTTCAGCAGCGGCTGGTGTACCCTTCCCAATCATCGCTATTTTGTTCGGTCAACTGCTAGACGACTTCAACGCTGTAACATGTGAGGAAACCGAATCGACTGGTTCCGATGCCGATTACCAAAATGACATTAACGGCAAAATCCTGATCATCGTATATCTGGCCATTGCTCAATTCGTTGCGATTTATATACATCTTTCCTGCTGGAGCTTGAATGGTGCTCGGCTGGCGCAGAGACTGCGGGAAACATATCTGGAGAACTTGCTGCGACAGGAACCTTCATTCTTCGATGATCTGCCTCCGGGAGAACTCGCATCTCGACTCAATGGTGATATCCAGGCGATTCGATCGGGCACATCAGAGAAAGTGGGAATATGCTTATCGACCTTGTCCTTTTTCATCACGGCATATGTTGTAGCCTTCATCAAAGACTACCGGCTGGCAGCAATGCTGATTTCATTAGTTCCTGCCTACTTCATAATGTCATTTGTGGGGAGCCATTATATTGAGAAGTACTCTGGACGTATGTCAGATTACGCCGCGACTGCTGCATCAATTGCCTCCGAGGCGCTCTCCAACACCGTCGTGGTGCAGGCCTTTGGCGCAAGTTATCGACTGGAAGACAAGTTTTCCAAGGCTCTGAAGGCTTCAGAACAAGAGGGCTTGAAGAAGGCTGCCGCCGTGGGAATACAATCTGGATTTCTGTATTTTATCGCGTATTCTGCAAATGGTCTGGCCTTCTGGCAAGGCAGCAAACGTGTTGCGGATTCAGTAGGCACTGACACGGCTGGTGTCACCGTTGGTGCAACATTTACAGTTATTTTCGTCCTCGTTGAAGCTACCTTGCTCTTGAGTCAGGTAGCTCCATTCCTTCACCTGTTCACGGCAGCTGTTGCCTCGTTCCAAAAGCTGCGCGCAGACATCGACCGCCAGCCACAAATTGACGCTACCAGTGAATCAGGTATTCACCTCTCACAGGCAGAAGGTGGATTCGAATTCAAAAATGTCTCATTCACTTATCCCTCCCGGCCCGAGATCACGGTGCTTGACCAGATCAGTCTCTCCATTCCAGCCAACAAGCATACTGCCCTTGTCGGTCTATCTGGAAGTGGCAAGTCCACTATCGCCGGCTTGGTCACAAGGCTGTATGATCCCACGGATGGGCAGGTCCTCTTTGACGGTCACGACCTTCGTGAGGTCAATACCCGTGATTTGAGAAGCTTCCTCAGTTTGGTGCAGCAGGAGCCCTCGCTGCTCGATCGGTCACTTTTGGAAAACATCGCACATGGCTTGATCAACTCGAGCAATCCTAGTCATGCTCATCTGAAGGCGACACTTCTAAGTACTGACCTTGCAGATTTGGCAGCGGAAGTCAGGGAAGGTGTGGATATTATGGCTGCAGCAGAGAAGCGAGGCTCTGAAGCTGTTGAAATTGTCAATCTAGTGCGAAAGGCCGCGACGCTTGCTGATGCAGATGGCTTTATCAGTGTATTACAGCATGGTTACGGTACACTTGTCGGTTCTAGTGGGCGACTGATCAGTGGCGGTCAGAAGCAACGAGTCTCCCTTGCTAGGGCCCTCATCAAGGATCCTGCGGTACTTATATTGGATGAAGCCACAGCATCGCTCGATTCAAGGAGTGAGCAGCGTATTCAACGGGCCATCTCAAACATTGCCAGTGGCAGAACTATGATCACAATCGCCCATCGTCTGTCCACAATCACCAGCGCCGACAATATTATCGTTATGCACAAGGGACATATCGTTGAACAGGGAGATCACGTGACATTGATGGCTAAGAAAGGAGCGTACGCTGACCTGGTGAATCTGCAAACTCTGGGATCTGCCCCCGGCAAGAAAGATAAGACAACTAGCGCAGATGAAATCGGGAAGTCTGACAAGGCCTCTTTATCTGACGCTGGTATCGAGGAAAGCAGTGTCTCCAACTATGGTATGGGAGCCGCCGAGAAAAAAGAAGTCTCAGCAAGTGCATCTCCAGTCCCCGAGCCTGCTGAACCTGCTGCAGAGGAAGAAGAGCCAGAGACTCCCAAGAAATCTCTGTGGGCGCTACTGCGCGGGTATGCGCCAACACTGAGACCACATCTACTTTTCATTTTCCTCGCACTTCTAGGTTCCAGCATTGTCGGCGGCGCCTTCTCTGGCGAAGCCGTGATTTTCGGAAACACCGTTGGAAGTCTGAATCCCTGTCACAGTGAGAGCTATATTCGGAGTGCCGGAAACTTCTTCGGACTCATGTTCTTCGTACTTGCCATTATTGAATTTTTCGCGAACCTGGTTAGCTGGACCGGGTTTGGCTGGGTATCGGAGAAAATCGTCTTCACAGTCAGAGTCTTGTCATTCCGCTCACTGTTTGAGCAAGATCTCCAGTGGCACCAATCTAACGGTCGATCACCCGCCTTGCTCCTCTCATATATTACTCGAGACGGTAACGCCTTGGCGGGACTGAGCGGCTCCGTCATTGGAACATTGTTCTCTATCTCCGTTAACCTTGTTGCAGCAATCATTTTGACCCATATTATCGCCTGGAGAATCGCATTGGTTTGCCTGGCTTTGGTACCACTCCTTCTTGGAGCCGGTCTTATGGAACTTCACGTACTTGGCAAATTCGAGGAACGCCACGAGAACGCATACACCAAGTCAGTCGATATTGGTGTAGAGGCAGTCACGTCGATCAAAACAATTGCATCCTTATCCCTTGAAGAGGACACTTTGAGGACTTACCGACGATCACTAAAAGGACCCCGCAAGGAGACATTCCAAGTCACTCTTCATGCAAGTCTTTGGCAGGCAATGACATACTTTCTAGGTAACTGTGTCAATGCGTTGGCTTATTGGTGGGGTTCTAAACAGATCATCAATGGCAACTACACGCAAACACAGTTCCTGATTGTAGTATTCTCGCTCCTGGTCAGCGCATTGCTCTGGAGTCAGATGTTTGCCCTTGCACCGGAGCTTTCCGCCGCCCGAGCGGCGATGGCAAGAATCTTGGGTCTGATCGAGATTGGGTCGGACAAAATGCAAGGACGCGTACCATCCCGTTCACCTGCTATCTCTTCTTCCGAGGAGAAAGACCTTGAGACAGCTGAAACGAAGTCAGCGTACGTGTCTGGCAACAACCAGGCCTCGAGCGTGCAACTCCGAAATATCCATTTCGCATACCCCGCTCGGCCGGATGTAAAGGTGCTAAACGGCTTGGACGTCGATATTCGTCCTGGGCAATTCTGTGCCCTCGTCGGACCAAGTGGTGCCGGTAAATCAACCATCATTTCGCTGGTGGAACGGTTGTACACGCCCGAAACCGGATCCATCGTGATCGATGGTGTCGACGTTACCAAGCACCGTGGTGTTGACTTCCGTGACTCGATCGCTCTAGTACCGCAAGAAAGCGTGCTTTTTGAGGGTAGTATTGAGTTCAACATCGGGCTTGGTGCTAGGCCAGGACATGAAGCAACTATCGAGGAAATCAAAGAGGCGTGCAAGCTTGCCAACATCCACGACGTTATCGAAGCGCTGCCAGAGGGCTACAAGACTCTTTGCGGGCCCAATGGTAGCCAGTTCTCGGGAGGTCAGAAGCAGAGATTGTCTATTGCTCGGGCCCTCGTTCGGAAGCCTAAACTGCTGATTCTCGATGAATCGACCAGCGCTTTGGACGCTGAATCGGAGAAGCTACTGCAAGACGGGCTCGAAAAGGCCGCAAAGGGTATTACTGTCATTGCCATCGCCCATCGCCTCCATACAATTAGAGCAGCAGATATCATCTTCTTGATCGAGGGGGGTAAATGCGTTGATCGTGGATCGCACGATGAGTTGCTTGAAAGGTCGGACAGCTATAGAGCAAACGTGATGCATCAAACAGTGGCCACGTGATCGCGTGTTTCGTCGGGTAATCCTTTATTGCGGTTTTTGGAACATTTTGGTTGCACATCTGCAAGACTGTTTTTTATATATTCCCCTGATAGACTTCGTACATATTTGTAATAGCGCTGTTTCTTTTCTGACTCTATATATGATAATATTCAACTTATGGTTTTTATACTATGCAAGATAATAAGTGACAAATACAACATAGTCTTCATCGTCCTTGTCCAGCGATAGCTTGGCAACGGTAAAATCTTGAACTTGCCTCATTTCGCTTCACAGTTGAACCCAAAGCAACTCACAGAAATGATCAATCAGAGCGTATCTACGTAATCCTTATATTCATTCACTATCCAATATGGGTAGTACAAATCTAAATATCGAAATTGTT